TAGTGTTTTAGGATAAATACTAAGACCTGGAATAATTATAACCTGCTATTTAGGAGGATATAATTATTATATATTAAAATAAAAAGTATTTAAAGCAGGACTATTTTATTATAAAGTTAAGAGAAAATTAAGCTTAATTAATATTACTTTATACTTTATAGCTATAGCTTTAAAGCTATAAATATAAGTTACTTAGTAACTTAAGGAAAAAGGGTAATTATAAAGGAAAGGTTAAAAGGATAAAGGTTTAGAGGAAAATATATATATAGTAGCTATATTATTAAAACAAAGGTTAAACTGGTTAAGGTTAGGGAATATTAAGTTATAAGGTAGTAAAAGATTAGTTATAATAAAGTTATTTTAACCCCTTTTTACACATTAAGTCCAAACGAGACCTATCTCCTTAATCCAATTTTAGCACTAACTCCTTTTATATATTGTATTTGTCTCTCGGGATTAAGCGTTAAGTTTGCTACTATAATGGTTTACTACAGTATACCAAGCAAAGCCTGTGAAAACTGCAGGTAAGCTGGACCACGGTTGAATCTTCCTTGTCTGAATTACGGGTTTTAATAAGATTCACACAGGAAAGCACATAAAAAGGCAGGTAACATCGGCAGTGCCTAATCAAGCAGATACTAACAGCACTAAGTGCGATGAAAAGCATCCACAATGTTCGCGATGCCTGAATCTGGGCAAGATCTGTTCTGGTTATAGAGATCAATTAAACCTGTTATTTCGAGACGAAACTTCCAAAACGAAAGAAAAATCTCATCATCGCAAGAGATTGCAGAATGGCCGGGAAACCCAGTGGTTAAACAATGCGGATTCTTTAGTTATGGAGACATCTTTTATCAAGTACGGCACCCCGCATCCTCCATTGCTCCCCTCTCAGGAACAGATTGCGATTTGTCACTTTATCACTCTACAGTTAAGAACTTATCGATCCATGATCCAACGCTTTCCCTCCAGGAGCAGCTACCGCGCCTTCATGCTTCATCTCGGCAGGATTCGGCTTTACACTTAGCATTGGAGGCAGTGTCGCCTGTCGCTTCTACGGAAATCATTCCGCACGCTACCCAACTGGGCCTGAATCGATACCTCAAAGCCGTTCAAGCCTTGAGAGAAGCGATGCAAACTGAGCAGCTGAGTTCAGATTACCAGGCCTTGTATAGTGTCCTGCTCCTTTGTGGCTATGAGGTCAGACTCTGAGCCTTTATTGTTCCCCAATCTCTGGGTCTTGAACTGACACGTCTTAGACTATCACTCCCTCTTCAAGGGAACTTAATGTAATTTTGACTGTATTTATTTATGCCACGTGCGACTCTGTCAGTAGCTACGTCTAGGAGATTAAGCTTTACCCTAGCCACTGCTAATAAGGTTACTAATTAAGTTATTATAAAAGTATATTATTCTGTTTTTTATTAAGAAACTTATCTTTATTAAGGCTATATATATATTACTTTTAAAAGCTAAAGTTAAATTAGGATTTTTTAGTGTATTAGCTTAATATGCTTTGTGGAGGCATCATAAGCTTTAGGTATCAATCAATCTTAGACTATCACTGGCCATTTGTCTATGCCTTCAGCATATGGGGGACTTATGTAAACAAGGCGCTGGCTCTGCTGAAGCTCCAGGCAACTCACGTTGACTCTCCCTTCTCCCGCAGTATGTACTTCTTTGTCCAGAAGAACGTGGTAAGATACAGCGGTGCCATCCTTGCACTAGATGCTACATACTTACGTCGGCAGGTTGTGAGCCAGATGCAGATATGTCAGCCTGTTGATGAAATCTTTACTCAGGGGCTACCCTGCTCGTGTCAAGACCCGGAGATCCGCCTCCTTTCGATACCAGCTAGCATCCCGTGGCTTCACTACCAGAGTATCGATCTTGCTCAAATTGGGACGATTGCTGTAGAAAGAATAGTCTACGATGCTCAGGCGTTGGATTTACTCCTGTCCACTTGGGCAAAAAGACTCCCACCTGCTTGGTCTTACGCCACTGCACTGAATATTAACAATGATTCACACACAGAATACGCTCCGCAAGGCGTCCACCGCTATGCTCACTTCTACACGGCTCGCGTATGGAATTTCTACCGTATATCGAAGCTTATCCTGCTTTCAATCCAGCTTCGCGCCTCCTTTATCTTACCTTCATCATTGGATACCAGCAAGATCAGAAAGCGAATGGCTGCATTAGTGGATGATATATGCGCAACTGTGCCTTATCTTCTGGGCAACGATCTCTGTAAGATGAACCTCCAGTTTGTCACCAACCACAGGACGCAGGAAGTCTCCTTGCTGAACTCACGATCTACTATTCAAAGAGAGATGAATGTACAGACTGGTAAGTTCTCTCTCGTATGGCTGAAGTCCTTCAGTGACCTCCGTACCATGGCTGAAGCTTGCTTCAATCCATCGTTCGATAAAATGGAAGTCACGGCGATCTTCTCCGTTACGCACCCCATGGAAGCATTGCCCATATAAGAAGATGGCAGCGGAGGGCTCGTTCGGCTACGAATATTAACAGCAAAGCAGAAGCGCGTTGTTGAATCCTTTGTAGGGGGGTCACTGAAGACCCCGGAATGCATTCGTGCCAAAGTCATGCACTGCCATACAAAAGCACAGAGGGCATCATGGGAAGAGAATGCTGCTGCCTTTTCTTTAAGCTTTGTAAGAGACTCCGTCGAGAAGTGGAAAAGGTGACTTGCGAGGGGAGGCATCTGGAATCCAGACATGCTTGACAAATCACCCTCAATGGAGTGAGGCGTAGGCATCAGCACATACTCAGGAAAAGCAGCCACGTCGACGATGCTAGGATCTCCTTCCATCAAAGGTATGCGATCGTTGGATGGTACATCAAACATGGAAAAGGATCCAGGACCATCGCTAGCTACGGCAGTATTGTGTGACCACGTGCTCAGGATAGCGTCCAAGGCTGACGCATCACATGCCGAGTGATGGACTCCCACAGTCAGCAGAAGGCCACCTTCGACGAAATTAGCCTGAGCTGCAAAGACAGGCTGGTTGGGTCCCTGTGGCATGGCATCGATAGGGCCGACCTGAGCTGTGGTGAATTCTGCCAAAGGGAAGTGTCTCTCGTGTAACTCTGTATAAGATGGCAGTGTATCCGTGAGATCCTTGTACCTGAAAAGGGTTTTGTTAGCGAATGTCTGGATGACCATTCTAAATAAATAACACGTACGGGAACTTAAATCCAGATGGCGAGTCAAGAATCTGGACCTTCCGGGTCTTGGGATCCCGTCCTTCTTCCGGGCCCTGATCAGACAGTGACATTAGCAACTGTAAATCCAGATAGACAATTCAATACTTACAATTTGTCCAGATATCCAAGGAATGGAAGTGACAGTGTGAGTCAAGCCCTTCTTCAGGTTCTCATATCTACTTCCATCAGTCTTCTGTGCATCATAACATCATACATGAGTCTCACATCTGCCGCTTATCCATATCAGGGTTAGTTGGAAAGCATAGAACCAAGCGGATACCATACAGCCTGGGCATATTCATGTCTAAAGGCGTGAGCTTTTGCTTTGCAGAGGGTGGCTGTAGGCCATACTGCTCCAAGGTTACCACATAACGATCTTCTTCGCCCAGACCAATAGGTGCCTCGGACTGGAAATTGAGAGTAGAGGGCATTGTGATGGCAAGAAGATATGAGACTGATGAGCAAGATAGAGACGAACAGGTGGAAATACGAATCCTTAAATAGATGATTTAACAATAGTGTAATAATTGTTTAAGCCTGTTCATGCAGCTAGTTTTGGGGTTCCTTGGTGTTGATTGGACAGCTCAATGTATACTACATTTGGTTAGTACGCTGAGTCCCGAGCCGTGTCTCGAGCCAAGGCCAGTAAACCCCTGCCAAGTGACCATCGTTTTACCAGTCACGTCCGTATGTCCAAAAATACGCATCTACCAATTAAAATACAATAATGGGCGTACAGTGGGGCCATGTCAGTCGTCGGCGATCTTTAGCCAAAACGAGGCTGATGAAATCACGAGCATGGGTGCGGTATATGAAGTGAAAGGTTGTGTAGACCTTGGCGAGTACTGGTATTGGGTAATACTTATATCTGTCTGGGAGAATTGCCTTACCATGGGTCGCATAAATGGATACTATCTACGATAATAGTGTCCACCTTGGCATCCATTATTCGGTAAGGAATATTGCTAGATTTTTACTATAAGAAAGCTGCTATCGACTAACCTTTTTGGGGGTTTCATCTCACACAGCTTTCACCAGTCGTTCATTCTTTACTACCGTTACTACACTATGTTATCGCGTACCAGCACCGCCGCTTTCTCAATGGTAGCCATATTTCGTCTTGCTATATGCGCCTTTGTGGACTCGCCCAATGATCCCATTCCCGATCAATGGAAACAGTCTCTGCCAATGGCATGGGATAATACTGAAATCATGATGAGTGCCATTTTTCCAGATAATGGTGGACTTTCGAAGTATCACAACTGGGCTATTGACCAGATTATGGATGGGAATGGGTACAAGCAAGAGTAATTATGATAAAGACGCTGACTGACATATGCCAGTACGATCAATGTTTGCATGAATTGGATCTCAGATTCGATTCTTGATGAAGAGACGAGAAAAGATGTCTCCATCCAACACGTCAAACAATACCAACAGTGGTTCGAGTGGCTTCCTGGCTGGGACAACTTCCCCTTCAAAGAGGTCAAGTTCAAAATCATCGCGTGGGCTATAGCAAACGACAGCCAGCTGATAGGAAATCGTGATGGCTTCCACGTCTACACCGAGTTTAAAGACAAAGATGGAATCATTGCCTGTGATCCTGGTTGTTCACGACATCTCCACCCCGATGGAGACTACTCTAGCTGTGGACGCGGTGCCGAGAATCGGTTCCACCAGTACTTCTTTGTTGACAAGAGTTGGGGTGAATTTAACATGGGTGCCGCTTCAGGTGAGGGTATCAATGTCAGTGAGTATGGCTGGGACACTGTTGGAAGCAAGATGGGCAAATGGTCTATTCTAGTCCATGAGTAGGTACGTAGACTCTGATCCTCAACATTGTCATGGGCTAAAACAGTCTTTGCAGGGTCACACATTTGGTTTGCGCGACTACATCAACGATACTAGAAATGAGACCTCTATCTGCTCTATCTTCTGACTTCCTCCCAACCTCACTGAGCAGATGGCCCAGATTGGCTTTTTCACAGTCTATATATTATCTAATGTTAGTATTCCTTATAGTAATAACTGCTGCTTTAAGTCAGTCCTTTTTATAATTATAAAAAGCAAAGAGTAATATAGTACATTATTAATTAGCTAGGTTCTGTCCGCCGATTCAAGCTCTTAGCCACAAGCCTTAACCGTAAATAATAGGTCTGGCATTCTGACTAGATAGCAAAAGCAACAGTTACAACAACTACTTTAACAACATCATAACCAACAAGGCCTGCGGCATTTATAGACGTAGATGCACTCTCAGCAGAGACAGTAGCAGAAGCGACAACTGCATCTAGAACCCTGGAGGCGGAAGCGATTACGGCCGTTCCGGAATTCTCAGCTACCAGCTTGCACATGTCTCGGAAAATATCGGTGGACCCTTGGATGAAGAAGATCAGTATCAGTTGGAACCCATGGCTAAGTATGGTTCACAAACTTACCGGTAGCGTCCTCAAAATCACACTGGGCTCCGACAATGCACAAACCAACTTTGCTTATCACAGAGGCTTTATGGATGCAGAGGCATACTATGTCACCTGCGTCACATCCAATACTATCGTGAACCACTCCAAGGCATCCAGCAACACAGGATGGAACCTGGGATGCTAAGGCAGGGAGAGATGTCTGAGTCGGCGAAGAGACAGTTGTTGTGGCTTGAGCGGCAATGGCCAGAGTGGAAGTGAAAAGGATAGACTTTGTGAAGAAAAGCATTATAGTTAAGGTTAATTGGTTATAGAAATATTGGCTTTTGGGAGGGAATGATAGGAAAAGAAAGTCCTGGTAGGCTGTTGTAGAAGATAGGCTAAGGAACTGTTAATACATAAGGGAAAAAAAGGTTAGTATTTATATCTAGCCATCCTTAACCCGGAATGAGTAGAACCCCCTTAGATCTCTTTTAAGCTAGACGTTGATAATACCTATCATACTCAATATTGGAGAAGTATGGCCAATTGAATAACATCTCCTTTGCTCAAGGTCCATGTTCTTCCTGCGACGCGAGGCAGTGGAGCCTAAGAGGTCTCTGTTTGATTTGATTTGATTGGCCTTTACGTATTTAACTTACAGTCGCGTCCGCCGGCTGACACGACACTAGCGACGAATCTGAGGAAGGTGCCAAGACATAGGCTTCTTGGGTAATTTCATCAGGTGGGGGTGTGTTAATGGAGGTCTTGTTAAGGCGTCTGCAATTTGTGACTTTGTCCCTCTTATCTGATCAATCGTGTATATAATGCCTTTGCATTTTGGTTACACTGTGCTCTATTCCTGGTGTTTTATGATTACGCTTTGGGTGCTTTCCCGCATTCTGGAGACCTAAAGAGGCAAAGCTCACAATTATTGGACGCTGTTGGCCTATGACCAATTAAGAAATGCCGGCGAGCCAGCCCCTCATTACTCCACTTTCAGACCCGAGGCATAAAGATGGGCCGACTTCCCGGGCCTATGTCCTAAGCATCTAGCCAGTGGAACCCAAAGCATTTCAAATTCCGTCATGCCCGCAAACACCCCTGCCACGCGTCGACAAGCCCAGTCGCCTACTACCGACCCCCAGAGGCTCAAGAAGAGGGAGTCTGACCGCAAGGCCCAGCGCGTCTCGCGCGAGAGAACCAAGAGCCGTATTGCATATCTCGAGGACCTTGTTCAGAAGCTGAGCAGCGGGGATGATCACGATAAAACCCTGTCCTTGATGGCTCAGCTGTCCGAGGTGACGAAGCAGCGTGACTCCCTGATTCGCTTTCTAGATTCTACGTCTTTGTCCTTTGCTAGGCGACTCTCTGAAGCTAAAAAGTGGGAGAATAGGACTACAGCCGAAGAAAAATTCCCAGAACAGCAACCAAGCGCGTCGGGTTCTGTCTACAGGGAATCTCCGGCGTTACTGCCGGACTTGCTGGAGACAACTCCGGCCAGCAATGAGCTTAGTCTGTTTTCACCCGACTTCAATGGGATCCTTCCGGGGGACACGGCTTTAGAAGGCGGTCAGGCCTATATGAATGTTAAATCTGCAACGTACAGTGCAGCACATGATCACCCCGTCAATGACAAAACTTCAGCAGCGTCATCGCCCTGCGACTGCACTTCTCCAGAGACAAGACGTCTCTCAGACGGATCGGTAGTCAGCCGTAATATATGGCAAGCGGGCAACCAGGTCTTAAAAGGGCCCCCGGGACACTTATCAACCTCGATGCTGGCACTGGAGGACGAGGCTAGTGAAGACGTTCCAGTGCGCGTTGTGCTCTACGGCTGGGAGCATCTGGAGCAGTCGGGGAGAATGACACCACTTTGGAAGAGGATTCGACACCTCGACGAGATTTGCTTTTCTGCTTGCGGCCAGGTTGAGCGTCTTGCCGTGATTCACATGGTTCACCGCTATATGCGCGCCTACGCTGACCCAACATCGGCCAATGCTAGTACCATTCTACCGCGATGGTACATGAAATCGTGAGTCTTTCTGTTTCTCCCAACTTGAATTGCTTCTTGACTAACTAACCTACCCAAGTACGTCATCACAGGATATCTCTGGTCATCCAGCTGTAGACTACTTTGCCTGGTAAGAACAAAACCAGCCTCCAGAAGCCTAACTTCAAGAGCTTATGTTTTTAATAGGCCGTCTTTTCGGCAGCAATTCTCACGCTACCCGCACCGATACTGCAGTAACTTGTTTTGGCACATGTTCAAAGAGCATCTTCGTATCACCTGGCCATATGAGTTCCGCGATGTGTATTCCGTCAACGTAGGGCTGGGCAGGTATGGCCTTTCATCATTGTTCAGGGATACAATCTCCAATCTCGGCTGTTGGACTATGAATTCGGATTTCTTTTATCATTTCCCTGCACTTATCCATGACGTGCCCAAGTCCCCGCAAACCAGTTTGCCTGTCACAGTTCATCCTTTGCCCCTTCAGACCAACTCATTGGGTTACCTATCTCAAAGTCGAACTCCATCACATCACCACGGCACTTTTATGGTCACGGAGGGCACAGTTTCTGACCCTTGCCAGGGAGGCGAGGATGATCAAGGATGGAGTTACGATGGTGCTGCCGGAGAGTATAACTGGGATTTGGACAACCTTTAGCTATGTAAATTACTTCTTAGTACTACAGCTACCTAGGTGTTCCTTTGGTACTCTTTTCTCTTGTTTACTGGGTACTGAATGACTAGAGATGTCACGGTATAAAACTCAAATGGAGTTCCACTTACTCCTCCAAATCAGGTTCCCCGTGTTTCAAAAATCATTTCCAGCTTGGGACAAAGGAGTGTAAACCCGTCTGCTAGCCCGTCTTGGAAAGCCTTGGCTGTTTGGTTTGGCGCAAGGCGGATGTCGAACTTGGAGACAATCTGGGTTAGAACATGCCGAACTTCAAGAAGTCCAAGTTGTTTTCCAGCACAGGAATAACGGCCTGTGCTCAATGTCAGCGAATCCACCCCTGGATTAGATTGCTGTTGGGACTCACCAATGGAGAAAGGGGCAAATGCTGAACCATCGCGGACGAGATCGGGTTGTGTTGTCCATCGCTCAGGAATGAAGTCGTTGGGGCGTGCAAAGCATCTTTCGTCTAGTCAAAATGGTCAGATGTGTCTCAAGGCAGGCTTGGGGCACCACTTACCTCGGTTTAATGTATATGTAGGTGTTTGTATAATGGTGTTTCCTGGGATAAATGTTCCGTCAATTTCCAGGCCCTGCGGGGGTGTGATTCTCTGCAGGCCTGATGGAATAGCTGGGTACAGCCGCATCGTCTCGTCAATGATAGCTTGGAGGTACTTGAGTTTGGCAAGAGCACTGTGGCTATGAGGAGAGTCCCCTTGCTTCAAGAACTCGTCAACCTCTTTCTGTAACTTCTGATAGACAAGGGGATGGCGTGCCAGCTCAAACAGTGCACATGTCATGGTTGTCGAAGTAGTGTCGCTATGCAAATAAATCAGTTAACTATTATCATGTTTTGATTTGACTTTGCATTTATACCTCCCTGCAACCACAATGAGGTGTGCATCACCCAATAGGTTGAGATCGTCTTGCTTCGTGTGGACTGATTGTTCTTTGTAGGCATTCAGGAGCCAGGAGAACAAGTCGGGAAGGTGTGGCTCATTCTGCCATGTAGTTAGACGAGAAGACAGATGGAAATAGACAATAGCCTTACCTTTTTCCTCTGATCGACATGTTTTCGAAGCCATTTTAGAAATTGTACAATCTGGCGATTCAGGATGGGTATATCCTTAACAAGTAGATAGAGCCAAGAAGCTCGACCAATTGGGCTTCCCCATAGGGTAGACATTTGCGTCAGCTCCATGTAGTAATGCTTGACTCCGTCATTAAGCATATTGAAGCTCTTGCCAAATGCGAGGTCGCCCATGACGTCGAAACCATAGAAGCCGCACCAGTCAGTAATATCGACCGGCTTCCCACATCTCTGTTGCAGCTGACTCATTAACAAGCCCGTATACTTCTCGATTCTTGGTTCGTAATCTCGCATGGCTTTTGGACTAGTTAGCCTTGCTTTACAACAACCAAACCGCGAACTTGTTTATACCTTTTGCATTGAGACCTCTGTCCCATACCTTTCTTCGGATTGTATGCTCCTGCCTATCCCTCGTAGCATGCAAAGATATAGTAGGCACAAAAACATTATACCAAGGACCCTTTTGACAAGGAGATGAATTTTGGTAAATTGTGGCAACGGCCGTCGGTGATGCAACTGAAATCTCGGATGGACCTTAGGCTTAGTTAGTGTTGGGTCGATTTGGAGTGGAGAGTGAGTAGGTAGGTAGTACCCAGTCTGATAAAATCGCCGTAGGTTCTGTGTAGTTTCTGCACTTCCAAAAACATATGGAACTTCTTCATTGACATGGATATCGCGCACAACGCTGACAGGGGAGCAAACGTTGGCCCTGGGAAAAGGCGCAAGGGATGAAAGAAAAGTCTGTAGACAATCATGCTGCCGTATACCCCAGCTATGAAGGCTGCCAGGAGCTCAGAAGCAATATACCAGGCCCCGAGAAGGCTCTGGCGCTCCAGGTCACCATGATAGGCCAGGACGCTAAAGATCGATGCATAGATAAGACCGAAGGAAGCAATGATACGATGAACGGCAACATCCCACTCGCCAATCCGAAATATAGCTATGTGCGTAGCGACGCCACATAAACCCACACAACAAAGGGCAGAAAGGCTGTCAAGTTGAACATTAGAAAGGTCAACCATAGTGAAGATTAGCCGGTTCTTGGTAGACAAAAGAGAGTAAGTGTTATTGTTATCACTTGTCTAGTTGAAAGTTATAAGCCGTATCTATACTGTGACTATTTAACTATATGCAGTACGCTGACATCTGATATCTTGACTCAGGGGCAAGATCATTACCCCGCATGATCTGCCAAGGTAATTAGCCACTTCTGTAAATGTACTATGCAAGGAATGTGAGCCTTCCTTGCGCTTCCCCAGATATTTGATGATCCTGAGTCAGTTGGCCATGAGTAAGCCGGCTGACCCATAGACCACGGAAGGGTTAACAGAGGGGTAGAAGTCAATCGGGTAGAACAGAGTCATTCGATGATTGAGTCTAGGCTGGTGATAAAATGATGTCAATTCTGAAGGTTCATGGCAAAGTTTATGCATGTTTGGAAGATAATTCTATAGGCATTAAGGTTTTCAATCTGATATCGCTGCTGTGCTCTCCGCAAGAAAGGGTGCCTTATTATTGTGGTGTCACCAACTTCCCTTTCTTGTTTGTAAGCCAGCAGCCACCATCTACTTTCTCTCAGCACCCTAATTCTTAATTCTGTAGATATTATCGCATACGCTGACTATCCAGTACCATTACTATAGGTCATTCAATATCTTGTCCAAGAGGTCCACTCCATCTTCACTGCTGTCTGGCCCTGCGTCTTCAAGCTCCATGCTACCAAACGGGTCCCAGTCCAAGCTACATAGATTATATACATCTTGATCCGACAGAGAGGTACCAGACTCGTCCAACCCCGTTACTAAATCAAGAAAGCCAAGAGAATGAATACTTTCAAGACCTTCGACGGCGTCAGAAACACTCGATGAGGTCCCGATCTCAGTGGGGCGGCAGTATTCCATCATAGCAGACCAGTTACTACTCGGCATGGAGCAGCCTTTCAGTTCTTGTGAGGAGCACAGAGCTCGTTCCAACACTAATGTACAGTTCAAATATTGGTATGGGTGGCAGGCTATAATGTCTGTCCAGCTTCGTAGGCAGTCCTTCCCCTGACTCCTCAGACAACTCTCGACGGAGGTGACAGTTTGGCGAACAAGAAGGCTCAGGGGTTCGATCCCTTCAAATCGTGGCTGATGTGCCTCCAGCATTTCAATTAGTATGCGAAGCCGCCTCTCGTTCTCCGTGACTTGACCGCCGAGTCTGGCCTCAAACACATGCATAGCCATGGGGACAGCGGCAAAGGCAGCCCTGGTGCAATAAATTAATTACTGCTCCGTGGTCACCGATGGTAATGTACTTACACACTGATAGGTAGAAACCTCGCAAGTCCAAGTCGGACGGGCTCCGACAGATGGTCAATAAAACGAAAGGTGGCAGAACGAACCTCATCGATGAGGGCAGAGGGAAGGAACTCGATCAAATCAGACAAACCAACATCAGCTATGAGTTTCTGATGATGGAGTAGCAATTTTGCTGTACTTGAGGGTTGTCAATTTCGTTGTCTCTGAGTAAATTGCCAATAGAACTTACTAGTATTGCATATATACAAAGTTCGTGTAGACAATGACAGATGGATGTCGTTGCTCATTTCTTTGACCCAGTTCCAGGAACTCTTCCCCGGTGGCACTGAACCAAGTCGAGAGATCCTCTCTGCATCTAGATAGAGTTGTGTGGTCATCAGCACATACAGTCTCCAGGTGATGTGAAGCACTGCGATGTCGAGCCATCAGCTGAAGCAAATCTCCTACTGTATAGCTTAATGCCATCAGTCGACGGAATACTCTGAATAGCTGGGTTTTTATGTGTGATGTATAGACCAAAGACCCATTGAACTCGGAGCTAAAGTCCTCTTCCGCTGGTAACGGGTATTTACCAGGAATCTGTACACATCGTCTTTGACCAAGAGAAATACTACGGTCACGGAGGATACAACACCACCAGAGACGTTTCAGTGAGCCTGTGTCAGGTCCATTGGTATATTTCACTTGACTGGCACCAACGCTTTCGGCGTGTTTGATCGCTCTGGTCAACCATACCGAGTTAGGTGTTGGGTGATCGCTGCCCAACGAGACGGGTAAAAAGGTGAGCAGCAAGGCGCCCCGTGCTAGGTCGACGGCAGACGGTTCGATGTCGAAGACATAAAGAAGCTTGTCAAAGTTAGCTATTATCAGCACTGAGCAGGGAAGAGGAAAAGGACCTTGGCTCGTTGATAAAACCTAGCAGCTGCAAGGCGAGGGCTTTTAAACCCCAGTTCTTTCGTTATAGATTCCGGCACGAACTACAGCAATGTCAGCAACATGTCGAAAATGGGATAAAATTCACTTACACTACAGGAAGCAAATAACATCGCCTGGATCAAGAACAACGACAACTTGTTCGTCTCCTCTCTATATTCTTCCCAAAACACAGACTCGTCCATTAAGGGTAGCATCGGGTGGACGTGTAAAAAGTATTCTCGGATAAATTCATCGAGCATAGGTCTGGGCGGAACGTTCAAGCATCCTTGTCGTCGTAAGAAGCAAACATCATCTGGAAGAAGTTTGCTTAGGTCTGGGTTGCTAATAAAAGCAAGGCGGTTATCTGTCGGCTCCAGCATCGTGCTATCGCCTTCGGACCTAGCATCAGTAGACTCCGTTTGCACGCTGTCGAGATGGCATGGCGAGGGATTCGATGGTGAGGATGGGCAGACTCCCAAAGAATCGTCGTTAGTTGTGAACATGCCATCCTGGACCCATATGTCGTTGGAAGTGGTGGTCGCAGAGCTGGTGTTGGTATTGATCGGGACTCTCGCGTTTTTTGTGTCGAGCCTTTTGCTATCAAACGGGTGAGCTTTACTGGTCTCGCTGATTCCCTGCCGGGTAATGGGTGACTTACCGCTTTGGCTTTCGGCCCCTGACCTCGCAGTGGACCTCATCCAAACGGCAGTTCAGACAGGGTGAACCACCAAAGGCCAGATCGCAGCGGATCTTTCTGCTTCGACAATGGAGACATGCTTGTTTGGCACGGCGTTTTGGCATACCGAGGTTGACGAAGCGCATTGGGAATGTTCTTCAGAAGATCCACAACTAATAGCTGAGTTTGCAGTTGTCAAGAGGCGTGAAAACCAGAGACTTCAGCCAGGAACTGGCTGGCTTCTGTTTCCCCAGATCACATTACCCCATACCCCACAATCGGCTAATGCATCTTGACTCAGGAAACGCTGCCTCAGCGTATTTCCCAGAATGCGGGTCCCATCAGGTACACTGACGCTCAGATGGGAAATAACATTAGTCAGAATTTTCTAATCTAATCAGCACACTGATACGATAAGATGATAAGATATGAATTTTGACCAATGGTTAACCGAAGACTGACCGAAGATTAGCCATAGCCGCCTTTTATTTTTTATAGCAAAGTTTGCGTTTACTTTTTAAATTATGTTCTATCAGAAACAAAATTAAGCAGTCATTGTATAAAAAAAATCATACCTAAAGCAGTTTATATATAATAAGAATATTCCCTTTAATTATATTAGTCTTTAAATATATCAAGCTTGCTTGAATTGATAAGAATAAGTTATTAACTATTCTGCGCCTTTAAGCGTCCTACCCTGTACTACACGGTCCTTCTCTGACTAATCACAGCTGTTTCTGCGCCTGTCCACAGATAGAAAATTGAATCAGCCCAGACCCAGAGATATACAGTCCAGATTGGACCAAGATCTTTAACTTCACAACAGCAGCAAAGGCCAGAACTGGCAGCTGGAACTTTTGCTAATAAATATATCACGCCTCGGCCCAGGACTGTCAGTCCAGCGGAGGTGGATAATGATAGACATTTGCCTGCCGTTTTAGGTGACCGACTAGAATATGACACTCTACCAATTAAATGCTGCTGAATAACCACGCGCTGATTGGTATTCACAAGCAAAGATTGAAATGCGACAGTCTTCATGCATATGGTCTCGGAGCACATTCTCGATCAGGATACTAACAGAAGCTAAGGTATCCAGTCGGCTATACGGCACGATCATCTGAATTACAGAAAAAGAGAATAATTATAAATCCCAAGATGAAGGACCTTGATTGCTTCAACGGCGCTTCCATTCGCATTGGTAGGTTTGAGTTAAAGACTTCAAATCGATTTCGCAACAAGGCGACATAATCTCAAGACATGATTGCTAGTCTGTTCTTTTTTGCGGCAGGCGCTCTAGCCAAGGTCAGCTTCCCGCCTATCCCGTCCGATCTCTCAACCCCGGTACAACAAAGACTGTCGCTGGATGGACCAAACAGTAAGTTTAATGTCAAACTATCCAAAGACCTATAGCTAAGTTTCACTAGGTATTACCATTGGATGGAACACCTATGCCAAACAATCCAACCCTTGCGTGCAATATGGCCTTTCAAAAGACAAGCTTGATAAGCAAGCATGCTCGGATATATCATTAACATATCCGACTTCTCGCACCTGGGCAAACGCTGTGACCCTTGACAATCTGTCTCCAGCAACGAAATACTACTACAAGATTGTGTCTAAAAGTTCAGTTGTTGATCAGTTTCTCAGTCCCCGGGCAGCGGGAGACAAGACACCATTCGCCATCAACGCCATCATTGACCTTGGTGTTTATGGAGAGGATGGCTTCACTATCAAGATGGATCAAACAAAGCGAGATGTTATCCCCAACGTTCAGCCTGCTTTGAACCACACAACCATCGGCCGTCTTGCATCAACAGCTGATGACTACGAGTTTATCATTCATCCTGGAGATCTCGCATACGCTGATGACTGGTTCCTGAAACCCAAGAATCTACTCCACGGCGAGCAGGCATATCAGGCTATCCTCGAGACTTTCTACAATCAGTTGGCCCCTATCTCGGGCCGAAAGCCTTACATGGTCAGCCCCGGGAATCATGAAGCAGCATGTGAAGAGATCCCCATCCTCAACAACCTCTGTCCCGAGGGTCAGAAGAACTTCACCGATTTCATGTACAGATTCGGCCAAGTAATGCCCCTCGCCTTTCCTTCAACCTCTTCCAGTGACGCAGCGCGAGTGAGCGCAAACAAGGCTAAGCAACTGGCAAACCCGCCATTCTGGTTCTCGTTCGAATACGGTATGGCACATGTCGTCATGATTGACACCGAAACCGATTTTCCCGATGCACCAGATGCCCCAGGTGGTTCAGCAAACCTGAACAGCGGACCCTTTGGCAGTCCTAATCAGCAACTCCAATTTCTTGAAGCTGATCTTGCATCAGTTGACCGTACAGTCACACCTTGGGTCATCGTTGCAGGTCACCGCCCTTGGTACACTACTGGTGATGAAGGTTGCGTGCCTTGCCAAAAGGCATTTGAAGGGTTGTTCTACAAGTATGGCGTCGATTTGGCTGTCTTTGGACACGTGCACAACTCACAGCGCTTCTATCCCATGTACAACGGGACTGTTGATACTGCAGGAATGGAAGACCCCAAGGCGCCTATGTACATTGTGTCCGGAGGTACAGGAAATATTGAGGGACTGAGCGCTGTAGGGAAGAATGCTACTGGTAATGCATTTGCGTATGCGGATGACTTTAGCTACGCCACCATTCGGTTCCAGGATGCTCAAAACCTACAAGTCGACTTCTTCCAGTCATCGACAGGCAAGCTGCTGGATCAATCTAAGCTTTTCAAGTCACACAACAAACAGTTTGTCAGACAGAACTAGAGAGATAGCTGCAGTTAGGTACAATGGGCCCATTTCTTGAGTAGCTCATGGTTTCTCTCGTCTCCAGTGTTGAGATTGAGTGACAGATAGCCTATAATGGACGACAAAAGAATTGAGATTTTTAATCTCACTGTAGTACATAATTATCCACTCTTATCCCCGTCTTCCTAAGGCCTTCCAACGAGACTCTTGGATCAAAGTTGGTCCATCGATCTTCTGCAGCAATATACCAAAATGGGGTACCATTATCCCTCCAACGTAGTTCCATTCGTCTGGGACAGGGATAACATCCAGCCGCGGGTCATATGCTGCCGCTTCCCTTCTGAATCCTCGAGGACAGGGTATTGGGCTCGTTTGATGTAGCTTAGGCGCCAACCCTTTGGCATCTCGCCAAGGATTGCTTCTCCGGTCAACAGTGCTAGGTAAGCACACGGCCCTTTAAGCTTATACTCGCCGTCACAGACTTGCTTCTATCGGGTATATTACCTTATATATATTCTATATACTTTAAGCCTAATTATCCTTACAGAAAAGCAGTAATACTTATTTATATACTTTTAAAGTTAGTTATTAAAATATTAACTTTTTAGCTAAAACTAAAATTCTAAGTAATAATAAAGGTAATAAATATCTTACCTATATATATTTATTAGTATTCTTTACCTTTATATACTAGGGGCTAAAGCCTCTTTTAACTACCTATAACCTTATTATAGTACTTGCCGTCTTCTATCGCCTGGAGTACTATGGGAAGATGGCAGCTAAGAAAGACAACGACGAGGTCGCCAGGCTGACAGCCTCGTGGACCCAGTACAATGTAACCCATTTTGGTCAGATATATAGAGCGATTGTGTATGTAGTAAGTCAAGTGTGCAAGTTGGCCACCAAGCGTCTTACTATGGGTTCTGATTCGCTCGGCTAACTGCTCGTGCATCTTGTTGATGAATGGGGAGTGGACAAAGAAGTCGTTTACATGCAACATGAGGGAAAATTGCTGAATCTTCTGGAAATCCCAAGTATCTGGTTCAGGACCCAGAAAGCGTCGTGCCGCCTTTAGCACGCCCTTTAGTACAGTAGTCAAGCACCTAGGCAAGCCCCCTGCAATAATGCAAGAGGCAGTGGATTTAAAACCTATAAAGGGTATAAAAAAGACCCCTTATTAAGGCAGGCTTTTAAGGTAAGCCTAATATACTAACTAAGGCTAAGGCATAAGCCTATTACTAGGTATAGTAACTATAAAAACTAGAAGTAATAAGAAGTTTATTAGTTTTAGCTAATTATTAAGCTAATTATAATAAGTTAGGAATAAAGGAAAAGTTATAATTAATTTAAATTAGATAAAAAGCCTAATTTTTTTTACTTTAAAGGTTAAATAGTAATAATATAAGGAAGTAATAAGGAATTAGGCTAGATTAAATTGTAAAGGGTAGTAACCCTAGATAACTACAGGCAGCTTAGTAAGACTCCAATTTCACTGCCTCTAGCACAGTGGCTTGGAGCTCTGCTTGGGAATTTTGACTGTCCTGGGGCCCAACTAGCTCCATGATGTAGTCACAACGTATACCTTGGAGCAACAACTGCTCTTTGGTAAATGCATGCCCATTCTCGGCGGAGCAAAGGGCAGCTCGACCGTAAGTCATGGGCCGCTGATGTTGAATCCGCTCCAAGTCGGGGATCCACGTCGGCTCAGACGCTGAGTCGCACAGTGACATCAACTTGAGATCTTGGTGATATGTCGACGCCCGAACCAAAGCATCGCGATGGACGTCCTTGATGTTCTTTCTGTAATCAACCACAATTTTGCTAGTAAAGCCGCCCTCTGCGAGACCCAATAGGGCGAAGACTCTATCCCTCGGCTCCGTTACCTCACAGGCGTGTGTGTAAGCCACAAGTGAGAAAAAGTCCCTCAAGAGTCTAAGGGCTGAAAAGCTGCGTGCGTTGAAAAATTCGACCATGATAAGGATGTCGACCTTGTCAACCAATGCCTCTCTTTTTGCCGCAATTATCTCGATGGCACTCCTGAAATGCAGCCAAGGCAGGCTGTCATCCCCTGCCAAGATAATTGTGTCTTTACCCGCCAGTAGGATTTCTTGACGCACCCATAGTCGACGGAACCAGGGCCGCGATATGAAGAATACCAAGGCCTGCCACTGGCGGTCAGAGAATGGCATAGGCTTGGACCAATCGTGTAAATTGTCTGAGAGTCTTCTCATGATAAAGTCATACTTGTCTGGTTTGAACCTTATTCGGTTATTCAAGATGTCATCCTCCTCGTTGGTAAAGTCGACGCATTCGGCGAGTTCTTGCAGCATCGCGATGGCGATTGGGCTGTGCTCGTCTGCGAGGCCGAGCCAGGCAATAACGCGCTGGGCGTGCTTGTATATATCGCGCATTCGCAGGACTTGCGCAGCTCGCTCATCAAGGTCCTGCTGGTTGATACAAATTGAGTCAGCCCAGAGGATCTGGTTATTGCTTTGGTGACGGATCTTTCGCAAAGCAGAAGCAAGATTGCGACCGATCGCTAGCGACCCCGAAGACTCCTTGTCGCAAATGCATGATTTATCGTAGCAAATCGGTTTTGGATGCCTGAGATCTATGTAGTCCGGATCTGACTGGTCACCCCAAGTGTACGACATTGCTTCGTACCGCGTAACAGGTTCGCCTGGGATATGCTTCACAACGACGAGAGCGCCTGAGAGGGGGTCTCCCTCTTGACCTGCTGCATCTAGCACCAACACCCTGATCTCATTCTCCTGCAAACTGTTGTATTTGAAGTTATCAATAATCATCTTGAGTCCATGCGCCCAAACAAATAAAAGATAAGTACCAACTGTCGATTGCAAACGCAGTCAAGTGTTTGTGTAAGATTTAAGGCTAAACCAAAGTTCTACATATGCCCCACAATATATGTCCTTATTAGTTCTCAAGATTAGCAAATCGACCTATATGATAATTCCTTTAGCAGGGGATAACTCGGAGCCTCACATCCCCGCGCATTACACTACTCATCACAAAGCTGGACACCCTGAGTACGTGTATGTTACAATTACTTAAGATGTATAGGTTGGTTTTATAGTCTAACAAACCTCCAGCAGTCTATAGCACCGAATACATGCTACAGATCAGTAAACCTGCTTTTCCAATACAGTTAAGAACTATTGCCAATAAAAAGAATAAATAGGGTATTTAAGTCAAAACTTAGGAGTATCCTTACTGTCTGTGAAATGTCTAATCTGGCATTTCTACAAATTTATTCTTGCTACCTACATGCATTATCTACATGAAGTTGCCTAAAAGTCATTCGGAATAGTGTGTGAAGGGTCGGAAAACAGAGGTTGATCGCGCTCGGAAAAATGGTCGGAGATAATACCATCGGCGAAATGACTGGTAGCAACAGCGGATATCACGCGGGGATCTTAATTTTGTGGAAACCACAAGTTATACTGCGGCTTTTTATAAAGTCACCTTGTTCTTGAGATTGCATCGTGCTTCAGACCGTTTCCTGCTGTATCTATACTCGTTTTAGAGCCTACAACTGCTTGTCATGTCCACAGACAACTGTATCTCACGCCGCGCTGTCGAATATCTTCCGGAAGCCCCCAAGTTCTTCGATGTTCTCAATGACTTGTGGGATCCCGAATCAAATCCCAATGGCATCCTTAATCTCGGACAGGCCGAAAATGTGTGTCATTATCTACAAACAAAGTCACTTCGGCTAATAGTGTAGGGTCTAATGCAAACAGAATTAACCGAATTCATTAACTCCTATGTACAAACCCTCTAGAGCATAAATATATAGAGCATTTTAATATTCATAGCCTTTGTATTTAAAACCTTTATAGCTTAATAAAGCTTTATTTAATAAAAACCTAGCCTTAAATATAACTGAATTTTTAATAAGCTTTTCTACCTAATGCTACTTACTAGTTTAACTTTTTCCTTATAGTTATTACTTACTGCTTAACTTATTATTAGGGATATATAAAGTTAATCCTTTCTTATAAGTTTACTATATTATATACCTAAGCTATATTTTATATTACTTTATTAATTACTATTGCCCTATTATTTAGTAGTAAATTTCTTACCTTCTAGGGAACTAACTTTTTATATTTTTAATCTTTATAGAAATATAAATAGGTATTATATATAAAGTAAATAAGGCTTATAAAGATAATATTTTTAATATTACCTTTTTAAATATCCTTATAAAGTTTTTTATAGCTATTTTTATAGCAAATTTAAAGCTATAGGTTTATAGGTAGTAGCAAATCTAGAGCTATAGGTTTATAGGTAAGTTAGTAATATTATATAGTATAAAATATATTAAGTAAAGAAGCAGCTTAGGCTACTAGCTAATTAGCTATTATATAGTTATAGTAAAAGTTATTTTAAAAAGGTTATTTTAAGTTAATAAACTTACTTTTATTAGGTATTTTACCTTATATATATTTTATATACTTTAAGCTTAATTATCCTTATAAAAAAGTAGTAATACTTATTTATATATATCTAGAGTTAGTTATTAAGATATTAACTTTTTAGTTAAAACTAAGATCCTAGGTAATAATAAGGGTAATAAGTATCTTGCCTATATATGTTTATTAGTATTTTTTACTTTTATATGCTGGAGGCTAAAGCCTCTTTTAACTACCTATAACCTTACTCCTTAATATTTATAGCCTTGCGCTAGCCCTCATGCATTGACATATGGTGACGGGTTTACTGGTTCCAAACAGCTGAAGAAGGCTTGGTGTTAGCTGTTGAACAAATACTCCAACCCTTCTATACTGATAATCCCCTCGCACCTGCATGTTACACCGGGAGTGGGCAACGCCCTAGAATGTTGTGCCTGGTCTCTTTTGATTAAGAAGACTAAGTGCTTGTCGGTCGGCCTTATTGGACTGCCTTTAATTACATCTTTGGGATCCGAGCTGGGTGCTTGTCGTTTCACATGATTGTGGCATAAATTAATAAGTGCAAAAGGTCCGAGTTCGAGAGGTCTCCTTTCGTGGCACTGATCCATTTAGCCTTGAGGCCGTCCATGAGTATGAAAGAGAGTATTTGCAAGCACAGAAAGAGGCAAGATGTGTCAAGGCCATATTACTATGTTCTCCACATAACCCGCTCGGTATGCGTAACCCCCCCTAAAAAAAAGGTACAAAGCAAGTCACAGAAGCTGACATTTACTTCAGGCCGCTGCTACCCTCAGGATGTCCTGAGAGCATATATGAGCCTTTGCGGTAGATTTGGACTGCATCTCATTGTCGACGAGATATATGCACTATCTGTGTTCGAGAACGCCAAAATGCAAAATGCTGTCCCGTTCACTTCGATACTTTCTCTAAAGGCCAACGGGCTCATGGATCCTAGAAAATTCCATGTACAGTGGGGACTCAGTAAAGTATATCACCACGTTATCCTTTACTTGATTTCGGTCTGATCACATAACAGGATTTTGGGGCTACTGGCCTGCGCATTGGCTGCCTTATCAGTCAATCGAATAATTTATTCCTTAAGTCGCTTGAGGGCTTCTCGTAAGTCTTATGGCCGTGAAGCCGACTCCTGTGCACGAAATTCCATATATTAATTGCTTCACAGTCTCTTTAACTTCCCTTCGAGCCTTGCTGACCATGCCGTTTCCTCGCTGCTCTTAAGTGAGGAGTACTCTCACAAGTACATCACAACCTATCAATCACGCTTGGCAGAGAGCTACAAGCATGTAACTGGATTTCTAGATCAACATGGAATTGCATATCGGGAGTCAAATGCCTCATTATTCTTGATGGTAAACCTCTCGGTTGTGGGTGACCGTGAATTATCTAACGATGATAACATTCTCGCCCTTCTGAGATGGAAAAAAGTCCACCTCACCTCGGCGATGGCTTATAGGAGTGAGGAACCAGGTTGGTTTAGGATAGTTATCGCACACCCCAAGTCCGTGTTGGATGAAGGTTTGAAGAGGCTGCTTAATGCCCTCTCCAAATCTAGCTGAAGATGTATTACTTTGCATCGCTCATCATCACGCCCTACGTTATCCGCAAACGCAAATTTAGTGCAGACTACGCAATAGCCCAGACACTGTTCTATACAACGTAAGTGTATGCATTGTTAAATAATCCCTCTCTCCCCCAGCACGCAATAAATGTCTAAAGAGATGCTAATTCCGCCACTGATAAACAACGACTACTAGTACACATCTTCTTTTTAGTACCCTACGCCGGAACTATGTGGCATAAGGTATCGAGGTCCCGAAGTGCAGAATAAGCTTAACAACATATGGAGCACCCGACACGTTTGCATGCTAGTAGGTTATGCAATTGGCTCAAATATGACAATTAGGTTCTTATCTATACTAACTACCCGAGGGGAGTTGCTCCAAGTCTTTCCTAAAGGGGACACATGATATACCACAACCCCCACAACTATCGAAAGCACGTAATACCGAGAAATCTTCACGCCTTCTATGAGGTTCACTACATCCCGAGATAACTAGCTTTAGTAGGCTTATGATAAATCTTGTAATTTACAAATTTCTATCTTTGATGAAATACAAATATCGCTGCTGCAGTCGCACCATTGTAAAAGAAACCGGCATCTCCCTTGACTCACAAGCTGAACCATTACTTGAACTCTGATTATTTCGCCTCACCGTCTGCTCAACTGTTATTTCGTCATGGCCACTGTTCTGGTCAGGGACCAGAAGTACCTCGATGTATCCGAGTCTGAGATCTCTGTTGACCCGGTGCCACCACTTGGAGCGCCCGTAACTGAGAAGACTCATCTGTTCCAGCGGGGCAAGGGCTTTGATGCAGATGCAATCGCTACCCAAGTAAGTGACCTTGGATCTGCTACATTACTAGTACTTGCATCTAACACCGTTTGTCCAGGCTAGCGTTTTTGATGATCCTAAAACTGCCGAGCAATACCAGCCGCGATCAGACTGGTAAGGCCATCCATCTATCTACAGACCTTATGACAAGCTTTACTAATAGCTTTAATTAGGGAAAACCTCAGTCGCTTTGATCCCCTTGCGCGATGGACCTGGGGTGAAGAAAAGCAGTTGGTCCGTAAAGTCGACATCAAAATTATGATCTGGGCATGTACCATGTTCATGGCCCTGGAGTTGGACAGAGCCAACATTTCCCAAGCCTTGACGGACAACCTCCTAGGCGACTTGAGCTTGACGACCAATGGTACGTTTGGCCCGCTTATGCATATCGTTTTCGGTGATTGATCATGATGCTTCAGACTTCAACCTTGGAAACACGGTATTCAAGCTCTCGTTCCTCTGCGCTGAGCTGCCATCGCAGCTTGTCTCTAAATGGATGGGTCCTGACCGTTGGATCCCGACACAAATGTGCCTCTGGAGTGTTGTTGCGGCGGCACAGTTCTGGCTGTCAGGCCGCGAATCATTTCTCGCCTGTCGTGCACTTCTTGGAATTCTCCAAGGTGGCTTTGTCCCTGATGTAAGTCGAATCCGGTTAGGTCAATCACTACCGGTTCATCAAACATGCTGACTGATCTCATCAAGGTGATTCTGTCCCTCTCATACTTTTACAAGCACCACGAGCTTTCGATTCGTCTAGGGTTCTTCTGGACCATGATGAGCGTCGCCGACATCATCTCGGCGCTTCTTGCGGCGGCCCTGTTGGAGATGCGCGGTGTCAACGGTCACGCTGGTTGGCGATGGCTGTTCCTCATTGAGGGCCTCATCACTCTGATCTTTGGCCTCCTCGCCTATGACCTCATGCCCCCGGGCCCAATCCAGACTGCCAATTGGTTCCGTGGAAAGACAGGCTGGTTCACTGAGAGAGAAGAAGTCATCATGGTCAAATGAATCATCCGCGAAGATCCCACTAAGAGCACAATGCACAACCGGCAGCCCATTACATTCAAACTGCTGTTCCAGAGTCTTAGTGACTACGACCTTTGGTCATTGTATCTGCTTGGATTGACCTTCCAGCTCCCTGCCACACCGGAGGGGCAGTACTTGACTCTGTCGCTCAAGGGCCTCGGCTTTAACACGCTCCAGTCCAATCTCTTAAGCATTCCATATACAGTATTTCATATTATTACCATGTTGGCCCTCACTTATACAGCCGAGTATGTGAAGAACCTGACTCTCATGGGAATAATTGGTCAGATTTGGATCCTGCCTTGTCTTATTTGGTTCAATGTCGCCAATACCCAGACAGCTAGCCGTTGGACTGTCTACGCCGTCACCACTGTGCTGCTGTCCTATCCAAATGGTGAGTAGAGTGGAAAGGAAGATGCAATAACTATAGCTAACTGTTTCAATCCAGCTCATCCTATGCAAGTAGCTTGGAACTCTCGCAACTAAAACAGTGTACGCTCTCGAACCGTATCAGCCGCCTGTTACAACATGTTTTGTCAAGCTGGCGGTATTATCGCTTCCAACATCTATCGCAAAGATGACGCACCTAAATACCACCGTGGTAATCGACAGTTGCTTGCTATTCTTATTATGAATCTTGTCCTTTATGTCCTGGTCAAGGTTTACCATATCCTCCGTAATAAGTCACGCGATAAGAAATGGAATGCTATGACTGAGTCAGAGAGGTTGGAATATCTTGACACTACCAAGGATGAAGGCAACAGAAGACTGGATTTTAGATTCGCTCATTAAGATATCGTGGTTTTCTTTCCACGACGAAAGCTTCGGTATCCTAATTACTTCCAAATCGACTGACTAAAGCTTGTCAATCAACAGGAGAGGCCGTTAGAAACATACAAATTAACCATATACACATATATAGTATCCATTTCTTAAGCTATTAGAGGTGCCTGACCGAAACATAGACAAGTGGTGGTACTGGAAGATCAGTGCAACTCTCACTATAGTCTGTTTAAAGTAATAGACCTACAAAGACCAGTAACAAACAGGCTTATCTACACGTCGTGAGTCTTTTCATGTCACAGCATCAACTTCTGTCTGTTTTCAATACCTGCGCAGCGGATAGAATCTAATAGACTAGATAAATCGTACAATTACGTCGCTGCCACGACAGAAGTCTCTGCTCAAAGGCCATGATATACAGTAATAAATACCGTGATGTACATATTGGTTGGGTATACTCCACTGTATCGACACCACTACATGGAAAATGACGCAACTCGATTGACATAACGTTGTACCCTGTTATCTCTGCTTACTGATACCGCAGCATGAAAAGAATTAGACTAATACACTAGCTCTATCGCAGCTCGGATAACAAGTTCATTGGACAATAGAACGGAGATACCTGGTCAATACCGTTAATTGGGGTATGAGCTGTTTGATCTCAATCTGAACGTCATCGTGTACCAATCATATTCATGCTCTTCGAATCGCGCAATGAAAACCCCCATGGCTCGTGCTTTTATTGAATCATTCAGTAATTCATAGCTTGACTCTTTTGATTCACTTAGACTGATAGATCGCATTAGTTCAAACCTAGATAGAATTACGAATTGATTGAAGAAGACTACATGACACAAAAGGACTTATGGCAAAGCCGTTCTCGGGCAAATGCTTCTGTATTATGATGATCATGGCTTAACATAAAACTCTTCCGATGATATCGACTATTGCCTGCCACATACCAGTTGAAACCTATACACACACACCAAGCGGATGCTTGTATCCGATGAGCGTGATTCCCTAGTATTCCTGAGATGGTGTGTAGGAGATATGTCGAGCGGATTGCGCCAGATGAGGTGATGAAGGATACATCGGCCTGTGATTAGCTTTTTGTGAACAAGAGACTTGGGCTCTTGAGAGATTTCGGGGTTGCTTTTAAAAGAGGCGTACTGCTGTTCATAGTACAAGTAAACGGAAATCGCACTTATAGCAACATCTGTTCTAACGAATTGTGACCACAAGCACTCTTAAGATCCTCTTTCAATACAACATATACAAACTCTTAGTTACTCATCATGTCGCCACCTGCTGCTGACGTTGATACCCCCAGCACTGCTCCCGCAGTCCAGCCTGTGGTTAAACCCGTCAAAGGTACCGAAACCAGCAGCGCCTCACGCCTGGAAGGTCCCCTGTCCTACAGCGGTAGCCTTGACGCCGAAGAGCAATTTGATGTCACTGCTGTAATCGGCCGAGAGTTTCCAAAGCTGCAGCTCAGCGAGATCTTGAAGGATGACAACAAACTCAGAGACTTGGCTGTGCTTGGTATGAATATCTGATCTGGCCGTTACTGCTTTATACAAAACAGTGCTTACTATTCTAGTTTCCCAACGGGGTGTCGTTTTCTTCCGGAACCAAGACCTCAACATTAACGACCAAAAATATCTTGGGCAGAAGCTTGATGAGCTGACAGGCAAACCAGAGACATCCAAGGTTTGTCACCTCAAACGCTTGTTGTGATTATTCAACTGACCATTAAGCTCCATCGGCATGCGCTGTCAAACAGTAAGCGCGGTATTGCTGTTGATGAGAATGGAAGACTCGATGATGAAGTATCCGTCATCTCTTCTGAGCAGAACCGCAAGTTCTACAATGAAAAATGGAGCTCCCTTTCTAAGAACCTGGCTGGAGAGGGATGGCATGCTGAGTAAGTGTATAAAGAGAACGTCAAACACAAGCATCTTAATAATGAGTCACAGCATCACCTTTGAGAATATCCCATCTGACTATGCTATTCTCAAAATCATCCAACCTCCACAGGACGTTGGTGGTGATACACTCTGGGCGTCTGGGTACGAACTTTACGATCGCCTCTCGCCGCCGTTCAAGAAGCTGGCCGAGAACCTCACCAACCCAACTTTGTGCGAGTCAAGGAGACTTTCGGCGAAGATCTCATTGACGACTACCGTGGTGCTCCAGAGAACACTGGGTTGGATTTCAAGGCTGAGCAGTAAGCATCCCATGTCAGCTCCGGTGTATTGACGATTGCAAAAACTAACCTATCAGCCCTGTTGTGCGTACAAACCCTGTGACTGGTTGGAAGAGTCTCTTCGCCGTGGGTCACCAGCTTTCAGCTGGACACATCAACGGTGTATCTCATACCGAAAGCGAGATTCTCAAGACTTACTGTGAGAGCAATACCTCCCCCCTACAATGAGTTCACAATACTAATTACCCCAAGTTCGCCAACTCATCACCGAGAATCACGACCTTCAAGTACGGTTCCGCTGGGGAAAGAACGATCTTGCCATCTGGGATAAGTGAGTTATATAGCCGGCCTAGTTCCCTGTCGTTTGTCCAAAAACTAACTATATACTTTCTACAGCCGCTCTGTGTTCCACACCGCTACCAAGTACGTATACTGTAACCTTTTAGCTTCTGAGCCCAGCATGCTGATTTATGATTCTAGTGACTACGTTGGAAAACGTCAAGGAAATAGAGTTGTCTCGTTGGGGGAAAAGCCGTTCTATGACCCTGCTTCCCAGTCACGTAGAGAGGCTCTTGGCCTTGTGCAGTAAGATGCTTGGGGCATCTACAATATGCTCTTATTTATATACTTGTCTTGCCCTACGATGAAGAATCAACTGTATTGACTTTGCTTATCTCCTATCGCTAGTAAAGAGTATACAATGAATATATAAGCTTAAGACTGTAATTCCAGATAATGAGAGAGGGGAAAAGCCGTTTAACAAACGAATACAAGCCCTGGGATTCGGATAAGATAAATTCCTGTCGAGCTTACCATATGGCCACGAGAGTGTTTTATAAAAGTGGCTCGAGGGAGGGTAGATCATAACATGCCGAGACATCTGTCCCAAGACCTTGGCACATAACTTATGCCATTTCAATCAGGGGGGGTTAAGACATTAAGCTGGTGAGCTCATATGCTTGTTTTCTAGTTTTTATCTCTATCTCAAAAATGTGTTAACTGTAGTTTGGACCTCTTTTCTGAAGAATACATAGTCGCACCAGCGGAACCTGTAATTGTTATTTACAGTTAAGGCTTGTGGCTGAGCGCTTAAATTAGGTAGCGTACGGAGTACAGAACCCAGGAGACAGAACTTAGAGCTAAGCCTATATAATTCACTTGAATGTTATGAGATCTTGCTCACATGAACTAATAAAAACAAACTCAATCTTGACATACCCTGGATGCATCGGCGATTGAATCTTGTTTTTTCTGCAGGCGCTTAGTTCTCCCTTTACCGAACGTTTATGGAGTTGGAAGTCAGACACCAAGGGATGAGTGATTGGACGACGTTCTCCCTTATTTCCCGACGAATTGTGGCCGCATTTCTCGCACCACAAAATTTGGACAACAGGAGCTGCTGATTGGGCGGGGATGAGCGCGGATACACCATCTCCCTTCAACATGTCGGAGGCGTCGCTTTGGGAATATATGGACATATGGTTATCTTAGTATAGTGGTGTAAGGCAAGTAATGCATCTCAAATTACTATTCATTTTTCGGTTATTATTCTATACTATCACAATAGCGCAGAGGCCAGACTGATTGAAATCGCAGTGGTGTCGGATGTGATACCTTGGCAGATGTCTTGGGCGTTGACTTAGAAATGGAGGGAGATTTGATACCTTGGGATAATTCAAGCCTCTCAAATTATCCCCTCAGCTCATTTCACTGCCTGATGCATATAAATGTTCAACTCGCTTACTGTTTTCGATTTGGTATCATCACTCAGTCATTCATTTCCTACTACAAGCCATTCTTTGGCAGCCACTCGTTCAACATGCGTTTGTCCACATTTCTCCTCGCGGCATGTGCCTCGAGTGCATTCGGGCAGTTCAACCAGAATTTCAAGAGATTCACAAACACCAGTATTCCCGCCACTACGACTACTGGCTCTGTTCCTAGTTCAATTGACACCAGTGCTTCTACGACTAGTAGCACTGCTCCGTCTTCTGCGCCTATCAGTCTTGGAACAGCCCAGCTTGGTGCAGGTGCTAGCTACACCACTGCACTTGATGGTTCTGCGGCAGTGTAAGTATATCTTAGCGACTACATACCGAGAGGCACTGACAGATTTTAGCTCTCTCTTCATCCGAAATGGAGTCGCTACGTTCCGACTTGTGCCCTTCCTAGCCAGCTTCGCAGGCCTGCGTGTCTTTGTCGTCTTCAGTATCCTCGTCAGGCCTCCTCCCAGAGGCCTTAAGCGCCAGGTCTTCGATGGATGCACCCTCGAAGTTCAGGTGGATGGCCAAACCATCTACCAAGAAGTAATGAGCGACACAGGTGGATCAGAGGTTGGACAGCGTAGCAACCCTGTCAGGCTTGACGCCGAAGGTCGCCCTGATCTGCAATACTTCCTGACTTGTGGCTCTGATGCTGTTGAGGTTGTTGTTTCTCATCTGTCTTTTGACCAAGCTGGCGAGGATGCACAGACCACACCTATTGCGCCTCTCCCAACGGGCACTGAAACGCCAGGTGGTACGAACACTAACTCTGAGGGATTTACTACCAATTCTGAGGGAGAGACTGTTTCCCCTCCTGGCACCAACTCGGCTGGCTTTACCACGAACTCTGACGGAGAGACTATTTTCCCTACCGGAACTGACTCGGCTGGTTTCACCACCAACTCGAACGGTGAGACTGTCTTCCCCACAGGGGCCAACTCTGCCGGCTTCACTACGAACTCGGACGGGGAGACTATCTTTCCTCCTAGCACCAACTCTGCTGGATTCACCACGAACTCTAATGGAGAGACTGTTTTCCCTACTGGGACTAACTCTGCCGGCTTCACCACCAACTCCAACGGCGAGACCATCTTCCCCACTGGAACGGCAACTGGCACTGAGGATGAAACTTCCGCTCCGACTGCAACCTCTCTCGCTGGCTTCCCTGACTTCATTGATGCTTTCGCACTCTTCGGCTGTGTCGGATCTAGTGATGGCTTCCCGACTTTCGAACTTGCTGAATCGGATACCTCTATGGATCTGGATCAGTGCTCTACTCTCTGCCAAGGCCGAGCCTACTTTGGTGTCTATGATACGTAAGTCATATAGTCCTCCCTCGACATTATCTGCAATCGCTGATATTTCTAGTGACTGCTACTGTGGTGACGAGATTGATGGCGAGGACACTACCCGTGTTGAACTCGATTCCTGCGATATCGAGTGCCCCGGCGATGTTTCTCAGTTCTGCGGTGGTGACTCTCAGCGCCGCAGGATGCACCGTCGCCAGACCATTTCTTCCGATCGCCTTCTCACGGTTTATGTTTCTGCTGGCGGTCAAACTGATGTTGTCACCGACGAGGTCACTCGAACCGTCACTGATCAGTCAACTTTCGTTACTACCTTCGCCACTACCGTTGCTGGACCCGTCACCACCGCTACCGAGCGAGTAGTGTACATCTTTGTTGAGGCCGAATGCGGCGCCTGTAACCGCGAGTGGGTCTATATCCCTGAAGTTTGTGACTGCCAGGGCGGCTTCCAGTATGTTCCCCACTTCTGCTTCGGTGGCAGCTGCTCTGGAAAGACTGTATACAAGTCTCAGGAATGCCACGATTGGTGGAACCACAAGGACTTCTATGTGCCAGCAGACTGCGAGGAATGCTCCGGTGGAGAGATTATTTACAAGCCTTGGGAGAATTCTTGGGGCACGCCTGAGAACTGCAAGCCCGAGGAGATTCCTGCCTGTGAGGGACACAGGTGTCCTCCTGTCTACCCCACCAACAACAAGGGTCAGAACGGAGGTGGTGGCAGTGATCACGGTGGCAGCTCCAAGCCTGGTATGCACCATGGAGGTTCCGACAGTGGTTCCAACGGTGGTTCCAGCTATGGTGGTCACAGCAAGGGCTCGGACGACAACGGATCAAAGGGTGATGTCCCCGGATGTACTGGAGATGAATGCACTGGACCATACGACGGCGAATCTGGCTCCAAGCCCAATGGTTCCCATGAGTCCAGTGGAGGTGATACCCACGGCGAGCCTGCACCTGGAAGCAAGCCCACTGGACCGGCTGAGGGCAGTGGCTCTCACAGTGAGCCAGCACCTGGCGGCGAGCCTACTGGCGCTCCCGTTGTTATTAGCGGCGCCGGCAACCAGGTTGCTAATTTCTTTGTTCTTCTGGCTGCCATCGCCCCCGCTCTTCTCTAGATATTAACTAGATATTGAATTATTTCATTTCCATGTAAATACTTATGTTAAACTAACTTTAATAAATTAACGTAACCATGGAGTGAGTCATAACGTCACTACATCTCTATCAATGTGAATAAGTTATAGAGTGCTCGAATGCAGTACCTGAAAGACATAGCTCATCATGACGTCGTGAGTAAGTAAAGACACAATGACGATTTGACGATGGTATTGGTGTATTACGCTATGACCTCAAGCTAATTTATCCAGGTATTCCGATCAGCCGAACACCCCACTCGCAATTGGCTTTGCTAACTAGTCCATCCCATTCGGCCTCACTCTGATTTGTCCGGATGAGAATTCGGCAGTCAACTGCCGACGGAGTGATGCACTAAGATCCGATTCATGGGGACCCTGTTTCTTTACCCCAGATCTATCCCGCGAACTTGGTCATGCTCGGTTCTTGTGCGGTGATCATTGTGAAGCATGCCAGTAAGCCTTGCCCATTTTCAACACTATTTGCACTATTTCGTTCTCAGGAGCAGTTTTCGGGTTAACTTATATGCAAGGGATCATTGCTAAATCAGGCGGGTCGGGAAATGCTCGCGCCAAGATGGCACGAAATGGGCTTCACTATACGATGTTGTTGAAAGGCTTCTTCGCGTGCGCTCATCTATAAAAGGTTATGCGTAGTCTTCTCTCATCTAAGCATCATTCACTTCATCTCCTCCATTAAACACTTTCTACTAAACCTTCATTTTGTTGCCAGCCGATTTGAAACTCTTTCATGAGTTCTTGAGCTTATCATGCTTTTACAAAGCGTCTTCGCCCTTGGCCTTGCCAGCGTTTTGCGTGCTGCGCCTTGCGATATCTACAGTGCAGGGGGTACGCCCTGTATCGATGCGCATAGTTCTACTCGAGCTTTGTTTGACAAATACAACGGTGCTCTCTACCAGATCAAACGTGCCTCGGATGGAACTACCCGTGATTATCGGTCCGCTTTCAGCAGGTGGCGTTGCAAAGTCATCCGATCAGGACGACTTTTGTAGTGGAACTACCTGCCTTATAACCTTTATCTACGACCAGACCGGCCGAGGTAATCACCTCGGTCAAGCTAAAGGTGGTTATTGGAGCGGTCCTGATGTTAATGGTTGGGACAATATGGCTGCGGCAGACGGCGCGCCAGTCACCCTCAATGGCAAGAAAGCATATGGCGTCTTTGTTTCGCCTGGCACGGGTTATCGAAACAATGATGTCAGCGGATCAGCAACAGGTGATGAGCCTGAAGGCATCTATGCCGTGTTTGATGGTACTCACTATAATGGCGGCTGCTGTTTTGATTATGGAAATGCCGAAACCAGCAGTTCAGATACTGGTGCTGCTCATATGGAAGCTATTTACTTCGGCGACGTCAACGGTTGGGGGACAGGGGCTGGTGATGGTCCCTGGGTTATGGCTGATCTTGAGAATGGTCTCTTTTCCAGAAAGAGTTCCGGTAACAATCCTGGGGATCCAACAGTTAATCACCGGTTCTTGACTGCTATTGTCAAGGGAGAGCCAGGAACGTGGGCTATTCGTGGTGGTGACGCCACATCTGGTGGACTATCTACCTTTTACGACGGAGATCGTCCCGATGGCTACAACCCAATGCATAAAGAGGGTGCCCTCCTTCTTGGAAATGGAGGCGATAACAGCAACACAGGCCAAGGCACCTTTTATGAAGGCTGCGTTACTAGTGGTTACCCCTCAGATGATACCGAGAGTTCGGTGCAGGCTGATATTGTTGCGGCTGGGTATGCTGTCACTTCATTAACAAGTGGCCCCTCTCTTGACATTGGGTCCTCTGTTTCCCTCCACGTTACGACCCCAGGCTACACCAACCGATACCTCGTGCATAGTGGGTCAGACGTTATTACTCAGGTCGTTAGTAGCTCGAGTAGTGCTTCTGATAGGGGTGCGTCCACCTGGACTGTGCGGACTGGATTGGCCAATAGCGATTGTGTGTCATTTGAATCAAACGACACTGCCGGAAGCTTTATCAGACACTCTGGCTTTGTTTTATATGTTAACAGCAATGATGGATCTAAGCAGTTTAGCGAAGATGCTACCTTCTGTCCTATCAAGGGCCTTAACGGCCAGGGTAACTCAATGCGCTCTTGGAGCTATCCTACCAGGTACTTCAGACACTATGGCAATAAGGGCTACGCCGCCTCTGATGGTGGTGTCCATGACTTCGACAACAGCAACAGCTTCACGAACGATGTTAGCTTTATTGTTGAAGATGGTCTCGCCTAGGATTTCAACACGGAGTTGGAGTTTGATGTGAAGATAAGGAGGCACCTGGGTATTTGTACTGCAATGATGGTAGTGTGTTGTACTGAGTAGCAGAGTATTAAGCCAAGTAGTTTTATATTCTGAAGAAGAAGAATAAACCTTGCATAAACCATAACAGTCGACTTCACCCTCGCCACATCTCAAAACTAAATCGAAAACTAAAAGCAACGAGGCAAGCGCTTCCATTCAAGACATCGTTGAGATCGACACCAAAGTCAGGCTTCTTTGACTGCCCATGGCCTCGCATATAAAACATATTCTCACGCTAGTCAGACCTAGAAAATGCTTACCCACTCTGAGGCAATTTGTCGCCACCTAGGAATAAACAGCAGATTCCAAACAGCCGCGTCACAACTGTGAGTAAGATTGAAACTTGATCCCATCCTGGACCTCGGCCTGGCCAGTCTTAGCGGGCAGCCAGAACCTGACATGTACAAGGAAAAGCCCAGAATTCGGCTTGCATCTAATCCGCATATTTCGTCCCGACAAGTCACACCAAGAAATATCATTCCAGCCACATGATCTGACAAACGAATGATTTATAGCCATATTGAGAGTCCGTGGGCATACGTATGCTTCTAGCCAACAACTTATGCCGTGGCCCACTACTGCTTTGTGGCTGCCACACATCACGCGATTTAGTCTTAACACTTAAGACAGTGAAACCGCCATCGCCCACCAGAGACTCTGATATGATTATTTAAGCCATTCAATTTACCACCAACCTTCAATAACTTTTGTCTTGTTCTTCGCTCGCCACAATTACCGAGCTTACTATCCGAATTTCTCTCTGCTGATTCAAAATCTCAGCCTCGAGTCTCAATCGCAAATAACCTTACGGTTCTTAGGGACAAAGACAACATTATGTCGGAACAACCTTCCCCACCGCAAGGTCTCCTCGGCAATCAAACCTCAAAACCGATCGTCAGAACGGAGTCAGGCCATGTTCGTGGCAGAACCGCCGACAATGTCCACGTGTTCAAAGGGGTGCCGTTTGCTGCACCACCTTTTGGGCCCAATTATCTCCGTCCTCCACAGCCGCCGGAGCATTGGGAAGATGTGCGTGACACACTAAGTTTCGGGCCCAAGTCGCCGCAGGTCCCCTATCCCCCGGGGATTGCTGAGGGCCTTGCAGAACTAGTCAGCAGTGGTGAAGACTGTCTGACGCTTAACGTCTGGGCACCTAGCCTCGGTACCGCGGGGCGGCCAGTAATGGTCTGGATTCCCGGCGGTATGTTTGAGTTCCATGCTACTGGCGCTGTAGCCTACTACGATGGTGCTAGGTTTGCCCGCGACGGCGTCGTGTGTGTAACGATCAACTACCGCGTGGGTGCCCAAGGATTTCTCTATCTAGCCGATGGCACCCCCAACCTTGGCCTGCTTGACCAGATCGCCGCTCTCGAATGGGTGCAGAAGAACATAAAGGCATTCGGCGGCGATCCCAGCAGGGTAACTATCTTTGGGGAGTCGGCCGGTGCCATGAGCGTCGCCACACTACTGGCTGTCCCCAAGGCAAAGGGGCTGTTCCGCCGAGCGATTGTGCAAAGCGGGAGCAACCCAAAACTCAATTCAGCAGCAACATCGAAGCGGATCGGACAGCGATTGGCAGAGATTCTAGGCATCGAGGCTACATTGGAGGCCATCAAGCCGATATCGTCTGATCGTATCCTCCAGGCTCAGGCTCAGCTGCGAGACGAGCTGACCACGCGCCCTGACCCGACTTTGTGGGGCGAGGTTGCGCTCAGTTTTATCCCGTGGGCACCCACAATTGACGGTGATATTCTCCCGATGCATCCAATCGATGCTATTCATGCTGGTGCTGCAGCCGACATTGATTTGGTGGTTGGCTCTAACACCGAGGAAACACGTCTTTTCTTAGTCCCAGACGGATCCATCGATCGCATTACGGAAGAGAGCTTGTCCGCGATAGCCGGCGTGTACGGCCTGCCGCCAGAGGGCGTCGACGCATATCGTGTATTGCATCCAGGAGCCACTGCTGGTGAGCTATTCCCGGCGATCCAGACCGATTGGTTCTGGCGGATCCCTGCCAATCGCTTTGCCGACGCCCATGAAGAGGCGGCTCGAGCATCGACGTATATGTATGAGTTTGCCTGGCAATCGCCTCAGATGGGTGGCCGCCTCGGCGCGTCACATTCTTTCGAGATTCCCTTCGTTTTCGACACGCTCGGTCTCGGAACGGAACCCCTTCTTGGTCCAACTCCTTCGCAAGAGCTCGCTGATGCCATGCATCAGGCCTAGGTAGCATTTGCCACGACAGGAGATACAGGATGGCCGAAATATGAAGCTAGCCGCAGGTCAACTATGCATTTTGATGTGGAATCTATAGCCGTGGATAATCCTCTCGATAAAGAGCTTCAGCTTTGGGAGAACATTTGTTAACTATTTACTTATAATGAGCACTCGAGGTATACTTTACAGTGGTTTCAGCTAGAGTGTCGAAATACTGCGTTTAAATTAAGCTACTTGCTGAATGAATTATTCCTGACTTATCGAATGCCATAAAACCAGTACCCTCTCTGCACCCAACATATTCAGCGAAGATATCTGAACCCCTCAAGATAGAAGTTTCCTCCCATAAGTTGATTTGGCCTTTACCGTCGCCCATCTCCCCACCAGGTCCATAAACCTCCATCCACCGCTTTCGAAGCTTGACGTGGCCTCTGTGAATTCTGCCAACCCGTTCAAACTTGCTCATGTCCTGCCAGTAAAACATCTCGATCTTCCTGTTATGGTTCAAATTGATTGGAGTACCGGCTTTAAACGTTCCATGATCTGAGACATGACCCATTCGCACATCGAAGAGTCCATTGGTAGTGGTATCCTTTGCTAGGTAGCCCATCCAGCCAGTAACAAGTTCGTCAAACTCTTCGAACCACAAAGCCTTCTCTTCTGGAGACATTCCGGAGTGGTCTTGTCCCTCGACTAGAAAACAGATATTGTCTGGTAGGTCGGAGACAGTTGTCCTGCCAAGACGAATAGTTGTTGTCTCTGGAACCCGCGCAGGCATGTCCTCTAACGAAGAGGCCAGCTTATCACCCAAGCTCACATCTGGTATACGATGACGAACACAGCCCCAATACCCGATCTTGTCGCCGAATGGTTCCATCTCTCCAACCCCATTCATCCCATTCTTCAACTCAGCAGTGCATGCATTCTGCACTCGATTGGCAGTGGCTGTAAGAATTTCCCTCCACATGCCAGCGTCTGCTGGGAGCTCGTCCCAAAACTGTTTCACAGCAGGCGACAACCACCACTTTGCGTGGGACTCTGGCCACCAATATGAGAGCCAGATCTGGGTGCTCATATCATTAGTGCCTGGGACCGTGATGCGATCAAGGTGCGCCTGTCCAGTGATGAGCTTGTCGAACCTCTCAATAAGATCCAGCTGCTGGCTGTTTGGTTACTGGATGCCATATATCCCGTAGATGAACTTGTCTCCCGGTTGGAATTTGGCGCGGTAAAACATGTTAATGAGGTTGACTATAAATGATTTGTGAGCTGTACTTGGCAAGTAAGACTTCTTAGTAAAAAGAATAGAAAATTAGCTTTTGTTAGAACAGCATCGAAATACCCATTTATATTTATAGAGATACAATCAATTGATTTGTAAAGTTACTATTTCCCCATCTATAGTTCTACACTAACCTTCTTCAACAACTGTCCTTCACCATACCGACATGTTCAGTCTAACTATCTTGCATAACGCCACTAGACCACCTGGATATCAATTACCCAGCTATGGCAATAATCTCATTCCGACATCGACGCTTTCTGTCAACATTACGCTATCTATACCAGCTATAGCGCTGATCTCATTCCGAGGGACAGATCAACGAGACTGAGACCCGAGACGCTAATCTGGGGTTTGGTCTGTCCCTTTCATGATGGCGCGTGAGATACAGACGACAGAGAGCAATATCTAACTATTGACCCCAGATTTATTGCGGGGTAACTGGTCGACTCAACTTGGACGAGTCAGGGTGGCAAAGCTTGTTATGAAGCTAAACTGGCTTTGGCCTCAATGATTACTCGATCGTGACTGTGATTGGAGGAGAACCGTCGGAATGAGATAAGAATTCCGGTATCATGGTTGAATCCGAGATCTGCACCAGATCGGTAATGCGATATGGGGTGAAAGAGGAGTTGATTCCGATATCTGTTGCAGGTGACAGATTCCGGGGCAATTTGTAATTCATAGCTTATCGTACGCAGGTCAAGAGAGGGGGGATAAGCCTTGCACATAAATACGTCTATAATTTCAAGCTCATTCGTTGTGGTAATCTCATCGATCTTTCACAATGCCTCCCAAATGCAAAGTAGCTGCCATCCAGGCCGAACCATGCTGGAACGACTTGAAAGGGAGCATTGCCAAAACGATTGGGTTGATCCAAGAGGCTGCTGGTAACGGCGCCAACGTCATTGGTTTCCCCGAGATCTTCATCCCGGGCTACCCATGGTAAGTGTAAATCTCGTGGAGCGACAATGACCAACTAAGGAGATGATTCTAGGACAATTTGGGCAAACTCGCCAGTCAGCAATGCTGTTTTTATGAGCGAGTATTTTGCCAATTCTCTTGAGAAGGAGTCTGAGGAGATGGAACAAATTAAGACAGCTGTTCGTGATGCGGGAGTTTTCATTGTGCTTGGATACAGTGAGAGATATCAAGGCACCCTCTACATTTCCCAGGTAGGTCATCTGATTCTGTCGCTCCTAGTCGCTAAATACTAACTGCTGTTTAGTCATTTATCGACGAGACCGGCACCATTGTTCTTCATCGACGAAAGATCAAGCCAACCCACGTTGAGAGAGCATACTGGGGCGATGGGCAAGCCGATTCCGTCAAGGCTGTCGCCCCCTCCTCATTCGGCAATATCGGTGGCCTGAACTGCTGGGAGCACACTCAACCCTTACTGCGTTACTACCAGTATTCTCAAAACCTGGATATCCAAGTTTCCAGCTGGCCTCTTTGCTGGGATGCCCTGGAGGGCCAACCTTGGCCATATCACTTGACACCGCCTGCTTGCAACAGATTCTCACAGGTCATGGCGATGGAAGGCGCCTGCTTTGTCTTGGTCTGCTCCCAAGTGCTAACAGAAGACAGCAAGGCCAGGACAGGATTGGAAAAGTTCGATTATGCGAGGGCCCCAGGTGGCGGCTTCAGCATGATCTACGGGCCTGATGGCTCTGAGCTGTGCAAGCCGTTGGAAGCAGGAGAGGAGGGGATTCTATATGCTGATGTTGATCTTTCATTCCGAGCCATGATGCAGCAGAACCTCGATCTGGTGGGACATTATTCACGACCTGATTTGCTTAGTCTTAATGTGACGACAGAGACTGCAGTTCCGATTCGTCACAAGTAATACCTTTCGCATTAAAGATAGGAATCAAGGAAGTTTAAGAGAATCAGGTTGTATATACTACTCTTACATAGTCTGGGATCTATCACTATGAAAACTGGTTAGAAGAATGTGAAGCTTTCGCAGTTGCCAAGAATTTGACTCAAATTGTTGAACATTGACGGGTCAGTGTCCGTCCAAGTGTTGTCGGCAGGATCCACGTTAAACAGGCCGATTGGGATATTCGCCGTAGTAGCAAGGCCATTTAGCAGCATAGGGTCTCCTATCAAGTTTGTTGCTTGTACTGCCTCTGAAAAGCCAGGGTCTTGGCCAGCACTCATCGCCCCTGTACCAGGAACTGGCCCGAAGCCCCCGCTTCCTGTGTATCTCTGTGATCTCAATTCATCGGTAGCCTTCCGTATGGTTTGCAATTTATCCCTCAGCCGCCTCGTGATCAGAGACTCTCTCGCCAGTCGGTGGATCAGCTGTGTTGCAGTAACCACATCTTGGAGACAAGACTTGCTCTGATCGGGGTTGGCATAGCAGGTAACAAGAAGCAGAGACGACAAAGCGGTCTCGAGGAAATGGTTAAACGTCTTGTGCTGAGCATGATATATGTCGGTATCCCTAGCCAGTCTGGCCAGCACTTGGATCGAGTCTCGAGCAACCTGGATCATGACCTGAAAGTTTGATGTGTCGATATTGTGAGAACCAAAACGACTTGCGGCTTTACGGAGAATTATTGTTCTCATCTGATTAGCTCGCAGATAAAGCATTAATCGGAGCTTGTAGTCTCCGCGTTTCTCAACTGCAGCGTCGAATTTGTCCTCAATACCAGTAAATTGTAATCGACGTGGCAGATTCTGCTGCCACTGAAGTACTCGAAACTGCAGATAGTCCTGAGTTGAGTTAGAGTCTTGAAGTCGAGATGCCAAAGGGCTAATGAAGAAGCTTTTGACATCAGAGGCTATGCCACAAAATGAAACCATTTCTTTGAGATAAGTTAATGAATGGCTGCTTTCGTTCTGTTCCATGGTTCAGTTAATGTTCAAAGCATCCGTAATTGGGGTCATACCGTTGGCAGTGACGACCGGTTGATCTCGGAGTCCTGAACTGCGAATGGTAGCCCAGTACCAAAGCTCCATCTTCGGTCCAAGGTATATAAAGACCAGAAGAATGTGTCCAAGATTTTCTCAGGAGCGGTCTCTTCCTCTTGGGAGCTTTGCTCATGTACAAGTCTCAAGATGGTACCAATTAATCTCCATGCCTCTTTCTCACGATCGTTAAGAAAGAAGAAGATACACTACACAAGAACAAGCGATTAATACGAGCACAATGAAGAGGAAGGATCCACTCACAATCAGAGTCAGTAATGTCAAGTCACCTAAACTTGGGGATTTTAGGTATATCTTGGGGATGGTTGAAACGAAAGCCTCTTCGACTATGGGACTCACGATTTCGACAGCCTTGGAGCCTTCAAAGCTTGAGACGATCGCCAATACTAGGAAGGCGATATTGCCAATACCTTCGCCAAACAGGCCACCAGAACGAGGGCAATCGGAGTCAGACTGTGTTCGTCTCTCAAGCATCTCATGGCTCAACTGACTGATATCGAGAAATGGATACATCATGCCGACTTCCTCTTCATAGATCGCGAGAACTTGACACCAGTTGTTGTGATCAAGAGCTTCTAGTGCTCTGCAGGGAGAAACGCTTCCCTGAATAAATAATCTATCCAGTTCTCTAGAGACGAAACCCACTGAGCAAGGGCTTACGTCGCTATGATGGTCGGCTTGAAACAGCTGCCGCTCGGTAAGGCGTATGAAGTCATCGAAGTTGTCATATGCTAATTCCGAACATGGAGCCTCGAGGGGCCAGCTCTGCGCCATTGAATCTAGGCTCTCTGAGCCGTCCTCCAGAGATTCCTTCTCTGATTGAACATTTTCTGACTCTTGGAGTGGTGCCTTTGCTCTACGCGACGTAAGCTTCCATACCCCAAGGTTTTAGAGTGACACCTACGATACACAACGCGAAGATCGATAGCGTGTTGCGCGAGGATAGAGGCATCTGGTGGAGGCTTTACTACATCCATTGCATGGTTGCTCGCCGCTGCATCTGGTCTTGCGCTGTTGGCATCTCTCGCTGGGGCGACCCTAGTCAGCAGAAGCACATGTCCATGACGCGCAGAAAGTACCGACCAAGCGACAGATGTGTAGCGAGAGCGTCGCTTTTTCTCTGTTACCATTGCGGATAGGCCATCAATGCAGGGTATTTATTACTAATGGAACCGAATCATATGCAAGAAGAGAATAAAACCCCGCAATCGGGAATGATTAGGATTTGGATGTTGAGTTGGAACTATCGATTAAGCGCGATTGCTGATTGGCTACGCTACGGGGCATTGGATTGTTGATCTTGAACAGAATTGACATCTCTAGCGCCGAGTATCGGTCGGGATGATCGTCCAGGAGGAAATATTTCATCAGGACCAGTTATGTTTACGCAAATCTCAATAGCAACTCGACCAAAGAAGGGACATGCTAGTTCAGATGAACATGTGCCTTGCAATGCGGGTCTAGGTGCTGTCGTATGAAGAATTGGCTGTCACACGGTGTTAGGACTATTAACCTCAGATTTGTTAGTAGTACAACGGTTATTTAATAAATAAAATCTATATACGATGTTGAGTATTAATTAAGAAAGTAACTAAAGGCAAAAATACCCAATGCAATAAAAATACAAGCCCCATACCCGGCAATAAACTGAACCTTCTCACTAAACTGATAAACTTCTGCGCCGATGGATGCGTTAATTTCCCCGTTGTATGTCGACATCCTAAGTGAAATCGTCGAAATCACAACATCTTGTAGGTATCTCTCAATACCTGCCGCGGAAATGTTGAAATGAGCATTATATCTGTCGACTAATCCAATATAGGGGCTCCCTAGTACTTGTGATGCATTGCCGTGGAAGAAAATAACCCCCAGTCCGGGGCCATCTCTATCTGTGGGGTTTTAGCTTGTGGAGGTAACTTGAAGTGAAGGACTGTACTCACGCATCTCTACCTCGCCTTGTAAAGCATTCACCGCAGCCCGGCTGATTCCATATGCTTGAGCATTGGTGAAATTTGCTTCTAAGCTGTCGTTGGCGAGACGAGGCGTAATGCCGCCACCATAAAAGAAGTAATAGAAGAATTGTGTTTGGATCCAAGCTTTCTCCGACCAGACCTCCCTTTCATTTTCAATATGCACATAGATAGACTGAGATGAGTCAAGTGAGTTATTGATATGAAGATTGTATGTCGCCAACTTCATAGAGCAGTCCAGGGTCTTCATACTCCGTGACGTGCAATTCTCTGGTCTAGGGTCAGTGTACCAGCTTATCTTAAAAGAGTTATTGCTGCGGCTATATGGTTCATCGGGACTGCTGTCTTTTTCATCTGCCGCTCTGTAGATGACAGAGCAGCCGTCCGACAGAGCATCGCGACGATTAAGTTCCTGACAACGAAACCGGGGCCCCTCGATAGAGATGTCGTAAATACACGAAGCGCCACAAGGCGAGTCAATCTTGACTGGTCTGCCAGATGATAGCACCTGAGCTGCTAATGCATTCAGACTCGGTCTCAATTGGTTCCTAGAATAGTCAGTTAAGAAATGCCTAACTTGAAGCAAACACTGACATATAACTGAGGTCCGCGTTCATTTCAAAGAACGACTTCTCCACGAAGTCTTGGTAAGTACCATTTCCGTAATCGCTGATATTGATTGTTGGCACAGCATTCATAGTCAAAGGTACAGAATTCTCAAATTTGACGGTCAGTGCTCCAGGAGGAAACACAGCTGCAAAAGGAATCCCAGCACAAAGGAATCCTACAAGCCACAGCCTCTTGATATGTAGAATATGAGCTAGAACCCTGGGCCGAAACAGATTCCATGGGCTGGAAGCAAGAGTATGGAGCTTAGTGTCCTGACTATAGAAGGACTTTTGTCCAAGAAACCTCGCCAGGATCCGGTTGTACGCCAATCCGAGACCTCCAAGCAGGGAAACTTCAACAAAAATTGCCAGTATATTGGCTAAAGCCGTTGAGAGGCCCTGGCCGATCGTTGTATTAACTGGACGATTATTCAATACGGCGAAAAAAGCGGCATGGATGCCCACGAAGCAAATGGCTGCGAAGTGTCAAGTAATGTTCAGTGGCTGGCCAAAAATTCAGCAGAGGAATAGTACTAACCAACAGAATAGAAAATGAAGATTTTCCCCACGGCTCCGGACGGCTTCTTGCGTGTCGCTGGATTGTGTCCTCGTGAAGATCTCCCTACTGGTGCCTGAACTGCCATTTTCTGGGCAGCATCCAATTGATTCTCTGTGTAGAATTGTATCTTTTGCTACTGCTAGAGGGTGCTTGCAAAACGAGAAGTTGGATAGATCTAGTTGACGGTCAGTAGCTACCTGAGTTGTTGAGATGGTGGGGATTTCGGCATTAAATACGCCGGTCTCAGCCAGCAATGCCTCAAATCTGAAAATCCTCCCAGCGTCTATTCTCTCTGTATAATTGGTAGCCTGATTCGTCTTGGAATCTGCAATATGAAACACTATGAGACAAAGAGTGTGCATTGGGAGCTAGTAGTGCGGTTAAATCAAGGCAGTACTGAGGAATAGTAAGTCAAGCAGAGAGGGTACATGATAGTTCTTGTGAAGGCAGTCTAGGGGCCGTAGTGCCAAGGGTTGGCTGCCACACGGTGTCAGGATACTTGCCACCTCTTCCATAAAGACTCTTGCGTTGAGCCCAAGGCGGTGAACAGACCCTGTCGAGTCTGGGTAATGGAGCCTATAGGGAGTAATGAAACTGAGGTAAAAGGCCAGCCGACAGCAGCTGAACGACGCCTCCAAGCCTAGAACGGGCCTCTGCAGAAATGGCTTTCAGCCTCTCAATAATGGCTGATTACCCCGGCCAATATCAGCGATTATAGTGGAGGCTGATGACACATCTGGGCGTCGATCTGAATCAGGCTGGCGCTTACAAGCCGTTGTCTCAATCTCCCCTTTAGCCTCTGTACAGGAGGGCTGAGCTTGGCGACAGGTTTTAAATGGTGCACCGTTCTCTCAGCCGCAGGCTAAAGGAGCGCCACTGCACATCTCCAGCCCATCCTAATATCATTGGATAAAATCTTTGAGTTATTTTCAACCCCCAAGAGAGAAGAAATATTTTAGGGAGCACTGCCTCCTCTGTTGTCTTACAGGTTCATCTGTCTCAATCTGAAGAACCGGTCCGTTTCAACCCCTCCCATCCGTTGAATGTTTCTCCACGTTGAGTAACGGACGATTTCATCAGCAGTCTATCGATCATTTGACGGTCACAAGTCTTTTGCAACTATGGCTGATATTCAGCCTACAGGTGCAGTTGCACCCGCGTTTGATGCGGCCGGCCCGGCCGTGACTGCTCCAGCGACGCTTTATCAGCGCGATCTTTTCGGTCGTCAAAACAACTACGGCTCCTGTGGCTACTATTCTCTCTTGGGCAGCGGTATTGACTCTTGCTAATTATCATCTTGAGCCTCGAATGATCTAACACAGTCGCATAGATTGGGCTACCTGGAAATGCGGCGAAGAGAATGCCTGGACTACGACCTGTAAGACCATCGGCTCACACTTTGGTTGCTTCGAGAATATCTTCACGACATGCTATCCCCGCGCCTCTAGCTGTAACAGTCTAGACCCGCGAGCTCTTTGTTGGTTCGTCTGATTGGTGCCCAAATTATTGCTGAACGTTGGCTAATGAGTGACTTCAGTACCGGAGATGTTAATGTGGACTATCCGTATTGCGCAACAGGCATCAAGGCCCTGGAAGACGGCGACGAGCTATCTATATACCTTTGTGGCAGATCCGAGCAACAGGTTCCCTTCTACGATTCAACCGTTATCAAGGTAACAACAGGTAGTACAACTGAAGAGCAAACTCTTACCAGTATTGATACGACCAAGGGCGTCACCGTCACCAAGACAGCTGAGCCCTCACCTGAAAAGGGTAACCCTACCCCAGTCGGGGCCATCGTTGGGGGCGTTATTGGCGGTGTCGCGCTGATCGCCATCTTGGGACTGGCCTTTTGGTTCCTTCGAAGCAAGAAGCGGCAGAACAAGGAGGTAACGCCTGCGCCTGCACCCGCACCTGGATTTCCCCCTCAACCATACCAACAGCAAATGGGCTACCAACAAGATGTGCCCCCTCCGATCATCCACGACTACAACAACAACAACAACTACGCCGGCTATCCCACTCAGGGCTCCCCACCACCCCCCAGTGACCCCAGATACAGCCAAATGTTCATGGAGGGCACAGGTTCTCCACATCAGAGTCCTCCGATCGAGCCTTACAAGACAGTTGTATCACCTGTTTCTGAACTTCCTATATATTCTTCCCCTCACGACAACACGCCCGTTTCTGAGCTGCCCGCTGGCATGGAGAATTCATACCAACCACGAGGGAATTAGGAGCAGTAGGAAAACACCGCAAATTTGGACAAGGGTATGTTAGGCTGGGCATGCAGGGGGGGCTTGGTAGGGACTAGCATCGAGTATTGTAATAATGACGCTGGGGAAATCACATCAAGACAAGTATGCTCAAGTTCAAGAGCGGGTTGACGATATACCAGTCAGATAATTCCTGGGATAAGGTTGTCGGTAGTCAAAAGAGGCTTTAGCCCCCAGCGCACAAAGGTAAAGAACACCAATAAACACATACAAGCAGATAATTCCATTCCAACCCTTACAGATGTTGATAACTATAATCTACTTGCCAAAGTACTTCAGTTCCAAATATCGAGCAACTGGGTACACGATGGCGGTGACCACAAAGGTCAACTCATTTGCGACATCGCCTCCGTATGTTCCAATCAACTTACCAAGAGGTCCAGTGAACCACGTCTCAACCATTCCCATGCACCACGCAACAACACCCACCAGAAACGCAACGGAGGCAGCGATACCATGCGGCAGCCTCTCCCGAGTGTTCCAGCCTTCGAGATCGTAGTTGGCAAAGTCACGCTTGCGGAATATGGTGTGTTCCTCGAAAAGGATGACGAAGTAGCTGGTGCACCAATAACCCAAGAGACTGAGGAAATCCTGCAGATATGTGTTGAGCTTTTGACGACCAACGATAGCCAGAATGATGACGATTACAAAGTTGCCAAGTGTCCAGATAAAACGAGGGACTCGGGCAAACGGGGTGGCCATTTGTTGGAATGAAATGGCCGATGAGTAGAGGGACATGATGTTGGTGTTGATGCCGCTGAAGGATAGCAGAACGAGGAGCAACTTGGCGAAGCCTCGAGGGTGCAGCATGTCTCTGATGAGGAAGCCAAGACCTTGGTGAGGGTCTTCGTATGCCGTCTTCCAAGCTTCGACATTGTTGAGAGCACTGGCAACCGTAGCTCCTGCAGTCATGCCGATCGCTGTAGGGATACCAATACCAGCCGTAGTCAAGAGCCAGACTTTGAGCCGTGATGTGTTGGCGGGGTAGTGCGCATAGTAGTCCGATGCCATAGTTGCCCACGATGCAGAGCTGCCGTAAACAATGGCAATCAGAGAAAGCACATTGCCCGAGAGATCTATGCCTGAGCTGGAAGCAGGGGTCTTGTTGTCGGAGTACGGTCCCACCATGCCAAAGATGATCATGAACACGATGAAGTAGATACACCAGGCATAGCGCTCATAGATCAGAATGTACTTGAGGCCCAAAAAGCTGATGGCGAGCGAAACGATGGCGATGATGATAACGCCAACGACGAGAGATATGTGGCCGTCGGCTACAGCAGTAAGGGCCAGACCACCACTGATGGTAGCAACAGAAGCCCAACCCAGCTGTTCAATGCCGTTGAGGAAAGCAATGATCTTGTTGGGATACCAGCCGAAGCTGTAGCGAGAGACGGAAACCTGACGTAGACCTGTTGCCGCACCAAAGGTAGCGCAGTATGAAGATACCGAGCCACCAAGAATAGACGCAAAGATGTAAATCAATAGACTCTGCTTCAAGCTCAGACCGAACTCCCAACCCAGGAACCCAGTGGCGAAACAACTGATGCCCATGGTACCCGATGCCCAAATCAGGGCCATGTTGAGCTCCTCATGCCATGGAACGGGTCGTTTGTCCTCTTCTGTTTTGCGCACAATGGCTTCAGACTCGACACCTAGAGCCTTGTCCATACGAGCCTCGAAGCGGCGGAGACTTGCTAGGACGCCGTGTTCGTAGTCGGCTGATGAAGTGTAGGCTTCGGTTGCTGGAATGTCGCCGCTGCCTGACTCGAGGGACAGCTCGTGGTCTCCGCCCTTGAGCTTCTCATTGTAAGATGCCATGGCTGCCCGAGTCCTTCGTTGTTGGACCCTGGATACTAGAGATGGGCGACAGCTGAAGACGCGGATGAGGTGAAAGGACACAGGTCACACAATAAAACGGACACCAAGAGAGGCAAAATGAGCAGGCTGTAACACTGTATTTCTAGATCCTGCAAACCCCACATCGGGTCGCACAATCCAAGGTTCGACCGATAGCAGTTGCCGCTTCTCCCGTACCCACCTAGTTATCGCCCTCGTTCATGGGGTACGATACCACTAACCTTCCCAATCTGCTGTCACATCGAGCCTGTTATTGGTCATTGCCAGACCCTCCCAGCGGCGATAAGCGACACTTATCATTACCATACCAGGGTACTGTGTGCGATGCGCGTGGAACTCACGAGCATTGTGTGCGCAGTCTAGGCAGTCTGTCCGAGGATGTCGTACACGCTAGAAACGCAGCAACGTCGGCATTGGCTGCAGCCACTTAGATGCCTGTCAGATCCATTGCCCGATGGGGCTACTTATCAATGACCCGCTGAGAATCCGGCTACCACGGCATCGGAATAGGTGCCGTGGGGAAGGGACTTTGTATCCTGCTTCCTGATGCGGGTTGGTTTTTACTCCACACAGAAGCTAGAATAAATTTCTCTATCATTTTGTTTATAGCCAGGAATTCGGGTTACTCAGGACTAAGGTCAGATAGCGGAGATGGCCGCCAAGGTCTAGAAGCGGAATCAGGTGTCAATTCAATTGACTTACGCTATTGTCTATCCCCACGTTGACTTTAGTGGGGATTCTGCCAAGCTACCAATGGTTCAATAATTGTATACTTGTCTAGTCAAACACTGCGGTCTAGAATTATTGCTTAATCACTCCAACGTCCTGTATTAACTAATTGAAATCCTGTCTTATTAGTTTATGAGACTTAGCCAGTTAGAGAATTTAACTAGAATACCTACCAAAGCCTTCGGCGTGACTTCCTTTTGCTTGTACAGTATCTGTCAGCACTCCTTGTCTGCAGGGCGTTGTAAGCTCTTTTAATTATAGGGTATCTGTGAGTTGAAACTTAATAAGAAGGTGTAAAAAAGCCACAGATCTGGAGACTTTGATACCCTTGAAATTATAAGAAAATTGTTATTTTAATATTTTTAATTGCAGCATGTTCGTAATCACAGTCCCGTTCTGTGTTTATTCCTTATTGCTGTAATAAATTACTAAAGTATCTCTAGAAGCCGCGAGTATGAGAATGAGTAAAGCTGAGTTTAAAGATAACTCTTACTATATATAGTATATTAAGTTGTTATTCTGCTAGTTAATACTTCCACTATTAGTTTCCTGGACCTCTATATTAAAGGCGATGTAGGGTAAGCTAGGTGAGCCTACGTCGCCAGGCTGAGCCTGGTTTAGCTTGGAATTCCTCGACCCCGGTCTTCTGTCTCATTGGGCAATGAAGTCGTGTGACCTTCTTTTGCCAAGGTCGTTAATGACGACTTCATGTATCTCAGCTATTTCAGCTATTTCCTCCATGATCCTGTTTAACCCTCATTTCTACGACATTGCTCATTTTCATACCCGTACTCGGGATCTAATAGCATCCCCATAGTTTGGTTGCATCAATCAACCCTGGTAAATTAACCTTTTCATCCCGACGTCATCGATACCCCGCGTTTTGCGATGGCGTCCATCCGCCTCATCGCCACCTTAATGCTCCTCGTCGTCATCGCTTCAGCCCAGCAATGCAACCTCAAGACCCTCAAAACCTCTTATCCAGCACCTGCTACTGCGGATAACTGGAACTACAGTATCATCGCCAACGAGCTCAGACGACCTCGAGGTATTTTATTCGATAGCGAGGGTGCCCTGATTGTCATAGACTCTGGAAATGGCATCATTCATTTCGAACTCGATGATGAAGGAGGAACCTGCTTGCAGGTCAAGAAGAAGACCACTCTACTAAAGAAAAATAACGTGAGCTACTCAGATCCCAGATCTTCCGTCTCTTGACCATTAACTGAGTAATATGTTGTAGCTAAACCATGGCATCGCCCTCTCCAAAGATGGACGTACAATCTATGCTTCATCATCCGATGAGGTCTTTGCGTGGTCCTATGACCCATCTAAAGTCTCCCTCAGCAGCTCTTCCGTCCAGACTCTGGTCTCCAATATGACTAATGGAGGTCACACCTCACGAACCCTGCTCATCTCGCAGAAACATCCAGACATGCTGCTCGTGTCTCGCGGCAGTGATGGGAACGATGACGCAGGTGCCGAAGATCGTGACTCAGGCCGCTCTCAGATCCGCGCCTTCAATATTTCATCCTTTAGCAGCAATTCCGATAAAAAGCCATATGATTACCTTGACGGCGAGATTATCGGCTGGGGTCTGCGGAATTCTGTCGGCGTGGCAGAACATCCAGATACAGGCGGCATTTTCAGCGTTGAGAATTCCGCCGATGAACTACATCGCGACGGTAAGGATATTCACAAGGACAATCCAGGCGAAGAGATGAACTTCCACGGCTATCTTAATGGCTCTAATGATCAGGGTGGCAACTACGGCTACCCTCTTTGCTATACCCTCTGGTCTACGGATGGTTTCCCTAATCTCGGCGACCTCAAGATAGGCGATCAATTTCCTGCTGATCGTCAGGCTGACGGTGATAATGCTACCGCTCTTACTGACGAGGAATGCAAATCCGACTATGTTGCTCCGGTCCTAGCATTCCAAGCGCACACCGCGCCTTTAGACTTGAAGTTTGACGAGAATGGCACACGAGCCTATGTATCTTTCCACGGAAGCTGTAAGACCCCCTCCATAGCTTCGAACCATTCAACCTCTGACATCTTTTAGGGAACCGTGACCCGCCAGTTGGCTACCAAGTCTCATACGTCGATTTCCAAGACGGCAAACCTGCATCTTCTTCACGAAGCACAAACGCCACTACACCCATAATATACAACAAAGATCTCTCAAAGTGTCCAGATGACTGCTTCCGCCCCGTTGGTCTGGCGTGGGATTCTAAGGGGAGACTCTGGTTCAGTTCCGACAAGACGGGCGAGATCTTTGTGTTGAGCCACGAGGGCGGGTCAGGCTCGAGTGGAGGGAATGGATCTGAATCGGGCGCTGGCAGTGGCGATGATGATAATGATTCTGCCTCTCTACAGCCTGGGTCGGCTGCTTTCATTATAACTCTTGCGGCTTTTATCGTAGGAGGCCTACTAGCATAATACTACTAAGCGAAGTGCTTTGTTAAATTGAAATTTGATACTGGCTGAAATCTATGAAACATGTCTACATAATAATGTTGCATCTTCTAATCTATGTTGCAGATCTGACGGAAAAGCGTCTTGTTGATGTTGAACTAGATCCTCTTACTCAAACTCAATGATAATCTCTGGGGCGCCCTCAAACTCAGCAGGCATCGCGTGGACGAAAGTCCAATGGTTGTGGTCGTAAATCGGACTTCCCGAACCACCATATCGGCCAGCGAATGTGATCTGTGGCTCGGGATTTGCATTTCCAGAGACAGATATCGAGACGCCTTGGATGTCAGACCAAGACTGGACATCCCTCTTCGCAAGTGAGGGAGAGGCCACAAAAGTGAACACTGAACTACTGGTCCCCTCGGGATAAGTCACTTTCAGCTTCTTCGGCGAGACTTCCATCAGAACGTGGGCCTCAGTAGGACGGAGCTGGGTATCGCGTCAGTAAAGGAAGGGGTGAGATTTGAAGCCGTGTTTACTTACGCTGAGCCACCCGATGCTATCATCTCCATAAGACCAATGTGCAACAGCGGGATGGAACTGGGCCTTGTTATTCGACGGTCCGTTTGCGCTCTTTGTCCGATACGACTGAGCTCCGATCATGAGCGACTCGCTAAGCCACGTCGTGATGTTGCGGGTATCAAGGTCGTAGGGCGGATAATATGCCTGCCCTTCGTATGTCCTCTCTCCATCAAATGTCTTCAGCGACTCCTTAAGATCATCCGAGAGCAATGAGTTGTGGAATTCAGAGTGCACGGCAATGAGAGGCGCCCAGGCCCAGTCACGGGCATGGCTCATGACTTCCGGGTACTGCCAGAGACCAGACTCCTGTCTCCCGATGATGGGTGCGAGGAAGTGAGATAGAATACCGAGAGACTTGGTCATGTCGAACGTGTATGCACGATCCCATGGACCAGCTAGGTTCCGCATGCTTGGATTCCACAGTTGCGATGTGTAATTCCAGACGCCGCGCAGGAGATCTGGACCTCTTTGGGAGAGGATACTATCCTCATCACCATACTTGCACCAAAGCGTAAGACCAAAGAGTGAAATACCGGTGTATGTCGCCGAGTTGAATTCAGAAAGCGTATCATGCAAGTCGAAGAGGTTAATAATCTCCGTCGCATAATCCTCTCCAGCCTGTGTCATGTTGTCATCGCCTACTTGGCGACCAGTCCAGCTCGTCCCGATCGCACGCATGATTGCAGGGTTGCTGTAAGACGGATACAGGTTATCTCCGTTGACACCACCCACGCGATACGAATCGCCAATGCTGCAGTTATATAGACTGTCCAGCATAAGCCCCTTCAAATCATCAGATAACAAATCGCCGAACTCCTCGTACATCGTGATGAAGCTGAGACCAACGAAGCCTCGCCAGTTAGGGTCCCACGATCCGTACATTTTGGCAGGGTACCATGCTGTTCCAACCGTTGGCTCCTCTGGCTCTCGCGTATAGTCGCCGTACCACAAATCCTTGGGGTCGTCGTGCTGGTCCTTGATGACATATCTTATGACATCCTCAGCCCTTGAGGCATCACCGTCGGCGTTCCGTGCAAGAAGCCCGACCGCGTACCATGTAGAGGCTAGCGTCTCGTGGTTCATTGCGGCGTTGGAGTTGAGGTCATATAGCTGTGAGATCTTGGGGTCGTAGAACCTATCCATCCACTCCATTGAGTCTTCAACCATTGCTTTTGCCTCTCCTGAGAGTGCCCATGATTGCGCGACGTGTTGTGTAAGAACTCCAAGGAGACATGCATGCACCCTACTGAATACTTTCATATTGGTTTCAAAAATTGGAAAGGACAAAGAAATGTCTTTTATCTGGTCTATTAAGAAGGTGATGAATTTCAGTGGTGCTGTTGTGATAGACCAGAAGCTTTCTGAACAGGGGCCAAGTTCTGAAGGATGCACTGCATATTTGTATTAGATGCTCTTGCTGGTTAATTTCAGCGCGTATCTTGTGGTTCTGTGTTTTTCTCTCCTAATCCCTATCTTGCCTCAAAAGCAAAGCCAGCTGCTATTTATTTCACGTGAGCCAATAAGGGGTCGTGACGCTGTAGGATGAGTTCATGCAGGTAAAACAATAGTCAGGAGATTTCGACTGGGCGCCCATAGCTTCGTGACCATTGCATTCAGTATCGATCCCTTACAAAATGAGCTTCCACTTAAGGGGAAACCTGTTGGTTAACTACGGATTATAACTGGCAGATAGGCGGTACAATGAAACCGGCTTGGTTTCCGATGTTCATTAGAACCCATAAGAAGATGTGATAGGTCAGGACAACAGACGGATCCTTATTGCGATACATACAACCCTGGAGCTTGTGATGCTGGGACCGGCCCTGGCTGATCTCCCGAGGCACGTGGCGAATGGCAGCAGGCGCTTTTCTCCTTCACGGGGAAGTCTTATCGGGGAACATATAGTCATTTAGTATTTGTTTCATGACACCCATTTTGGATATCCACGCGGCGCGTAACTGGTCCTTTTGTTCGGGCCGCATGAAATTCGGAAATAAAAGAGTTTCGAACAATGCATGGTATAATGATGGAGCGCCTACCCCTGATGAGATGCGGGGACTTGTCGATCGAGATTTGAGCGCAACGTTGCATTTTGATCAGTCTGCAAATATGATCTGCCAAAGGAGAATGTGACTCGGGTGCACATGCGCATTTTACTTTTGAACAACAGCATAATAGCCATAAAATACAGCATGTATTGCCTGGGTCACAATCTTGTCGCGCAGCCACGTCGAAGTCGCTGCAACTATGTGTTTGGTGTTGAACTGATTGGAAAGAATTAGGTAGCGGCAGAGATACTGAGTACAGGCTAACCCGCATACAATGTAGAAAAGGATAAAAAGGCGTGATTTGGTCATGGGCATCTTTAGATCATCTCATTACTATCGTCTGAATGACATTGTAGCGTCCTTCCATGTAGTAAATCTTAGAAACAAGACATGTCGACTCTATCACAAGTCATGACCGGGCCACAGCTGGAAGTCACAAGAGTCGAACATGATAAGACCAAAGAAAATAGTAGTGCTTTAAAGCTTGGAAATAGAAATTTGTTGACCTGATCATTTTAACGAGAAGTCGTGACACGGGCCGACCCCAAGCTTGGCGCGCCTCCACATCCCGACTCGGCAAATTCAATCAATATCCCGCGGGGATAGATCTAAGCCACGGTCAAAATAACACAAAAGAGCAGGTTTCAGCCACAGAAGTGGCCAAGAAGTCTAGCGCAAATTGAACTTATATCACTGTATGACGTAAATAACTACGGGCGACTGTTTAATCAGACTGGCAAGTCGACATAATCACTAGAATAATAGGCTATAAATATTCAAAATACACTACACCTAAATTTTAGTCGATGGAGGATTCAATGTTGAAATGAATTGCTTCTGAAAATCCCCAAATTTTAGCTTGTAATGCACTGTACCGACCACGTCCTGCTCAGTGATATTGGCCAAAGCACTGGTAATAACTTTTTTTCCAGCATCAGGGAACGTAGTACGGCGCACTTCAACAGTAGTGCCATACTCATTAAACCACTGACGAGCCTCGTATGCTTCGTTCTTACATGCCACAAAGGCCCCGGGCTTGGTACATGGTTCGCCGCATAGCTCCCCGTTCTGCACGCCTTTGCAAACGGTTGAAAAGTCGCCTGGGTCGGGGACTGCGTTGTGTCCTTCGATGGTGAATTTCCAATGGATCATCTGGTCCTTGCCGCGAGTTCCGGTGTAGTCATTGCTGTGCCAGTCGTTCTTGAGGTCTGCTGGGTTGGTGACGACGTAGGGTGATGCCCCTGCATTGCAAGCGGCTGCGACGAGGAGGACGGCTTTGGCGAGCATGATAGTTGACAGACTGCTGGATAATTAGATTGGGTTTATTTTGATCTCATGTCGTTAGATTGGACAAGTAAGCTTACCTGGGCTATCTTAGATTTTGTGAGAAGAGGAAGAACTTGCTGTTGCCAGTAGGCTACAAGGGGGAATATGTCTTTGGTAGTTTGTGGACCGGCGACAATGAAAGTGAATGCGGGATCACTCTTATTTATCCTTCTTGAGAGAAGGTTTATATCCCTGTAATACGAGAAGTTTGTTCCGTACAGCCTTGCGGATCGGAGTTTATAATTTTATTTTTCCCTGTCTGACAAAGTTTGATACATCGGCAGTTCAGCATAGTGTGCCGTAGATCCGATCGCTGTTCTACAAATACCCTGAATTCAATCCTATTTAATTTATTCCTGCGTTTTGCACGGACACACGGAGTAATTTCATCCTGAAACACAAACACTAGTCTGGGCAAGTATATTGCACACGAAGATGTATTTGTCACCATTGAGTATTACGTATCTTGACCTTTGAGCCAGCATTATCAGGTTTAACGCCGATTCAATTTCACAAAATAGTAAGTACTTCTGTCTGGCTATCACCGAACCATATAGCCATCTCTTTCAGATATCCTCCTCGTATAGAGCCTTGGAACATCAAAAGCCCAACTCTTCGAAAATGATTCTTAGTTCCCAATACCGGCGTGAGAAGTAGGCCAAAGCCATACCAGCCTCCAGTAACCCCAACCGCTAAAGCATGCAGTTTGGGAAAGGCGCTCCTTGGGTCCATGCTTTCGGAGGGTCTATTTGTGTGAGTCGTGAGCTGCGAGAGTAATTCTGATTTATTATCAGGAACGAATTCGACTGGTGATTGAAATATTCCTTGTGACGATAGCTTCCAGGCGTACATTTTCTTCGGATCGCGCGTCTGTGTTACGGCAGCTTTGCACAACTTCCCACGAACTTTTAAATAGCCCGCTTTAACGCGACCGTATGGATCACCGTCGGTTGATGAGTCGACCAATGTGGTCGAGCATGTAATGAATTCAAGAGTGGATAATCCCCCGAATCTTGTAAACTGAAAGACTTCAAAATGGACTTGGTAGTTGGCGGAGGCCCAGGACCAGCTAGGTGCCACGTAGCCCTGCCGAGTAATGGTGGCGGATGATGTATCATTAGCCTCATCGACCATATGAGCGAGTATCGGCCCTTTAGTGTTTTCTTTTGTGTTCAAGATATGCCATAAAAGTCCCTGGAGAAGGCTGCTCTTCCAGATTCCAGCTAAATATACTTCTCCGAGGGGTGGTTTGCAGGCATGAATTATGCCTGAGATAGCTGGGAGGCGATCGCTGCTGAAGGTCAAAGCGCGCTGGGAATACTCTTCGATGAAACTAAACCACCATAGTGTCTTCATCCCAGTGGAAAAGGGTCGAATGGATTTGAAATGAGAGAAATCTCTCGACTTGTCGTGAGTGCACTCATTATAGGTAAGAAAATTGCATTCGAAATACATTTGGTAAGACCCAAAGTAAAGAATACGCGAAGAAAGCATTCTCTCTTGGACTACCCATCCGCGATTTATCAGAACCGACTCGGGTTCTTTTCCAAGAACCTGTGATTGATCGTGAGGGAAACAGACATCCCTGACACGAGCTAACCGATCATTCAGGTCTATGGGGGCATCCTTAATACGATGAAACCCGGGATACCAGATTTTAATGGTGTTGATAGGTTTGCCCTGAGAATCGCGATACTGAAGTGCGCAGGGCTGATAGTCTGGGTTATCGTGTAACCGGCGTTCATGTAAAAACCCCAAGGATGAATCTTTAGCTCCAGGTACAGCAATCGTAAGAGCAGCGCCTTGAAATACGGAGGACATCCGGGGGCATTCGGCTTCCCAGTCCTTGTTATCGTCTTGTACGATACAGAGCGAGTCTATCCACAAGTATTGGTATCCTAATTGATCCGTGGCAATGACAGCATCCCGGAAGGTGCTGGCAGATTTCCAATCGGTATTCCTTGCATATGCTCTTCAAGGTTGGATCTGTGTGTTAACGCTGGCTTGAAATCACCCCATCTGTGGGAGAGCGTGACATATTGGTATCTTCGTGATGGATGTGTGAGAACAAGCTTAATGCTCGTAACGTTATCAATGATTTGTAGGAGACGCGTCGGATTGCCAGTAGGATCTGCCTTGCAGGTTGGATGGTGATTTTGACAGTTTGTGACCCATTTTTTAGCAAGGCTAAAATTGGCTGTAACATCGCACAGTCTTCCTCGTGGCAACTCTCGATGAGATTCAAATGGCGGCTGGTCTTTATGAGAAGTTAGCGCTAAAGAGATATTTTGAGTGATGATAGGTGTTACTTGCCTGCTTTCACTGCAACGGCAAACTCTGCCGTCCGAACTAGTGGGTAGCATAGTGGGGTGGCGTATTTCATAATCATGTTTAGACAATAAGGGCCACCAAAACCCCCAGGCTTGAACACAATGTGTAATTGTGGCCGACTGGGCTCCAGACGATCGATGAGGGACTGGATGTCTTGCAGTGACTTGCCCTCGTCTTCCCTTTTGCGTAGCGAATAGCAAGTATACAAATAGCCATTGTATAGAAGTTTGCATAGCTGGCAGCCGTTCTGCATAGAGCCTTTGAGAGCTGGTAGTGACCCATGATGAATATATATGATAAAGTGATCGCCGTCGATCTTTGCGAAATTTTCAGGCCGGACATAATTTTGCTCGAAGTCAAGGCAGACGCTGCATAAAGTTGATACCGCATTGCGAGGCAATCGTTTCAGCACGGGACCGTACACAGGGCCATGGATTTCGCCTCGATAGATTTGCCCAAAAACTCCGGATTCGAATGAGTCCAGAGGGGACTTAAAAGGTACAGTTGATGTTGCAGTCATCGTTGTATCTGGCAAGCAATACATGACTTATTCTTTAATATAATGACCAAGATACTTTGATGATGATTTATGCTCACAATTCCAGGAATTCTAAAGGTTCATGCCTAATGATGTGCGTGTAGGCAGCTTTTAAAACAGTCTTGGTGGCGCAGCAAGATAGACATCCGCGCCTCGCTGAGTGCCTCGGCGGTAAAGGGGGACATTTGTTTCGTCCAAGCGAGCCACTAGCCTTTGAAACGGCCAACAGGAAAAGCCTGGAAGTTGCTCAATGATGGGTTTTATAATTTAATTAATTGTCTATATTAAATATAACAGAAGGCGTCATTGGTTAGCAGAGTATTTTAACTAGCTATATTAGTAGCACTAGCATTCAATACAGAGGTCTCTTATCATATAAATTTACCTACTAATCGAGAGGCCTAAAATAGGAACGTAGTCCTCTGCGGGGACCCTGGCCAGGGTACGCGAGCCTAGAAATGGGCCTGCTCCGTCACCTCAGCCTGACCTTACACCAACTCGGCTTGAAATGGCATGACGTCGACTCAAGAAACGGAAATAGAGTTTGTTATGCTTGAAGTTCATCCCCGAGCTACCAGTATACAGTATTGTCATTCGTTATAGCGGCGTTAACTCGACAAGTCTTACTTTTGTCTATTGTAAGCTAACTAAGCTCATTAGTCCCTGGTTTACCTAGCTTTCTACAAGCTTTAAAGGTAAATAGTAGAAAGTTGTAGCAGTATGTTAACTTATCTCAAATATATCTTAGTAGTGGTGTAAGTTATAGTAACCCCGAGATTCAGTGGACTATTGGCATTTTTTCGGCCCTTGAAAGCAATTCATTACTAATATGGTTAAGGTTGCAGACGCCACTTAACAAATGCTACACTGTAAGTCCAATCACGAACCAGAAAGTCTAAGTCCTTTTAGGAATTTTCAGATGGCGTTGCTTATCTCCGCGCATGCCGAAGGCTGATGTTGTGATATCATACTCGAAGTGATTAGCGCTGTTCTCCACCCCGATCGCTGAGCCTGATGCCGACAAGAGTCGGCCGAAAACGACTCTCAGAAAAGTACAAAAAGAACAAAAAAGGGCCATTTGAAATTAAGCCTGTAACTCGAAAAAACATCTCAGTTATACAGTGCATCAAACTCTAAATCAACTCAATTCTTTCAGATATGTCGTCGACTGACGCTATCAACAAATTCGTCGAGGGCTACGCCCAGCTCTTCAAAAATGGGCAGCGCTCCCCTATTCTCCGCCGCCCGGACGAGTACGGTATGAAATACGAAGACATCTTCTTCCCGTCTCTCGATGGAACCATTCTGCAAGGATGGTTCATCCCTGCACAAAATTCACAAAAGCTCATTATCGCAAACCACCCAATGACTTGCAACCGATATGGGTATCCCGGCCACCTGGAGCCATATGGCGGCTTTGGCGGCTTTGAGGTCAACTTCCTCCCTGACTATAAGAGCCTACATGATGCCGGTTACAACATCATTTGTTACGACCTTCGCAACCATGGCATCAGTGATACTGGTTCCGGCGGCATGTGCGGCGCTCTGGGATATTATGAAGCCCGCGATGTTGTTGGGTCCATAAAATATGCCCTGTCTCGCCCTGAGACCAAAAACAACAGTATCGGTCTTCTCAGCCGCTGTATGGGCGGAAACGCCACCATCCACGCAATGACACTCTTCCCAGAGTATTTCAAGACCATCAAGGCCATGATTCTTCTCCAAGCTGTCTCTGGGCACGCCTTTGTTGAGAAAGGCGCCATCAACTCCGGCCTCGATAAGGAGGCCACTGTCGCCGCATTTGATAAGCGCATCTATGAGCTTACTGGCTTTAGGTTAAAGGAGCTGACTCCTCTGCCTTTGGCAAAGAATGTAACAGTCCCGACCCTTTTCGCTCAGGTTCGCAAAGATTTCCTGATCGACACCTCTGACAGCCGACAAATCTTTGATGCACTTGGGAGTAAGGAAAAGAAAATGGTCTGGATTGAGGATACTGATAGGCGCTTTGATGGTTATAATTACTTTGCAAAGGAGCCAGCTGAGATGCTTAACTGGTTTGAGCAACATGTCTAGATAACTTTTTATCTGTACTAGGGTCAAATTATAAATAATAAATATTTTACTGCGAAGATTAATAAACCAACCTCCGCGATAAAAGCTAACCTATTCATCTTGTAGATAACAGTTCTGAATATTTATTGGCCTTACGTTATCCTGGCATATCTCAGGTTCACGTCAGGTTCGATTTACCATATGAATTATATGACCATGCGTATTGTAACCCATTGACTGAATTTGTATTCTTTACCAAATATCATGGGTTCAATCGGTCGATAATGCCCAAGTCCAAATCTTTCCACCTCCACAATTCGGCTAGGTTTCCAAGTTCCTCCTCGGATATAGATGCAAACATAGTTTGCTCTGAGCTCCCACTTTCAAGCCTCGATAGGGATTGGAAATCCTTATTCATGCTGGACTGGGCTATGGGTGGTTGAACAACTGTAGATGTTTCTTGAACTAAATCCGTGTCATGAGAAGGGTGGCGGCGTTGGAAGCCATGATTTGGTTGAACTCGTAGATTATGGTCAAGGCCAGCGTTTGATAGTCGGGCGATTGAGGCTGTATCGCATTCAGCGTGGCAACCAACAGCAGAGAGGGTGCTTGGTGTGACATGAATATCCGGCAGCAGCGATGTCGATTTCGAAGCAGCAGTTTTCAGACACTTGCGTGGCGGTTCAGGGACTCCTGGGATCGTAGAGAACTTCCCCGCAGCCTTGAGGCGTAGCCGACGGAGGATCTTATAGTAAAGTTGAAAGTTTGGAGCAACTGCCCTTAAATGCTTGATCATGTCTAGAGCCATGTCGAATGAGTCCAACATTTCTTGACGCTTGGGGGCTGAGCCATCTTTGTCGTGGACTAGAATGCTCGAGAATAAGGCCGATGTGTCAAAAATAGAGAATATAACAAAGTGAAACTTGGCATCACGAGGCCAAACGTGGTTGAAGAACCCACGGAGAGTAGTCATCAACTTCAAAGCGTAGTCGATGCCGTCTGATCGTATTTGGACCTCAGCTTTCGTTGCGGTTTTGGTATCGATGGATTTAGCTAAATGAAGGCGAAATGGATCCAGAATCATGGAATATCCCATTGTCTGAATGTAATGGCGGTGTAGCGAAATCCATGGGCAAAGGGCGTCCTGGTCGTAATCCGGATTATCAAGGTCAAATATCGGTGGAAACTTCGTCATCCAGACTTCCAACATTTTCTGATACTCTTGAATGTCGACAGGCTCAACGACATTTCTGGTAGGCCCAAATCGGTTAAAAAGCCTTCTAATAAGCTCCGACTGTAATTTCAGGTGTAGCATCGGTGACGGGGTGGTGCCTTCAAGGTTCAGCTCGGGCAGACCGACCTTGCAATAGGTTCGGTCTATCATCAGAGGTCTCGAAAGTAGGGCAGACATTTGCCTATCACTTATCAGATATGCTAACTATATGACCAACAGAGTACTTACCAATCCCATGTATCAAGCACAAACCAAACTCGTCGGTACATCTCGCGCTCAAAGTTAGAGATGTCGAGCATGGAAGCTTCTTGATGGATACCTGCGAATATACATTAGCGCTGCTGAGTGATTGCGCGAATGTGATCTCTACCAATTTCCTGGGCTACCCGAATAGCGGCGGATAAGCTGTACCAACACTCCGTGAACCGGGCTTCAGACTTGTACCAGTAACATGAGTGTAGTAAGTATTGTACACCATGCAAGTGACTTTCTCTGGGTGGAATGATGCTGTAAAGCTCGCTAGAAGCATGGTGGTACCGCTCCGTGAGCGTTTGGATCCTGACACCCAATTCCTGCTCAAGCTTTCCTTGTAGCTCGGTACTTAGATATTGAGCGGAGCATGCGCAAACTATAGTGAGAAGACACGTCCATTGTAACTTGATGGGATTCCCTGAGATCCGATCATTCCACCAGCCCTGGTATTCGTCCAGGAAGGACGAGGGGTAGATGATGTAATAGTGGAAGTTGACATTGTCGAAGAAGCTTTTAACAAGGGTATCTGAATGTGAGGTTTAAAAGCCGTCAAGCGATATCCGGACAGTCTCTAGAAACTTACCCATAAATGACCGAGTAGGGAGTACATCCAGCACGTGCTGTAATTGAGGGCATGATTTAGGATCCACACTCGGTTGACTGAACGGTTTCCTCTCTTTCTGATCTAGTATTAGTCCCTCATCTTTTTCCTTTCTCCTTATATCTAAGATTGTGATGTTCTAGCTTACCTGCGTATGAATGTATATCTTGTTGAAAAAGGATTCCGAGCCATACCCCATGACTTGAAGCATTTGTGCCTCATCAACTTCATCACCAGACTCGTCCTCCATCGATTCCCCGTGAATTCCAACATCAATTGGGCGTTTCTCTTGACGTGGACTCTGGCGTTCGAGGGACCTGAACTGACATTTGTTCGCTACGTTCCGTTTTTGGCAGTTATTACATGGCCAATTACGGTCGCACTGGTGTTGAAATTAGCCACGCTGCTAATCGATGGAATCTGGACTGCTTGGTGCTTGCCTTTTGTTTACGACGCGCACATTCTGTACAGGCAGTGCGGCCGGAATTGGGTTTTCCTGTGGCAGCATTTTCGTCTATACTAGTCATGTCTGATAATGACGCGATGATTAGTTGTACCTGAGGTTGCAAAATGCATGGAGTTGGGGAGACAGCGGGGTGAGATTGAAATGATACCTATTGAGCAAGGTTTGATGTTTGAGGCATCTAGCCAGGTATGTACAATTAACGAGGTCCGGCGAATAGCCGGAACATGCCGAATTAACATTAATCCGTTGTAGTTCTATTCGGTGGCGTTAATAGTCACAGTAAATAATACTAGTCTTTGTTCTTTAGATATCTAATTAAATTGATTATAATTATTACATATTAACTACAAGTTTAGAAGCTAATCCAAGATCGATTAAAGGAATAGCAAGCTTAGCGATTTTCATTTAGTAAGTTCCGCCCAGCCTTAGACAAACCAAACCCTAGATGTATACATAAACTACCATGAAAAGGATAACACCTCGGTTACGAAAGCAGTTACAAAAGGTGTCAAAGAGTAAAAGACCAGCATAATAAACATAAGCAGGGATAAATCTTTAATTGGAAGGTTTATTGGCAACGTGGGGGATGTAATACTTAGCTACCCCTCTTATATATTCCATCTACCATCTGTTGCCTAACTGGCCCACGTTTTTGACTAGGCGAACTGCCTGTCCAGGGCATAAGTTGTTGATAATGAAGAACATACCCATATTTGCTAACTATACGGACTGTTTTGATTTAGCCTGTTGTTCAATTAGTTCATCCGGGTGCAACCCTTGAAGAATATGCCCGAATCGGATAATGATATGGATACGTAATACGAGAAGCCTGGATGTGTCGTAAGACACGTAAACAAAGGATTATCTATACCGCCTTTAACAGCTGACTATTGGATGGAGAGATTGCATAAAGTCTTTACAGGCCTGTATATTTACTCAGCCAGTAGTGGATATATAAACTGGAAGCCAGCCTCCAAATCAACTCGAATTTCTACACCCAGATCATTACAATATCACTAACTCCCGCATTGACATCTATTTACACCATTTTCCATTACCTTCTTCACCATGAAAGCATCTGTCTTGACCTTGCCCATGTCCTTCGCCGGTCTAAGCATGGTGTCTGGAATGGCACGTTTATATACATCAGCCGTTAGTTGTTTCGCATACTGATTAACTCCCAGGCGGTTGATCTGCGTTCAGATATTCCAGAGGGCTACACCATTGTACCTATGACTTGGGTCGGCCCTATCGAAGAAGGCGGCAAGAGCTACACCTTCAAGGGTACAGCTGAGGTATTTCAACAGATATATATCCGTGTCATATAGACGTAGCTGACCTAAAATCACTCATAGGAGGTGTTGGCTCAGATCGAAAAGCTTAACCCCAACTTCGCCGAGTTCGCTGACAGCAAAATGAAAGATGATAGTAGTAAGGTGACTATACGGGCTCTGGAAGCTCGGCAGCCGGCAAGTCTCCCCTTCAACTGCTCTTCTTAGTTTTATCCGCGAATCTCACATCTGACTGCTCAGACTCGCGTTGCTTGCGATGGCGGAGGTCCAAATGGGGGCCAAAGCATGCGCACCAAAGTCAGTGACGCGCGCCAAGGAATTGATCATCTCAAAAGGCTTGGGGACTTTGGATGCGGTGCTCCTGCAAGATCGTGCGCACGCATGACATGCAATTGGCAGTCTGCCATCTGGTTCTGTAACGACGTAAGTTTTCTTTCTTCTCCTAAAATGCTATTAGGCTGACTGTGTATATGCAGAATGACTACGAGGTCAGTGACCGTTGCGACTGGCAGGGCTACTTGGGTGAGCTGGTGATTGAGAAATGCCAGCGGCACGTCAAGGCTGACTGCTGGGTTCCCAATCCCGTTTGTACCAATTGCTGCCAGGCCATTGACACGTGGCTTGTTATGGGCGCTCAGTATGATGTACGAAATTGGAACGTCATGATCAACGGAGGTTGCTAGGGTCACCCAAATACTGCTACGGCTGTTATCGGCGACCCCAGCATTGGGGCGAGATATTTCTTTGGCACAGTAGATCTTTTCTTCAGATGCGATATATTATTCTAACTTAACACGGTGACGAACCATCTCGAATCTGACCGTGAATTCACCAAACCACAAAACATCAGCTTACCATTTCCTCCGAAACTTGAAGAGTTAGTTGGGGCTACCATGATAGTTATAGGATAGGATTCTTCCTGTAGAATTTCCTCCCTCGAGATCCAATACATTATTAAGGTGCCTTGCACTGCAAACTCTATCAAAGATATTAAACCCAAGCTGCAGAACTTAGGGATATTGTCCAGACTTACGCTCGTTTCGCCACATAGACCCAACAGGTAAAGTGACTGCAAAGGGTTTTGGGTGCTTAGCATAGCTCCCCTAGCAGTGACCTGCCGAAGGTTACTTGATTTTTCTTTTGGGGGGAGCATGCCTGCCCATCCCTGAACGTTGTCGGGGACATGTATGATGGTGCAGCTTTGGATGACTGGAGCAAATTCAGAATATTTTCCTGTTCAAAGATACTAGTAAGCACTCCGCAAATCAATCCAGTAAACAAGCAATGAAGTAAGAGCCCAAATCAGACTGATAAATCAATTGAAAGACCATTTACAGATGTATCATAGGTGATCGCTACTGCTTTCTGTTGCTTGACGAGGTTGTTACACGAGTCTTGAATAATTCTCTATTTAAATAAACTTTGCCTGGCCCGGTCTTATGATACACAACTCGCGTTATAGTGCCTGCTTATGTCGCAATAGATAAGTAGATTGTAGCTTCTCCACATTGAGGCGCAGAGCCATATCTCGTTGGCCAGATAGTGGTAGCATCCTAAGTGGAGGACATGTTGCCATTCGATCAACGAAGATATTTCCTATCCTCTACCTTGAGTTCCATTGTCATGCACTATACTCTCCATGCGGTTGGCTCATATACCTTTTATAAAATGTTTTATTAAGCAGATATCTAATTCTACTTATCCGGTATCCAAATCAGGCACCGCGGACCGAGAACATGACACACCCGGTCGATACGACGTCTCGGCGGACAAGCTCGCCATACTTGCAGATCAATGCGACATTCCGAGGATATAGGTGACACTATAAGACTATGCTTAAATACTGAATTTTATCTCCGTTCCCGGCTGCAGCTCCTGATTGACATACCGCTTGATAACGTCCGTGCCCCTAAGTTAGTCAAAAATGAGTGTCGTCGCAGCCTTGAAAAGGAACAAAGTCGGAGCAGTGGTGGTGTCTGTCTTTGACTGGTATCGTATGTCCCTTGTATCTGTTCTTATAGGGTAACTATGGGCTGACGATGATGAAGCGTCGGAGTATCCCAAAGAAGAGAGAAGGCTTCTTCGCAAGCTTGATCTCGCCATTCTTGTGTTTGGGTCGCTAAGTTGTGAGTCTCACATTTTATTGACATGTTAATGCACTAACTCCTACCAGTCTTTTGCCGCGTCAGCCCCCTTCTCGCCCGTACGTGACATTACACTGACAGTTTGTTCAAGTTTCTCGGACAACAAAATATCACTAACGCATATGTCTCCGGCATGAGAGAAGACCTTAATGCCTTTGGAAATGAGCTGAACTACTATGTTGTCGCTTGTAGGTCGTATGCAATAGTACCAAGGGGAAAAGGCTGATCTTGAAATGTTTTATGCAGATAATACGGCGTACGTCTTGGGACAGATCCCACTTATGACTCTGCAAACAAAAGGCAAAATGTAAGTTGAAGCCAATCGATCTGCTGATCATATAAAGGTAGAAAGCTAACCATGACAGTGCACCATTCCTGCTTCCTTCTCTGCAGATTCTTTGGGCCGTTATCGCTTTCTGTCAGTCAGAGATCAAACATAGCTGGCAATTATATATCCTGAGGGCTCTGACTGGGTTCCTAGAGGCCAGCTCATTTGGAGGCACCCATCTCATCCGTAAGTCTTTGGACAGCGACTATCATTGAAGCCGTTAACCGTGCTGGATACTGACGTTGTCGGCGCAGTTGGCTCGTGGTTCAAGAATGAAGAACTCTTCAAGAGAGCAGGGGTCTGGTTCATGGGCAATTCCCTCGGCTCAATGTTCTCTGGCTATCTCCAAGCTGCTGCATACCGAAATCTGAGTGGCGTTTTCGGACGAGCTGGCTGGCGATGGCTGTTCATTGTACAGGGCATCATAACGTTACCCCTCGCTTTTCTAGGGTTCATCGTTTGGCCTGGGTTGCCTACATCGCCCCGAAGGTGGTATATGACTGAGGAAGAGCATGCCCTCGCTCTGAAGCGTATTCCGACCGTCGAGCAGGAGGGGATTACATGGAAGACATTTAAGTATACTCTGAGTCGTCCCATGTGGTGGATTTGCGTTTCGTGCTACATCTTCTTGTGTCAGGCACATTACTGGGTGAGTCTTAGAATCGCAATCATACATGCTCGACGCATAACTGACCTCCAATTAGACAGGTTACATGGCCCTCTGGCTCCGTCACGCTGGCTACTCAATCGAACTTGTCAATATCCTCCCAACATTTATCGACCTACTCCGCGCCATCTCCTCGTGGCTTGGCACAACACTAGCTGGCTGCCTTAGTCTTCGGGGGCTGTGGACGTTCCAAGCATCATTCGTGTTCTTCGCCTGTATCGTGCTGTCCATATGGACTGTCCCTGATGGCCTCAAGTTCGCTGCGTTTTACTTTGGCGGCTTCTCTGGCATGGCATCGCCAATCCTTTACTCGTGGGTCAACTCAACCCTGAAAGAAAACTACGGCGAACGTGGACTCATCATTTCGTCTATGATGACACTTGGCTTTTGCAACCAGATTTGGATCCCACTTTTCACTTTTCCGACTGTCGAGGCACCAGAATTCCCACATGGATATCCAGCGGCAACGGTGTTTTTGTTTACCATGTGGGCGATTCTAATGGGAGGAGTCTGGTACATGAAACGGTGGAAGATTAAGCATCCTGATCTTGAGATGCGTCTGACTGAGCCCGAGAGCCTTGGCCCAACGAGTGAGTCCGAGTTTGGGAATACGGGCATCAAGCAAGCAAAGATATCAGAAATCTCTAGTTGTTAGTGGGAGAGAGTGTGTGGGCAGTTGTTGTGATTAGAGGGCGAAACTAAGGGCATAACTGGTGTCATCTGAATTTTAACGCCTCAAGGTATTTAATAGGTTACTATATACATAGAACATGTAGATCTGAATGCATCACCCACCTGCCAACAAGGCTCCCCGATTTGTCTTCCATACTTCCCCTTAATACATCACTACCCTGCCTCGAGAGTAATGTCACGCATCTAATTTTTATAAGTTATATCAGAAGTTTAGCCGAGTTTAAAAGTAACAAGTGGATACATATTAAAGTTCGGGTTACTGTTCCCATAATACCTCGCACCATTCGCCACCCAGTACCAAACAATAGGAGTTGGGCCGACTTCAGACGCACAGCTGAGGATGTTATTGGCACCTGCTGTGCACTGAACGTAGTGGTAAATAGCAGGATATTGGTCGATATTTTCTGCCGTGTCAAACATGAAGGCATAGTTATTCCCACCCGGGATGACAGTGAAGAGGTAGACTTTTGTGCCATCGACGAGATGTGTGAAGACCCTGTTGGTCTCAGGCTCGAGTTCGAAGCGGGCCTTTGAGATTGAGCCGCCTGTCTGAGGAACGCTGTAGATGCTGCCCCATTTATCAACATAAGTATCCTTCTCGGTGTTGTCAACGAAGATGGCGGATAATTGAGTACCCTCGAGGGCCTCTGTTGTAGTGGTAGTCTCAGCAGCAGTCGTGGCAGTCGCCTCGAAGGTAGTCGTAGTTGGTTCGGCGGTGATGGCAGTGGTGGTTGTGTCTTCAGCAAGAGTAGTGGTGGTGGACTCTTCGACAAGTGCAGTGGTTGTTGAGCCTTCGCTAAGAGTCAGAGTGGTAGACAGATCATAGATGGCAGTAGTGGTAGTGGCTTCGCCAAGAGTGGCAGAGGTAGTTTCTCCAGCACCAGCAGCCGTAGTGGTAGAGTCGTCAGTGATCGCAGTGGTGGTGGTGATAGCAGCGAGCGCCGTAGTAGTAGTCAAAGGCTTGCACGGCGACGCCAGAGCGAGATGGGCCTGGATCGAGACGAAGCAGATGGCCAAGGATTGAAGTGAGAAACGCATGGTGAAGCGAATGGACGTGGTTGAATGACCAGCAGATCAATGAACGTGGGGTTTTGCAAGAGTGCGCGACAGGTTTCCGAGTTCAAATACGAGAAATGCCATCTTTTTAACAACAGCAATCAGGGTTTATTAATTTGGCAAACCAATTAGCCATGTAAGCTAGCTCACTTGGATCTACCGGACCTGTGCTTATCTACGCCACGCTCATGTTCAGCCCAGTTGCTGGAAATTGCCGAGTCTTGTCCGTCGTTTCACCAATTGTAAGGCAACCTTCATTGAACAATCTTACTAGCCTAGTCGCGCGGTGCTAAGAGGTACGAAAATAAATATCTGAATCCCTCAGATCTCAATCATGGGTAGCACGTCAACAGCCAGCGCAAGCTATATCAAAATCGCCGACGTTTTCATTTCATATCTCAGCGCGAGGTCGACAAACAACAGACCAGTTTCTTGCCTCCTCATTCCATCATCACAGATTAACAATGCATTTATGCCCCTTGGGTGCAATCAAGAACCTATTCTCCATCTCCATCATCTCATCAGTCATCTCAGGGCTTAGCCTGGCGCTACGGCATTCACGGAAGAATAGCGCGGCACCAAGTCGTAGCTCCATCCAAGCCAAGTGTAGACCAATGCAGATTCTTGATCCAGCCCCAAATGGAGACAGGGCAGTCTTTTGCGCTGCTGTGAGCGTGGACTTGTCCATGAAGCGATGGCCATTGAACCTTGTTGCACTGTTAGCGTAGAACCATTTAAGTAAGCCAGTATATCCATACCTCTGTGCGTCATTAAAAATGTTTTCGTTGCGGTGCAATGTAAACGCTTGAGTGCTGACAACAGTACCGGGAGGGATGTAATGGCCGCAAACATCGAGACCCTTACCAGGCACGACGCGTGGAAGAGCACCAGGAGCTGCACCATATAGACGAAGTGTCTCTTCAATGACACTATTGAGAAGCGGGGCACTCTTGAGCTCATCAAAAGTCAACTCATCACTGAGCTCTGATATCTCATGCTCCAGTTCAGCTTGAAGCTGGGGTTGCTTGAGAACGGCCCAGATAAGATACGTCAGCGTCACAGCCGTAGTGTCTGATCCAGCGACGATTAGATTGCCTGCTTCTGCCTGCACGCTTGACATGGAGAGACTTGTCTTTTCCTGACTGTCAGACTCTGCCAGCATTTGGCTGAACAAGTTCGCCTTGCTGAGACCGTCCCCTGCACTTTGCATGTTACGAACAGCTATAGAACCGTGCTCGAGGACGACGTTGTCGGCATTCAGCAATGTCTTTAATCCTTGTAAAGGCAGACGCTTGAGAAGAGGATAGATCCATGACAGCTCGGCACGAATGCCGCTCATAAGAAGGGCGGACTGGATGGCATCGATGTAAGGAGTTTGCTGGAGTCGGTTAGTCCCGAGGCTTGTTAGTCTCAGACAGAGATGTATAGTTACCTTGCCTAGCTCCAGCATTCGAAATGATTCCCCAAATGAAAGATGAGCGATCACATCCGTCGCCATAAGAGTCCACCACTTGAACACGTCCGCCCCAGTACTCTGGGCATCTCGCTTTATGCTCTTCACCGCAAGCTCGGCTTTTTCTCTGATTTCCGACTCCCAATTGGTCAACAACGAGCTGACACTGAAAGCACGAGCAAACAACCGTCTTCGGGCAGCGTGCTGATGGGGATCTCTCATGACAAAGATGCCTGGTTCTCGGTCGGGAGTTACGGCATCGTACCAAGCCGACTTGACAAATCCAGAACCAATCTTGTGGATCTTCGAAAACGCGTCTAGGTCACTGACGGCAACTTCTCCGGGCGAAACGCGCACAACTGGTCCATAGCGCTGGTGCAATGCGTGTATGTAGTGAACGCGGTTGCCAGTGAGGATCTGATATTTGAGGAAGAGGTGAGTGAAATGAGTGTACCAAGGTCCAGGTAGGCTGCGGAGAGGAGACTTGAAGGCCTTGACCAAAGCATAGAGAACTATGCCGGCCAGAAAGGCGCCGACCAATAATGGTATACTAAGAAATTTCGCGATATACATAGCTTCGATGGTCCACGACAGATAAGTCTAGGCTCCTGTCGAGCCGTTGGAGGTGTCAACTTCTTATATCTCTAGCATCTGATTCAAGATCTTCCCCGTGGGGTCCCGGGGCCTAGTGTAGCGGGGGTATCGGAACGTATGGGAGGCATCAGATTGGGGTTAGACTATCGGAATAGTGGGGGTCACTTTGCCGACGGATTTCTTTAAAATACCGAGACGGGTCCTTGAATGCTCCGGAATATCATAATTGTGATTGGATGTTCATTTCTAAAGTGGCTTCGGACTTTGCAGTGGATGTTCTTGTTGGATCGAGTTTGTGGAGAAGAAACTAGTTCGTCCCCCCTTTGTCCACAACCCGATCACCCCAGTCTCTTGGCTCAATCTGGTCAAGCTGGTGAGAAGTCCGGTCATCAGATGATGATTTTCGACCTATTTTCAGGGTGAACATTAATCAAAGTCTACCCAGCTTTCTCGCACATAAGGCGTTCTCCACAACGTAGATCTGCAGCCCAAAATCGTACACTAATTACAGCCACTAATACAACACTTTTCCTTTCTATCCAAAATTAGCTGTTAGAGACGTCTTTCAGGTAGAAGCTAGTATTACGAAAATGGGTAGTCCATCCTCATCATGCGCTTGGCGGTACAAAATCCTCGCATCCCAGCAATCACCTATGCCGTAGTAGTAGCTATAACATTGCGAAGCGCATCAGCAACCTCTTGAACCGAACTATATTCCAGTTTCCAAAGCCCCTGGATGATATGTTGTGCGGGATTGTCCTCACTTACACGGGGATACTCCCCACGCATCAGCTTCTCCTGCAACTCCTCGATCTCAATCTCGCCATACGGTACCTCCCATTCAGTAATCTCACAGATACCAGTTCCAAGTGCAAATAATTCCTTCTCAAAAGTGCTTCTTTTTGGGCTTGGGGAGTCTGTCGTTGGTATCCAGTAGCGAGGCTCACAGGCAAAGAGCAGGTCTGGATATACATCGCGTAGACTAGAGCCGGCAAAGTCGCTCAATTTGATGTGGTGGTCGTCAAAGAGGAGGATGTTCCGTGTCGAGATATCACCCCAGATCACGCCTCGGCTATGCACATACTTCAGCGTGTCTGCAAGGTCCAATGCCATCCTCAAACGCTGGGTCATAGGTAGTGCACCGCCTTGAAGGATGCGCTCGCGGAGGTTGCCGTTGGGGGCTCTCTCCAGTTTCAAGGCCCATGCTTCTCGCTCCCCCTCGCCTTTGAGGTCCGATCCTTCCTCCTGGGTAGCCGGGAGATATGCAACACCATATGATTTGAGTATATGGGCGTGGGCGCCTAAAGCATCGTAGATAGCGGCTTCGCGTTTGAACGTCTCGCTTGTATCCTCGGCAAAAGCTGCGTGGTCATACATTTCCCCGTCTAACCAGAACCCGGTGGCTTTTATAGCCACTTGAGGTTCGGATTTGTCGGCATAAATGATGCTGAGACCTGTTCGACCCAAGGGCTCGAGTCTCGCTCGAATGGCCGGACCAGCCTCCCGATCACTCATTCGCATGACGGCTAAGACACAGCAGCCAAGTGTTCGATAGCAGGTTGCTTAGGCCGACGGGAAATTAAATTAAAAACCTGGGAAATGAGCCTTCTTCAATGCGACATGATAACGAAGAGGCTGTTGTCGGTGTATGCTCAGTTATCGTGGGCATATCAGTGGGGACATGCATCAGCGGTCGGAATATCTCTATGCCGGTTACCACCTATTTCAAGCATATACGTCAAGCTGGTCAGATTGCAAAGCTTTAGACAAGGCTAAATTCGAATTGGCTATGAAATCTGATAGGATTTCTTGGTTGCTCAGCTTTGTTGCCCACAAGACATTCTTAATCATGCATCCGCCAGACCGTCACAAACAGTAACCTCAGTCTCTCACTACCTATGTAAGATCGCGTTGTAGAACGTGAATGCCATCCTTTCTGCCAATATCTTTGAGCTTCTTGGCATCCTTTTTAAACACCAACTCCAAGAATCCAACCACAATCTCATTCGCTGCCTTCTCAACCTTCCTTCCACCAAGCGTCCCAAATACCTCATGCACCATAGCTTCTGACTTGGCTGGGATCTTAAACTTGGTCAAAAGCAGTGGAACATCGGTAAATGCATAGTGACGTGTATGCTTCACCACCATCTCCATCTTGGCAGCATTAATCTTGTCGTAGAATGCATTCCAACCAGGCACTGGATCAGACGTCATGTTTGTTCCAACGAGTATATAGGGCGTGGACTTGAGGCCTTCTTCAACGACGGATCCGTACATGGGACCGTCAAAGTTGAGACCTCCAAAGACACGGCGGTCGCGTTGAGCTGTGACGGCGGCAGTTGATCCACCAAAGGAGTGACCATATACAGCAACTCTGTGAGGGTCAAAGGTACCAGGGAAGTCACCGAAGACCTGCTCCACGAGCGTATGGTTGCAGAGTTGTGAGATGACAAATGACTCATCTTTAGTTCGGACCTAATAGTTAAAGTTATTATTGCCCTTCTGACGGAGTTCAATAAAGAGCTTACCTCGAGCTGTCGATATGTCGAGTTCATGTTATCCGGAAACTCAGCAGCAGGTGCAGCCGTCCCCTCGGGGAACTCAACCACAAAGGCTTCATAAGTATGGTCCACGGTAAGAATGATGTACCCAAGACTTGCAAGTGACCTCGCCATGGCCCCATACACAAGCCTTGAGCCTTGGTAACCAGGTGAGAAAAGCGCGACGGGGTATTCCTTCTTCGGCTTGTGAAATCTCTTTGGTTTGACAGTTGAGATATTGCAAACCTTCATCTCAAAGTCCTTGACTATGTTGTCAGGTAGGCCAAGAGTTCCAGCCACCTTGCCATAGGCCTTTGCTGTAAGGGCAGGAACATATGGAACAACCTCAGCTTTACAGCAGTATTGGGCGTCCATGGGGAGGTAGGCCGAGACCATGAGACGACGCTTTGTATTGGTTATAGGGGCAAATGTGTCGATACGGTTTATATCGATCAGCTCGAAGTTTTTAACGGCGACATTATAGGGGCCTGGGGGAGAGGGGACAAGCAGGGCCCTTGAAGTCCTGAGAAAGGTAAGAAGAGCCAGAAGACGCATTTTGTGTACTTGTTGAATTGAAGATATTGCCGAGTACTAGAATAAAATAGAAAACCAAGTGCGGTTAGACCAAGGATATTTAAGTTTGTTCAAGCAGGTGTTTTTGAAGTAATGTTGTTGACGAAGCTAAAGACCGAAATTGACTCTCGAGGGCTCATGATCCAAGAAAAAGACATATTAGCCATGTCACGATGCTCAGCCACGATGAAAACTCGTGATTACGTCGCATTGGAATCATTTCAATTATTAAAAGCCGTTATGTGGTTTTCAGATGACGAATTATTGAAGATTGAGCAATCTAAAAACGGCACATATTTGCTGATCCCGCTCGGTCTTTGAGTTTAGGGTAACATAACCTGACCCTTATCGATAATGACAGGGGCAAAGACCGAGCTGCGATGATTGACCAATGACCAGAGCCGACTGGAGTAAGCTTACTTTCCCCTTTCAGTACTCACCTACCACTGAGCTTGGTCTGAGCCTCTTAGCGCCAAGTTTACATTAAATGAACAATGACATCATTAGCCGATTAGTTATCGTGAATTTCGATCAGGCATTTGCTCGTATTCTGTCACGGTTTTCGTAACGCATAAGCACGGCGGAATTCGTTGCGCCCTGTGGATACCCTTCTCTGGCCCTGAGTGGTTTTATTAGGGCTTGGCAGCAATAAAGCCATCTTAAAGCCAAGCGATCCAGTCAATTTAAACACCTCAATGCCTGAAACAAACACGACAGTCATTTTGGATGATCACAAGGTGTAGCAAGATTTCAAGCTCCATAAACACTTTGTGTTGTTCTAGTAATAATAACGCAAAAATACAACTGTCCACCAGTAGCGAGGACTGCCAAGAGCGCCTCACCGTCATGAGCCTCCGCCAGTTTTCAGCTTCGGAATTTATCGTGAATTAAACAAATAGCCAGAATTAGAGTATAAAACTGCGTATGAAATCCTGAATATAAGCACAAGTCCAAAGCATCTTTCTACTCTCAATCAGTATGCCTCTCCCCAACAAAGCCGTCAAAGTCACCGGTGGCTGCTCTTGCGGCGCCGTCCGCTATCGTATTGACGTCCCTGCACTGGAAGATCGCCCGTTGAACCCTCTCACCCCTCCGGCCTTTGGCATCAAACTTCCTGGTGCCATAACATGCCACTGTAACGACTGTCGCAGATCGACCAGCTCGTTCCTTGCGGTTGGCATTCTCGACATCCCAGCGCCTATGCTCACTGTCTCCGCCATGCCGCCTTCATCTGAATCAGACATGTTTTCTGGTCGAATCTTGAATGTTCTTGCAGATGACTATGACGCCGCAAAAGCAGATGCGGATCGCCCTCCATACGTCTCAGCCATGGATGTCCTCCGCGCAACAGGCGAGACCAAAACTTGGTTACGCTTCTTCCACTCCGTCAAATGCAGTTCTGATGTATCCCGCAGCTTCTGTGGTCGTTGCGGAACGCAGCTATGCTTCCATTTCAAACTGGAGCCAGAATACTGCGCTGATGGGAAATTGCCTGACGGATGGCGGGATTCATTCCATTTGTACCTGGGAACTCTGGATCGCGAGTTTCTCGAGAAGGATTGGTTCAACCCTCATAGCGAAGGAATGTTCAAGCATGGAACCCTTCTTAGTCGATGTGTTTCAGCCACGGCAAACGGCTTAATGGACTTGCCCAAGATGCAGGAGTTTGATGGTCAGGTTACTGAGGAGGAGTTGGCAACTTTGAGAACTCAGTAGGGCGGTGGAGATAATTCCAGTTGTATGAGGGTCGTCGTTGCGGCTGGAAAAACGTGATGGCACCGCTTTCGCTTGACGTTAGATACATTCGTAGATCCATCGTCGCTAACGATATATATGAAGAGGAGGTGCAGTGAGTCGTCACCTTAGATTACTGCAGGCAGCTAATAAGACTCAATTTAAGTGACAGGCGGCATTCTATCTTGAATCTGGGGTTGAAATGCTATTGTAGTATCTCGGACTCGTCTTGGAACTCCGCCAGCTACTCAGAAGCTCAAGATAAGATTGAAAAGGTGTGGTCAAGGGATATAACTGTTTGATCTCGAGGCAAGCAGCAAGAATTAAACAACAACACCAAAACAGACTTACTGAGTTATCTTAGGCTCTAGCTGTACAATGTGTGCAGAAAAAACCGTGGCACTTCTTCTTTCTTAACACCCCACTGAATAGTCCTGGAGGTGTTGCAAGCTTGGCAAATGCTATGGCTGCATGGCAATCTTTTGATGTAGATCGTCAAAGACGTGCACGACCCACATTCTCCTTAACAAATAGCCCGGACCCTCAACGGAAGCCTGTTAAGACGGGCCTGTGCATTAGTTGGCCCGATGGAGCAAATATCGTCCCGTGTCGGGCTAGGAAGACTTAAATATTTACCACAGAGGACTAGTCTTCAAACTCTGTTGCAGGACTAAGTATAATCACATAATGACACACAGATGGATTCCGTCTCGTTTCACATTGCTATTAAATAGTTAGTGATACTCCAAGGCCCGAATCCGGGTTTGTTATGTCTTGGGTCCGGCGTTTTGTGGGCGTTGGCAATTAGAAATCAACACAGGCGACAGTGGCTGTAGCTAATTAGTTTAGTGCCCGAACCCTGAAGCAAACAAACCCGGCGGTTCGGGTTACTTAGCATTCCGGTCACTTTTGTATAAGTGTAGAGAGACAAGTAATTCATAGCAGGATATCATACTGCAAAATATAGTGAACATCAACTTCCGCCCTCAAAATACCTCTTTATTCTCTTTCTTTTCATTATCTATCACAGGTGTTTAAACATCCGAAACCAGAGCTATGGATTCCTTCCGCGGGCAACTAGAACGCATTCCCGTCCCAACCACCTCGTTCCAAGGCCAGACCATCATAGTCACAGGGTCTAACACTGGCTTGGGATTGGAAGCTGCCAGGCATTTTGTGCGACTAGACGCAGAAGTCGTCATTCACGCGGTCAGGTCGCTAGAAAAAGGTGAAGCAGCCAAAGCCTCGATTGAGGCTTCCACGAAGCGAAAGAACGTTGTCCAGGTATGGCAGCTGGAAATGGATAAATATGATTCAATAATATTCTTTGCATCAAGGTGTAATTCTCTCGAAAGGCTCGACGTCGTGGTGGAAAATGCCGGCATCTTGAGGAATACCTATGAAGAGAGCGAGGGGACTGAGATGACCATCAAAGTCAACGTCATTGGGACATTCCTTCTAGCACTGAACCTGTTTCCCGTCCTTCGAAAATCATATCAAAAGACCGGAAAACCGTCAAGGCTCGTCATCACTAGCTCAGCAGTTCATTACAACGTAGGTTCCCCTTTTAGCTTGACCGCCCGATTCAAGGAGACACTTCAGATCTGACAAAGTATAGGCGAAATTTCGAGAAAGATTTGAACCTTCAATCTTTAATGCTTTGAACGAAAATAGACCAGAATGGCTCAATGATCGGTATAACGTGTCGAAACTACTCGAGGTAATGCTTGTCCGTTCATTTGCTACGGCGATGAAAGACGGCCCCCACAGCGCACAGCCAATCATTCTCAACAATGTGCACCCTGGACTGTGCGAGTCAGAGCTGGACAAAGACGTCAAGGTATTGTTGAACCTATGCTATCGATCCACCAAAAGCTAATCCGACATCAAGGGATTATCTCGCTACCTTCTTTCCATAGCCAAAACACTCGTTGGACGCAAGACAGAGGAAGGCTCTCGAACACTCGTGCATAGCGCTGCTTCTGGGGATGAGAGCCACGGAAAGTACATGAGCGAGTGCAGAGTTAGAGAACCTAGCACCTTTGTTAGAAGCAAGGAAGGTGCAGAGACCCAGGCACGTGTGCACAAGGAACTAATGGCTATACTGGAGAACATCCAACCTGGAATTACACGGAACCTTTAAGACTGTAACACTGTTATTATGCTAGATCTTGAGGGGATGGCGCCAGAATAGGATAGAAATCAGTGTAAGAAATGTTTGGTAGCGGTTTAACTTTAAATGCCTGGAACATCCTGATGGCTATGAACAGAGATACTGACACAACGACTAACAGTGATCTTGAATAAAAGTTAAGTATATTGTTTTTCTCTTAGAACTTGCTACTTACTTAATTCAATTAGCCGGAATACAGTGTTATGTATTTCTAGAGAGATCTTATTAAAAAGCAGAAAATGGTAATTTAGTCTTTAGGTTTTTAACACTTTATAGGAAAGTTATATATATGCTTTTCTAAATTTGTAGATTCTTAAAGGATAATAATTTATATAGCGAAATACATTCTTACTACATATTTATTCCTTTATCCTTTAACAAGTAGCTAAGCTGGAACGACAATCAGGTCGAATGGAGAGTAGTTATTACTGTTAATACTTCCCGGGGCAAAAATGTAAATAACAGTAAAGGATGATGGGTTATTAAAAACATGAAACTGCGTCCTGGATGTACCTTTAACAACACACTCCAGCTTCTGCGCATAATGCACAGGTGGGGTGCATGAAATATACAAGCGGTTGTTAGAGGCAACGTCGGCGGCGGTCTGGGGCACTAGAGCCGTTCCGTCTGTCGAAGCGTACATGTCGCCAACCACGAGACGGTTCGTAAGCGCCTCGATATGAAAGTCGCCGGTTACATAGAGGTTTGCCGACGACGCACCCACCGTCACGTAGATATTGTAGCCGCTAGCGCCCTTCCTGTAGAGTAGGTTTTTGCCGTTAAGGTTTTCCCGAATTGAATTGGCAGCTTGAAGAGCAAATGTAGGTTCGATTGATGGTGCGTTACTGGTTGTAGTGACGGCTTCGGTAGTGGTTGTAGAGACTTGAGTAGCTGTTGCGCCCTCAGTAGTTGTAGAACCCTCTGTAGCTATGGAGTTTTCAGCAGTTGTAGAGTCTTCAGTAGCTGTAAATCCATCAACAGTTATATAGTCTTTAGTAGCTGTAGAGCCTGCAGATGTTCTCGAGCTTTCGACAAAGCTATTAGTCTTAGTCGTAGATATAGTTGCCTCGGCGGTTAATGACAAAGTAGTTAAAGCATCCGTGATAGATAATAAAGCGTCATCAGTTGACATTAATAAAATAATATTGGTTAAGGTTAAGATATAATGTAATTCTATTGCTATACTGCTAATTTAAGTATATCTTACACTATAATTTACTTTTTAACTTATTATAATACTTTATTTATATAATAGACTTACTTTTTTATTTTAAACTTACTATAAGAAAATATATACTTAGCCTAATTCTTTACTAATAAAAAGAAAACCTTTAAGTAATAACCTTTTTTTTTTATATATTAGTTAAACTAATTTATAATAAAAATAACTTTTTTAATAAACTTATAATTTTAAGGTTTTTTATTAGCTAGTTAATTTTTTATATATTAATACTATAGTTAATTTTTAAGTTAATTTAAATATAAGCTAAAGTAGTTTTTATTAGTAGTTAAGCATTAGGCTTTTTAGCTTTTTAGGGTTAAAGGCTATAGGGTTTAAACCTACTACCTTTAGCTACCTAGTTAGCTTTCTAGTCAGGCTAGTAATGTCTAACCGTTACGCTACAAGCCCCTGTTAAGGTTAAGACATAGCCAGATATCGCTGATAAAGAGACGTCGTTAGAAACAGTCGACAGAGTTGTATCCGGCGCAAGCGACGAGGCAGTGAGGATAATAGTAAACGAGGCAAACTCGGAAGTACTGGAACTGGAATAGACAGTGATAGAGTTTGACAGGGCGAGAGTCGTCGAAGGCTTGCAAGGCCTAGCTACAGCACTACCTAAGAGCGAAGTGGCAGCGATCACGCTGCAGATAATATAAGGATGCATTGTGCTTAACCGAAATGAATTTCCTTAGAATAAAGTTGAAATTTTAAATAAGGGGCCTTAAAATATATTAATCTGTACCTGCGTTCAATTAGACTGTTTTTAGAATTCGTAGCAATGCCAAGATCGATAGTGCAGCCCCAAAAAAGGAAAAAGTAGTAAATAATAAAGAATCCTTAGCTAGTAAAGCCCAGTCATTACTAGTTACTAGCCAGACCATAAGAGGACTAATACTTATATAGAAATTATATAAAAGGTCACAGTGCTATTATAAAGAGAATTTAGATGTTTTTAGGCTGTGTATATAACAGAATATTTCCCTGTGCTAAGCTTGACCTCGCGTCTACAAATCGCGACCCGTTACATAGTAGCACTAGCCCAATTATGGGTTAGACTCCCTTTAGTGAAGTAATGCGCTGTATTAGTAATTGTAAAGAGCCTAAAGCTTAACCTTAAAGGCCGCAGTCCTCCTATAGGCAAAGAGCCCTTGTAGCTTTTATAGGTATAACATTGGGGAAAAACTATAGTTATGTTCTAACTGGATGCTAAATCTTTGAATAACTTATATATCTTTATAACAGGCAGTTATAGTAAAGATCTAGCTAGAAGTTACGGCAGGCTGTACTATAAGTAATATAAAGGCGTAGACATCAAGACACTTATATAAGAATTTATAAATTAGTCTGTATCTAAACCTGCAAGCCCAGCAAGAAACTCACTCAGGCCCCAAGCCCCTGGATCCGGCACCTGCTGGAACCCAGAACCACCAACGTATACACTGCGTCCCAAGCTAGCTTGCATACCGACAGTCGACTCTGCCCCATGTCTTGCAGCCTGTGCCGCTCGGGTTAAGTTCTTCGTTTGGCCAAGTTGTTGAATAAAAGGATCAAGAGCATCAATTACCGTGCGGTCGCCGACACGTGCTGGCGTATATCGAGCCAATATGCTGCTACTCTGCTCAAGCACCAGAGCCCAAGCCTCAGGTGTCGCCACTGCTGGGCCCCTGGTCTGGAAGGCGTGTAGAAGGGCGTTGAGGAAGATCGCGTAGAGAGCCCCAGAAGTTCCATCCATCGAATTTTCGATCTTGGGGAGTATGCTAGTCAAGTCCAGAACCGCGCTCCCAACGAGAGGTTGGTCCAGGACGTGGTGCAAGACAGCTATAAAAGTTAATCAGCAGAAGGACTTATCTCGAGATAGTTCAATTTACCTTCGGCGCCTCTCTTCAGACCTATTCCACAATCACCATCGCCTACAATTGTATCATAGCGGGTGATTTCTGTCTCTGCTTTAATAAGCCTTCTCAAGCCACTCAGAAGCGCATCTGTAGCCAATACGGCGTCATATGTCCCAACATCAGCAGCATTCTCAATTTGTATCAATGGTCTCATCTTAGGCTTCTCCACGTCCATCATGTGATTATGTGAGGCATTAACATCAGCCGCACGCCATGCTTTAGGACTGATTGGAGCACTCCAGCCAACTGCCTGAGCTGGTGCGTCGAGCAGCTCCAATAAATCATGGCTGCTACTGGCTGCAAGGTTCAGGAGCGTGATCGAGAAGCCTATGCCGTTGAGGCTCGTCATATAGGTGCCAGAAAGGACACGAACTGGGCAGATATTGTAGTCAGACGCCAAGTGTCGGCCCACGACCGTGGTGATGGCGTCAAGTTCAAGCACGCTTACACCACCTAGATTATTGACCATCAGCACGATCGGGGAGTTCACTTGTAGGAATGCTCGATCCTTATCATCAATGTCAAGCAGCTGTTTGAGCATCTTTTCCACAAGCCCTACAATATCAGCTTTCTCAAAACTCGATCCGGTTTCATTGTGAATTCCCATTCCAAGTTCTGCGCCTCCCTTGCTGACCTCGGTCGGGTTGCCTGAAGTGTCGGATCGTCCAGGGACGTGAACGTGAGCAAGACTGACTCCGATACTAGCAGTGTTTGCAGCGGCTAGCCTAGCTTCAGCTGCTATGTCTTGAAGGCTTCTTCCTTGGGCAGCGAGAGCGCAGGCAATCTTTTGAACCAGCACGGTTCCTGCGATGCCTCGCCGCCCGACCTTGCCTCCTTTCGATCGGCCGACGCCAACATCGTCTCCGACAGCTACCATGTCTACCTCGATGCCCATAGTCCGTGCCTTTTCGACAGCAACACCAAAGTTGAGCACGTCTCCGGTGTAGTTCATCACAATGGCTAGCACACCTTTCGACCTTTCGCTGCATTTGACGATCGCATGAAGGATCTGTTCCGTTGATGGGGACGCAAAGATGGTCCCAGCCACCGATGCCGTCAGGAAGCCCTGGCCAACAAGGCCTGTGAATGCAGGTTCATGGCCTGAGCCACCTCCTGAGATGACGGCGATGTGATCTGCATTGGCGTTCTTTCGATACACAATTTTGTTGACGTGGTCGACTTTGAGAGACGGGTTGGTCAGAGGCTGAGAGTCGAGGGCATAAGCAACCAATTCTGCAGCGTTGTCAAAGAAATGCCGGTCAGACATGATGATGATTTGCCACAAAGTCAGAAAAATAGCAATGATAACCCAGCCCGGTATGATAAGATCAGCCTGCAACCATGTACAGCCTCGGGTACTTAACTATAGAGCGGTTTTCTTACTAAACACCTTTGTTTACTCAATACCGGAATCCGTCACCCAAGAGGAGACCTCATGATCAACGAGACATGTTTAAGCTTTCCGAGGAGAAATACGCTTCCATATACTCCGCACACCGCGGATAAGTATATGCCATGAGAGAAAGCAACCGGCGAAAGGCCACCGTCCTTATCTTGGTGGGGCAGTAATTGACCGCAAAGCTAAACGGGAGGTAGAGCGGGGGATGATCTAACGTTTGCCGTAGCAAGTTGGCCGTGACAAGTTTCCCGCGGCGTTCTTATCTCACCACGCGACACTTCTATGGCTGGCAAAGGAATTTCCCGGCAATTCCCTCTACATGTGAAAATCATCTCGGAGGGACTAGGGTGCTGATTTCTATTTTTTGTACAGATTGACTACCGCAGCTTATATACGCCTTGTTGACCTGACCTCTACACCCATCATCAATCAGTCATTCTACCATAACAGTTCCATCCCGATTCCATTCCATCCCCCTCTCACCATGGCATCTTCCAACGCAGAGTTCTGGTCCAAAGCGGACAGCTATGTGATGACCACAGGAGTCCCTTTCTCTCCCGTCGTCATCATCAAAGCCCTGGGGACTCGTCTCCATACTGCAGATGGCAAGCAGATTCTCGATTTTACCTCGGGACAGATGAGCTCTCTTCTCGGCCACTCTCATCCAGAGGTTGTTGAGGTGGTCAAGCACTATGTCTCGGAGCTGGATCATCTCCTCAGCAACATGATCACGCACCCTGTGGTCAATCTAGCTGAGAGACTATCCAAGTTCTTGCCTAGCCCCCTGCAAAAGTCATTCTTCCTCAACACTGGCTCCGAGTCAACAGAGGCTGCCATCAAGATTGCCAAATGCTATACCGGCAAGTTCGAGATCGTGGCCTTCTCAGCTAGTTATCATGGCTTGACCCAGGGTGCCGGCTCTGCCACATACTCTGCAGGTCGCCGACGCGGCGGTCCTTCTATGCCAGGATCCCTGGCCTTCCCTGCTCCATATGGTTACCGATCTCCGTTCCGAAAGCCCGATGGCTCTTGGGACTGGGAGACTGAGCTAGACTTTGGCTGGTCCCTCATTGATCGACAGAGCGTCGGTTCCCTTGCAGCCTTCATTATGGAGCCCATCCTTTCTACCGGCGGTATTCTTGATCTTCCAAAGGATTACTTGAAGCGTATGCAAGACGAGTGCAGAAAGCGCGACATGTTGATCATCATGGATGAGGCCCAGACTGGAGTTGGTCGAACCGGCAAGATGTTCGCTTTTGAGCATGAAGAAGGCGTAGTGCCTGATATCCTTGCGCTATCCAAGACGCTGGGTTGCGGTCTCCCCCTGGCCTCGGTCAGCACAACAGCCGAGATTGAGCGTGGCTGCAAGGAAGCTGGGTTCCTGTGGCTCACCACTCACCTCAACGATCCTCTGACCGCCGCCGTCGGCGACAAGGTCCTGGAGATTGTCGAACGCGACAATATTTGCCAGCGGGCCAATGAACGAGGCCAGCAGCTTCGTGCTGGTCTTGAGAAGCTTCAGCAGAAATATTGGTGCATCGGAGATCTCCGAGGCCGAGGGCTCTTGCAGGGTATTGAGATCATTTCTGACCCATCAACTAAGGCCCCAGGTGCCGATCTGGGCCAGGCTGTCTCTGATAAAGCGATGGAGCTGGGTCTGTCCTGCAATGTTGTCAACTTGCCCGGTATGGGTGGTGTGTTCCGTCTGGCACCTGCTGTCACCGTCACGGCTGAGGAGATTGAGCAAGGCTTGAATATTTTGGACAAGTCTTTTGGTGCTGTGTTGGACTTGCGCGGTCAGATGACAGCTGCTGCCTGAGTAGATACAAAAGAACAAGTATTAAGAGTCTGTGACGCATGAATAGACTTCAGTTTCGCTTTTGAATCACCACTATATTTTTGATCGGGCTAGTTATGAATGTTGGAGTGGTCTGTGAAGGGAGGCTGCTTGAGATTTGGTTTGCGTAGGCCTGGACTGCAAATTGAGGTATCTCACCATATACATGCTGTCATACTTTCAACTCTTGACTTCAATTGACAGTAACAAGATGTTACTAATTTTAAGAGGCTAGAAAATGCAGTGCACCTTCACATAAGGAGTTTCTTCTCCAGCAGGTAACATCATAACCGCTCCATTATCCCATACTCCCGATACTTGAACCAAACCACAGCGATGGGTCTACTGCCTGATACTGACTCCCGATTCATTCAAGTTTGATTTCTTCTAGACGCTTATCTCACAACACACTCATGTAGTTTCCAGATTCACCACACTTTTCTACGGCCTTCGGCACCCCATCTGTTCGACAACTATTCCGAGGTCCAGGCCAGATCAGCTGAGACCGAAGCTGGGGTGGCGTGGTCTAGACCACGACTACGGCTTTCGGAAAACGAGAATCAGCAGATTTAGTTTCCCGCGGAAAGCTTATTCACGTCCCTATCATGGTCGCACCAAACGTATCAACTGATCTTATCGGTATGTATTGTTGCTAATGAACATACTATCTCTCTAGGGATAGTGCAACAAGTCCCAATGCATTATTTAAAGTGGCATTGTCGCCAAATCAACGAGTCACGACACAAACAAACAAACAAGTAAATATTTCGAATACATTTTATTATGGATAAATCATCTCAGAAGCTAGAGACCTTTCAGTCCGAACCAGCTCTAGAACATGGCTCCTCCACCGAATATCATGAGCTAGAAAGAAAGTATGGCTCACCCCCTCACGATCGCCGTGTACGATTCTTACTGACCACTACAGGCTGGAAAGTCGGCACATTCAATTCATTGCTCTTGGAGGTGCCATCGGTACTGGCCTTTTCCTTGGAATTGGCCGTGCCTTGACTCAAGCTGGTCCACTTAGTCTTCTACTGGGTTACAGCATTTCAGGCGCAGCTATCTTTTGCATGGTATGTCTGAGTTCTTAACATGCTTGCACACATGAAATGTAAGCGGCTGACATCTTCTGACCCGCTGCAGATGCAGAGCTTGGGTGAAATGTGTACTTGGCTCCCCCTCCCAGGAGCAATCCCTCAGTTCGCAGATCGTTGGGTGGACCCTGCGTTGGGGTTTGCCATTGGTTGGAATGTAAGTTTCTCTGAGTTCAGGTTATTGTTGGTTGAGCTAACCTATGGTTAACCTAAAGAGCTGGTATTATTGTGTCATAACTCTCTGCGCAGAGATCGCCGCTGTATCTGTCGTGATACAGTACTGGGAGGGAGCCCAAGGCGTCAATGTCGCAGTCTGGATAACCATCCTCATCGTCTTGGTGGCTTGCATTAACCTTTTCGCCGTCTCAGTCTACGGAGAAGTCGAATTCTATTTTGCCGGCGTCAAAGTCATTGCCATCATCGGTCTCATCTTGTTAGCCTTCCTCATCGATCTAGGCGCAACAGGGCAAGGCCGTATCGGATTCCGCTACTGGAAGGATCCCGGAGCGATGAAAGAGTATGTGGCGACCGGTGATCTCGGTCGTTTCCTAGGCTTCTTTTCGACTCTGGTTAATGCAGCCTTTTCCTTTGGTGGTATCGAGACTGTTGCCGTAGCCGGAGGCGAGGCCAAGAACCCACGAAGGAACATTCCCAAAGCTGTCCGTCGAGTGTTTTGGAGAATCCTGTTCTTCTATGTTCTAGGCGCTCTAGCCGTTGGCGTCTTGGTCCCTTCGAACGACGAAAAGCTACTGAGTGCTCAGGCAAACGGGTCCAAGGGTGCGGCAGCCTCACCATGGGTTATTGCTATCACGCATGCCAAGATCAAGGTCTTGCCATCTATTATCAATGGTGTGATCCTGAGTTCTGCCAGTTCCGCCGCCAACGCCATGACCTTCAATGGAAGTCGATATCTCTTTGCTTTGTCCAAGAATGGACAAGCCCCCAAGATCTTTCAAAAATGCAACAAAAGGTGATTCAGCCTCTCTCGTTGAACACTGGATTAAGACTAATCATTCATTAGTGGAACGCCATGGGTAGCTGTACTACTCGTTACTGCCATTTCTTTGCTCTCGTACCTCTCCTGCTCTGCTAGTAGCAGCGTAGCATTCACTTGGTTTCAAAACCTTGCTACACTGTCATCACTCTTTACCTGGTTCGCTATCTGTCTTATCTATATCAGATTTCATAGTGCCTTAAAAGCACAAGGTATAGATAGGTCATCACTTATCTTTAAGGCACCATTTCAACCATATCTGGCATGGCTTTCTATGTTTTATTTCGGTATTATCATTATTTTCAGTGGGTTCTGGACATTCACCCCTTGGGACGCCAACAGCTTCGTCACCACCTATATCTGTATCCCGCTTATAGCGATTCTCTTTTGCTTTTGGAAGTTCTTCAAGAAAACTAAATGGGTGCCATCTGCTAAGGCTGATTTGTATCACGATAAGGCTGCTATTGATGCTATCATCTGGGAAGAGAGGAAGTCAACAACAATCTGGGGTAAGGTTTGGGATTGGCTGTGTTAAGATCTATTGCTTTGTTACTCTTGACGCTGTCATGAGCTTCCCCATAGGTTAGTTATCGTTGAGTCAATGCTTGATTGGTATATAAGGAGCTCTCTTATTCCCTGTTTGGACTAGAAAAGCTCTCTTATTCCCTGTTTGGACTAGAATTAAGGCTCTTTTGACCCTTTCTTATATACCCCTTCCACTGTGCTTGCCATAGCTATCCCCAATAATCAGTCAGCCCATAAGTGAATTAATACTTAGGTAAGAACTGTGAAACGTACCTACAACCTGTCTGCCACGACTATGGGAAAGGGTGTCTTCGGGTGTTGACAAGTTGAAGCCTCTAGTTCCCGAGTGGAAAATCTCAACAACTACCCATCAATGTGGTTATAGACGAACCCTCTTTCCAAGTAAGAATAAAGAGGGACAAGGTATAGAAAAATTTCAAAGAGTAGCTTCAACTTTTATTCGAAAGGACATAGTACGTCTTGAATTTCATAACATTCTAAAGAGTTGATAGAACTATTAGAAGCTGATGTTACAAGATCTATTTAAAAGTGTGAATACCTCCGGAGAACCCATTCAGTTCTCCTTATGTTCAACCTGAACTACCCCCGCCTTCTCATTCGTATCCATTCGGCCCACATAATTATCTGTATCAGCCTGCTGCAGATCGGTGACATAGCGCTTGAACTTCCATGCCGATATCCTCTTCTCAAACAACTCATCCAGCTGCTCCAAGCTTCGGCCCTTGGTTTCAGGGATAAAGAAGTATGTAAAGACAGCCAGGATAAAGTTGCTGCTCGCCCAGATGTAACAATACTTGGGGCCCCAGTTGAGAGACTCAGGGTTGATGAAGTACGGCGTACAATACGAGCACAGCCATGAAGCCAAGAAGCTTGTGCCTTGGGAGAAGCCAACTGTCTGAGCTCGCAGACGCTGGGAGGGTATCTCGGTTTGCAGGGCCCATAGTACAGGACCTTGGCCGATACCATAAATCCAGGTAAAGACGATGCTCAGCCCGACAAGGACTTTGCCAGCAGTAGGAGACCCAACGGGAGAGACCGTGTAGGCAACCGCCATACCCAACATGAGACCTGCGTTGAGGAGAGATGTGCCAAGGAGGAGATGTCGGCGGTTGAAGAAACGTATGGCGGGGAAAGACAGCATGTTTCCTGTGAGGGCGATGGCGAGAGATACCATAACCCACTTGAAGGGTGAACCAATTCGAGCCTGGACAAAGAAGAAGACCGAGAAGGCCGAGATGAAGTAGATACCAGTGCTAGCCTGACCAACAGCTGTCGCAATGCTGAGAAGAGTGCGTCGCAAGTCTGTGCCACGGAAAGCGTCAAGCAGCCGAGTAGTGGATCGCATCTCAGTCTCTTCCAGCCAAGCATTCTTCATAATAATGATATCCTCACGAATTCTATCATCATCAGTCATACCCCGTAGCTTGCGAATCGCAGCCTCGGCCTTATCGTCCTGGCCCTTGGAAATGTAATAGCGAGGCGTCTCTGGTAGGAATATCAGTCCTACGGACATCATGACTGGAACGACAAACATGACGGCAAGGGGTATCTGGTATGACAGGCGACTGAGCATGCCCTGCGTTCCATTGTCAACAGCAATACCGACAAGAGCGCCGATATTAATCTGCAAGACGACCAAGCCAATAGCCGCACCTCGAAGATACGCCGGTGTCGACTCTCCGATATAGACCGCCGAAAAGGTACTGTAGAAGCCGTTGGAGAATCCAAGCATAATACGTCCGAAGTATAATGCGGCGAGATGGGTGCTTCCCATTTGTGCAGCGACTGAGACTACGCCGAAAAGCGAAGCGATCCAGAGGCCGACTCGAGGGCTAATGAAACGACCAAAGTTGAAGATGAGGATGCATGCTGCTAGGGCACCGAGACTGATGAGACTCTGTAGAAGAGTCTGAACTTTGGTGGTGATGTTGTAGCCGATTGGGTTCGTGGGCTGTTCCGAGATACGGTCAGTTCATCAATTCTGTCAATCGTAATACAGGAGGGAATGGCTGGAGAATACACTTGCATCAACGTAACCAAAGACGATGAGAAAGCCAGGCATGGACTGGAAGCCAGAAACAGCAGCTGAATCAAACCCATACTGAAACTGAGCCAAGGCGATAAAGAAGCAAATGGCGATCAATCGCTTCTCGCTCCATAGCGAATTGAGATGACCCCTAGCAGAGGCCTGTTGTGCCTCCATGTTCAAGAGTTTGTCAGTCAAAGAATTGAAGTTGATGTTGGATGAAAGAGACGGCTTTGTATCTGTGTGATTGTCCTTGCATCCGAAGTGGAGAGAAAGGATCAGCGATATATCCTTTTATCACCAAGGCTGCACGTTCTAGGCCCTCTTAGACGCGCTTCCCCAGATCCTTACCCCGCGATCTAGCACTCGGCGCGATAACAAATTTTGGCTTGCATCCCCAAGCTTTACAAGGGTTAGTGGTGAATTTGGTGCCATCGGCGGTATGCATCCGACGAAACTCAACAGCCGAACTGTCGAAGCCGATAATCTCCTCTCCTCAATGGAGGCTGACAGCCACTCCCGATATAGCTAGTCTACAGGTATAAGACAACGCTGAGATCCAATGGGCCTTAGCAGGTACCGATCAGTAGACTGCTATTGTTTACTGTACATTGGATTCCCTGTTCTTCTGCAATTTCACCTGACGCGTTGCTAGAGTAGCGAAATGACTGGCAGCATGGATACCGAAAGTGTCATGAAGCAGCTTCAGGCTATGGAAGCCAAGATCGAAAAGCTTACAGGTAATAATCGTCTAAGCTAGTTTATTGCTTCTACTGATCTCATTTCTGCACAGCTGAGGCTGATGTGCGAAAGCTGCAGCATATCTACGGATATTACCTTGACAAGTGTCTTTACAAAGAGGTACGCACCACCTCCGAACCAATGTTATCCCAGCAAGCACATTACTAACACGAAAAGGTGGTGGACCTGTTCTCAGACTCACCAGATGCATACGTGCAGTTTCTGAATGGCCGCTTCAGAGGTAAAGACTCAATCCGTCGGCTGTTCATCGACAGATGGTCCAATTACTTTGTCGGCGGCCGCAACGGCCCCATCCACGGCTGGCTTCTAGACCACTTCATCGGCCAAGACGTCGTAGATTTCCAGCCCGGAACAAACACCGCCAAATACCGCGGCAGAACCCTCATGAGCGCCGGCACCCACAAGACCCTATCCCCCGAATACCCAGGCGGCCAACGTCAATGGTGGGAGGGCGGCGTCTACGAGAACGAGTACATCAAGGAGAACGGGGTGTGGAAGATCTTCCGGCTGCGGTATCATCCCTTCTGGCATGGAAGTGTTGAGAAGGGTTGGCAGGATGCTGATAAGTTTGTGCCCTTGTTTAAGGAGACGTATCCGGCGAATCCGCAGGGACCGGATGAGCTTTGGGAGGGGGGTGATTTGTGGCCTGATACGAGGGTTGTGCCGTTTCATTATGTGCATCCTGTTACGGGGAAGCAGGTGGCGGATGAGGATTTGCAGGCGCCTAAGTGGAGGGAACCGGCGACTAGTGCGCCGCCTGCGAGAGTGATTGATGACTGGACTGTTTGATAGGCATGTATTGTGCACGTCTGGCTATATTAGTAGACAATATTACGCTTCATTGGCATCCTTTGTACAATCACATGCATTGAGCAAGCCTATTCAGCAATAGTAGATTTTACAGGTGAAAAGGATTCCATAGTCATCCGGCTCTCGAGCAAAAGTACATAGGTCTGGCTGTTTTGCTTCACATGTGATCCTAATTGTCTAACTCATTGGATCAATAGGAGAAGACGGGTTTATCGTCTTAAAAGATCTTATTGCCATTGCATATTACTTGCATTCGCTACCGAAGCGAGCATTGTGTTAAACCCGAAGTGTATTTTCTAACTTTATAATTAACTCATAAACTTAACTCCGCTATTACCTTTTAATTGCCCTAAACCTTCTTTTTAAGCTTAGTTCTAATTATACTAATATATATATTATTATAAAACCTTTTTTAGGTTAAGCTTTTCTTATATATTAGTATTTTTTAATAATTTTAATAGCTATATTCTAAGCTACATTTTACTATAATAGCTTTATAGTCTTTTTTCTTTCTTTCTTTTTTTTTACCTTTATTTTCTTTAAGGTAAATAATATACTTTTCTTTTACTAGGTAACTTAAATAACCCTTATAGGGAATTTACTATAGGCTACTATATAGGTAGTAGTCTTATAGTTAAAAAAAGTAAGGTTAATAAAAGATTTACTGCTAAGCTAATAGAATTTATATATATAGATTAATAGTATAGCTTTCCTAGAATATATCTTAAGGTCCTTATAGCTACTTATATTTTTAAGGGTATTCCTATACTAAAATATAACTTATAGTATAACTATAGCCTTATTAATATAATTATTAATAGCTACTATTTAGAAAAATAAATATTAAGTAAAGATTTTTCTTATTAAAGCTACTATTTTAAAGATCTAGGGTATTTATAGTATTAAGCTAACCTTTCTTAGCTAATAGATTAAAGGCACTATCTTATATACCTTTAAAGCTAGCTAAAGAGTTATAATCTAGGTTTTTCTTTTATTAGCCTTTAGCTATAGTAATTAGTTAGTTATTTAGTATAATGTCTAAGTTATAAGCTAGATATATTATTTGCAGTTAAGACTTGTGGCTAAGAGCTTAAATCAGCGGACAGAACTTAGCTACCGAAGCGAGTATTTGGTGGTTAAATAGCGATAAACAGGGTGACGTCTGGGCATCTACACTCCGAAAACGAAAGAGGGGCTGGGCCTTGTGATCTCGGCTTCGTAGTCATCGGAGTTATGGTTCCGAGCTACAACAGCCAGCCACATCATTTCGTTGAGCGAGGGTAGATAAGGCGGGGAAGAGGAATGAGACAAGGCCCAGGACTTCGATCGGCAGAGAGTCCCCGCATGATACATTAAAGTCGATCGGCTAATGTTACAATTTTGTGGTAGTGCCATTGCCGCTCGGATGGAATATGGTAAACAACAAGAGAGGGTTAAATCTTAATGGTCATATCGTATTTTCCCAATAACTTATGCAATAGAAAATAAGCCATCAATCGGTCACAATTTCAACCATGAAGTCATTGTCACTATATGTTTTGCTAGCCTTTTGTTTGACTCTGGCATGGTTCACTTTGACCCTTGTCAAACTCGTTCGTTCCCCCTTGAGACGAGTGCCTGGACCATTTCTTGCACGATTTACAAGGCTATGGCTGCTGAAGCAAGTTTACTTTGGGACATACCCCAAGACCAGTATCGAGCTCCATAGAAAATATGGTCAGTTCATTCATTGGACATGTCAACTCAATCTGACGGTCAGACCAGGGCCCATCGTCCGCATAGCACCCAACGAGTACAGCATCGACGATCCTGCAGCAGCCAAGATCATATATGGCAGTGGCCGAGGATTTACAAAGGTCCTCCAAGCGCTGACATGATACTATCAGAAGCACAACTAACAAGTTTGAGTAGTCTCCCTGGTATTATGCCAGCGGCAATCCCTTCAGTTCACTCCCCAACATCTTCGTCGAGCCGAATCCGCATATCCACGCCCAAGCAAGACGAAAAGTCGCGGCAGCTTACTCTATGACCAACCTGGTCCAGCTTGAGCCTTTCATCGATAAATGCTCGGCTGTTCTTCGGGACCGATTAGAAGAGTTTGCTCGGTCTGGTACCTCCGTGGAGATATCCCACTGGATGCAGTGCTATGCCTTTGACGTGATAGGTATGATGACGGTGAGATAAATAACAATGGCAAGTTAAGATACAATTGACTAAGTCTGGTAGGTTGGGAAACGATTCGGCTTCTTAGACTCAGGCGAGGATATACAAGGGATCATGTCGTCTCTGAGCCAGTACCTGGTTTACTGTTCTAATGTCGGCGTGTTCCCAGAGTGGCACGAGACTATCTTCCGCCGACAAATGCGTTCAAAAACTACATCAGGCCTGACTCACGTTAGAGAATTTGCTGATGCTCAACTGGAGGACAAGCGCGAGAAGGCCAAGACACATGAAATCTCCCATCCCAATGCGGCAGAGGACTTTGTCACCAAGTTTCTACGCCTCCAAGCCCAGGATCCGGATAAGATCACCAACGCCGACATCAGTTCTGTGTGCAACATGAATGTTGGCGCTGGCTCTGACACCACATCAATCAGCTTGACCTCCATCATCTTCAACTTGATCAAGTACCCCGGAGTTCTTGCACGGCTACGTGCTGAGATCGAAGAACACGAGAATCAAGGCACAGTATCGGACCCAATAACATTCGCTGAAGCCAATAAGCTCCCCTATCTGCAAGCTGTGATTAAAGAAGGTCTAAGGATGCATCCTGCTACTGGTCTCAGTCTCGGCCGGGTGGTTCCATCAGGTGGTGCGACTTTGGCAGGACAATACTTCCCTGGAGGGGTACGTACGACGGTATTGGAGAGCAGTTGGAGGTCTGAACTGACTTTAATAGACTGTCGTTGGCATTAATGCCTGGGTAGCGCACGCCAACACCAAGGTATTTGGTCATGACGCCCACGTATTCCGACCCGAAAGGTGGCTGGACTATCCAGAACTGGTCAAAGAACGCGAAGCATATTTTATGACCGTAGGTAACCCCAGAGACTCTTCGCCACCCCAGACTAATCTCTCCCATTAACAGTTCGGTCAAGGCTCTCGAACCTGTCTGGGCAAGAACATTAGTCTCATGGAGCTTGCAAAAGCCATTCCGCAAATAGTTCGGCACTTTGACTTTGCTCCAGATACGGAGTCTGGGGAGCCCGAATACGCCACAGAGAATGTTTGGTTTGTAAAGATTAGGGAGTTTTATTGTAAGGTCTACGGTAGATATAGGCAGTGATGGTATAATTAATAGTATTGGGGGAAAGTATAGCCTTGAAGGTTCATATTTACAAAATCGCCTTGTATTCCACCCGTTATTCCTAGAGCGACTTTCGTAGCGACTTCTCAAGACCGTACTCAACGGTCATTTTATCGAATCGCCGACGTACAAAGGGAAAAGCAAGAGAGCCCACAAACGACATGAACACATCGTACAGAGTGCTGTCGCTGGGGCTCGGGCCTCGCATGTTGTTTAATGTCAGGTCAGTTGTCCGGTCTGTTGTGATCATGTACTGTCCCTTCCTGATAGCTCTGAAGATCCTTGCGGCGATGTCTTCGGCACTCTGTACGTTCTTAAGCAGTTTCTCCATGTCCGAGTAGTTTGAACCTTCCATGTTCTTGAGAAGCTCTGGTTTCGCCGCCTGCTCCTGGATGAATGAATCCGTGATGAAAGCCCCCGGAAAAGCAATGTGCACACGATACATGCTCTCGTCACCGTATAGGAGTAGCTCTTGGCGGAGTGTATCTGCTAATGCTCTCAAAGCAGTTTTTGGCGGTGTATAAGCGGTATAGCCTGGGAGAGCGACAAAAGCAGCGGCGGAAGCGATATAGACCAAACGTCTGGTGCGACTTGGGTCCGGCTGTTGAACCCAACGCTGCACACACCACTGTGTGATGAAGAGGGAAGCCTGGTAATTAGATGAAAGGCAAGTCGCGAGTGACTCCGGTGCCAGGTCAACAAGGAAACCTATCTGATCCGGAGTAGTGCCACCGACGCTGCAAATCAACGTATCTGGCGTGGCATTGTGTTCAGACATGGCGTTTCTCAGCTATGTGATTGATTAGCTTAGGCTGCCAGCCATTTATAGATGGTCTTGTCTTCCTTACGGCAGCGTGATCTCCAAGATCCACAGAAATGGTGTGGACAGTCTGCTCCTCTGATAAACGGGCGGCCATGATTTCTCCCTTGGCCTCCTGGAGGGCCTTCGGGTTCCGAGCAAGAATGATGACGCTAGCCCCTGGAAGCATCACTGTCAGACCAAACCGGCCACTGGGCTTGCAGTACTCGTAAACTCATACCTTGTTTCGCAACCTCTACCGCCATGATCCTGCCTAGACCTCGAGATCCGCCTGCGATACATACCGTCTATTAAAGATTTAGCCGGCTCACTTCCCCCAGTTGTTCACAGTGAGTACATACCTGGCCAATAAATGTATCTTGATCTACCATTTTGAAACAAAGTGGATATTTTCATGGATGGAAAGTCAATTACAGATTGGTGAAGAGTACTGATAAATAGCAACATGGCCGGGACTGAACGCATAGCTCGGCCCTCCGCGGATCGGCATGGGGCTACGTAAGTCGGCCCCCTCGGGTTCCGGTCCCGTCCACTCTCAAACTGTCGTGAAAGCTAGGGGCTAGGAGGGAGAACCCTAGACTAAATCTCATAATATAGCACCATAAATAAATGGTTGGCAATCGGAAGTGGTAATTTCTCGCCACTGCATGCCTAGTACTTTGACTCTAACCTACTAAGTAAGAATGAAGGAGCCTTGAAAGCGGTGAACCTTAAAAGCTGTTTAGCAAATAGTTTAACACGCTGACCTTACTCTAGATATAGATTCTAGAGAGCCCTATTACACAGAACCGTTAATTTGTCAAGATTGCGGAGTTTTATTATAAGGTCTACAGCAGATATAGGTAGTGATAGTACATCAGCTATTCTTGGAGCACCGGTGGCCAAGCATGATCATCGTTATGATGGCCCAAAAGGGAAGATGGTAGAGATGTCCATCAGATTATCCAGAAATCCATTGTCGATCACTATATCTGCCATATCGAGCTCGTTCAACCACGTCATTGCTAGTTGATCCGTGCTATGGTCAAGGGAAATCCTGTGAACCCATTAGTAAAGCACGATGGAAGTTTGATAGCTATCACGTACCGCTGCAGAGGTTCAGTTACTATCTGGGGATATCCTAGAGGTTCGGAAGGATGTAGAGTGATATTTGATGTATCTTCGACACCTTCAGCAAGTCCACATTGTTGCAACTGAAATAATGTTTCCGGGATAAGATGCTTCGGATAGCCTGAAACACTTATTGCCAGCAATATCCGTAGACATTGCTTTGCTCGAGCTTGATGGCCATCCATGTGGTATAGTCCGCAAGCAGCGACGATGACCTGAAGTGCTTGTAAAGCGAAGAGATAATCGGCCATTACCAGGCTTGAAGCTACCTTATGGAGAACCATGCCTTCCAGGATCTCAAATGATGACTCGGCAGCAGACACACAGGTTTTGGCAAGGGTAGCGAATATCGGTTGCTTGACGGCCTCAACATGCTCGATGCCTTGTAGTAGATTACAAAGAAGGAAGGGTTTGGTGACGAGCATCATGGTACTCCAGTAGCGAAGGTGTAGAAGAGATATGGACCGTCTGTAAGACAGTGACACGGAGGGCGATAGATGAAGGTGCGGCGGTACGTGGTCTAGCCAGTCTTGCAGAGAGGTCACAGCATCATTAAAGTGAGTCTTGGATAACTTTTGCCCGCCATGGACAGGCCCGTCGTAGAGGTTCTGCCGTATGCTCTGCGTTATCTGAGCAAGACGTATACACTGCTCGAGATATCCGTTTGGAGTATGAGACCCTGGACTGACGACCTGTTCGCGCATTAGAGACAGCTCAATACTTTGCTTACACCAAGTACGTACAAATTCCGACGGTAGAGGTGGTTTCCAAGAGGTTTCGTTGGGCGGACTATTCATGCTTGGCTTACCCAGAGCGAGAGAGAGATCTTGATCAACGAGATACAACGTCCACCAAAGGCGTCTTGCATGTGCCTGACTTACTACGCCACTCTTGGTGGAGTACTTGTCCAGATGAAGACCGAGAGAGAAGGCGATGCGAACTGCGAGACCGATGTAAAGGTATGCTGAGTTGGTGAAACCATTGGACTGCAATGCCAGTGACTAGGGGACTTGTTGTCAGCTTCGATCTGTTCAAGCGTGCGTTTGTACTCACCAGAACTATAAATGCCCGTATACTATCCAGATCAGCCTCATCGCATACCCTCGTTACTAAAGACTTGGCCATCTCCAATGACTCATGGGTTCCCTGTCCATTGACCAACCCATTAGGCGACGGCTCGCACGAGGCGCACAGTGCCACTATCCCATGTAGCGAACAAAGCCAAGAAGCAGTAAGCTGTCCAGTGTCGCCCGAGTACGTGGTCTCAAGTCGAGTATAGAATGATTCGGCAGAGTATATCCAGTACAGACAGTGAACCTGCTCGAAGAAACGAGCTGCACAAGCGGACAGCAGATCTTGTGATGGGAACTGGCATGGATTTCCTGGCGAAGATGCAGCGTCTGTCAAAGGAGACTTCACAGAAGGCGGACTGACTTTGAGCATTCCAGGTATCTTATCCTTATCCTTGTCTTTGCTTCTCATCCCTGCACCCATTCTGAGCATCCATGACCTTACGGCGCTGTTGAAGCTGGCACCTGACTCTGCACCCATGTAGCCTGCACATGTTAATATTAGTCACGGGCTGTGTGTTGGAAAGGGACTTACGATACTCCCCGTGAGCGTCGGCAAGCAGACAGCCCAGGTCATGGTGTAGATTCACGATCTCTGGTAGCAATATTTCCTCTTCCTCGGCTTGAGTCTCTTCTACGTCTTGAATCAAACCCTCTCCTTGATCTATGATCTCATCTCCACAATCTATAAGGGGTGCTTCTGCCGATACTTCAATCAGAGACATCGTAGGCGTTGCGATATCTGTCTGTGTCTTGAACGCCGGCCTTTTGTTCTCGTCAATCAATCGTCGCAGATTCGGTATCGTCAACTCCTCATCCGGAAAGCAATTACTGCAAAGCTCACGTAATAGACGGTATTCCTCTTCGGAGACGAAGTAGAAGGGCTTCTGCCGCCGTTTCTCCATGTCCACTGAGCAGATCTCATCGATGCTGCGGCAGTAGTCGCATGGGCCGTCGGCATCTTCACTCAGCGTCAGTCTTGTCTCATCTCACCGTTTCAGTCGACATACCAGGCTTATTACACTTGCAGAAAGGGTTAGTAACACGCAGATTGCGATAGGCATGGCAGCGCTTACTTTTGTCTTTCTTGACTTGCAGCGATCGCAGCTGATGGCTGTCCGACTCACCCTCGATTTCTTGGTGACTTTGGAGCTTCGTGTGGACATGATGAGTTACGGCACCGTGGCCTGGTTACAGGACGCTCAGCAAAGGTAGATGCTGTCAAGAACAGTCGTGATTTAGGAGAGACGAGGTTCGCTGGGGTCTCCACTACCCCAGACTCTAGATCGCCACGAGTTTGCGGGGGTGACGAACTGGACTGCATCGTGTATTGGCTGATCGGTTAGACTTAATTGAGCCCCCTATCAACTGACCAGGGCTTCCCCGCACCTGGGCCTTAGGTTTATCCTGCCAGCTGGATTTAATTCACTAGCGATGCCGCAAGCAATATAGCTTATCGCACTGGAAATGGCCAAAAACGCGGGGAAGCTTGAGCTCGGCATAAAATAGCGGCAATTGCACGCCTTTCACCATTTTTCACTGAATGCTGAGACGAGTCGCCCTATACCTAGTAGTTAAGCGCTATAATGATCAACTCTGCAGCGGCTTCAGTAAGCACATGAACTAGCCTTATACAAAACACCCCAAACTCTTTTTTTCCGTGTCTTCCATCTCATTTGTATATCATCTACGAATTGAACTCTTTGCCACCTTTCTTGCTTATTGCGTCAGCCTCAAAGTAAGTTCTCAACAGTTCCAATTAGTCACGGAAATGAGACTCTTGTACCCATTCCCAGTTATTCAGTTTCTCAGCCTCATCTAGCTCATAGTGCCTCATCAAGATTGCCAGAATTGCTCCTTGGGCTTCCACAGCACCGACGGTGATCGCATTCCATATGTGTTCTTGCCGGACACTCCTCGACAAGAAGCTCGCTTCTAGAAACATCTCGACAGTAAGGTCTCGGCCCTGCCTCGTGGCGATGAAAGAGACCGTTCATCCGACCAGCTATCCATGAACACATCCGCGCCGTGGTAGATGAGTGCTTCTATTAATGCATCGCTATCCTTATCCTTGATAGTGTCGGGTCCCCCCCACTAACCCAGAGAGAAGAACGCGATTGTCCGCGTTGAGGTCTGCCCCTCGCTCCAGTAATAAATTCATAACATCTTCGTGACCACTCTCCACTGCCCGGCTTATCGTAGTTAAGCTTTCCCCCTCATCTTGCGCGTTGGGGTCCGCGCCAGCATCAAGACGTTCCACGATGCCGAGATATCCTATCATATCCGCGAGCAAAAGCGCTACAGATGGAGGCTGATATCGTGAAACAAGAGAGGAATACGATGGTCCCTGAACTAAATCTGCTCTGCCTAAAGTTTATTTTCGCCTCAAGTTGAAAATTGGTGTATGCTGACAATATGTAATAGTCCGATATGGCAATTCGTTATTTGATTGAAGTTTCGTCTCATTTATTCTCCACTACTGTCGAAATCGCGGTAATTGACTAGACCCCTTTGCCCTGACTGGAGCCAGCTCCTTATGCAGGCGTGTCACTCTCTAGACCATGATCTTCCCCATGAAGTGGAAAACTCAAACTAACTCAGACGTGCTATCTGTTTTAAGAACTCTAGCGCGAATAGTTGCAGCATCTTTACTAAACCAACCAGCAACAATCACCATCCCAACTATTGCCAGCTGCAGGGAAAAAGTGACAAATCTAATGGCAAAGCTGCCTGTGGTGGGATGCAGCATTGCGATTTGTGTAAATGAGTAAATGAGATCGTAGTTCATGCGGATCAACTGAAGGACTGTCGCAGGTGCAGCAGCCATCATCAGCACTTCAGCGGAGCGGTAGCTTATATCTTGTCGAGCATAGTAGATGTGCTTGCCAGCAGGATATAGCCAGACCAGAGTGCCAATCATCACGAGGAACATGATGATGTTTCCGGCCTTGTCGGCGGCTCCGTTCTTAATGTTGTCTGGCATCGTTGTATCTCTCATTCCACCATATGCGGCTAGGATGGTGCCGATGTTGTAGATTACGTTCATCGCGATGAGCGCTATGCGGTTTCTTTGGCGTTTGTACGGGAACAGGGGGAGGTTCAGACTGGTGGAATATTAGCATCAGATAGGGTCAATGCTAGGCGCATACAGGTTCACATACGCTTCGTAGATTATGCCGATTATGGTCACTGATAACGTAGCGGTGCTGGCAGCAGCCGCAACCATAGCATATGCAGTCGGGATATCAGGTTCGTTACGTCGGGAGAGGTAATAAATTTCCGACGTGATCCGAAAGACAAAAAAGATAATGAATGGTGGAAACCATGCTTGACCAACTTTTCGGTGTTTATATGCCACATATAGCGCTGGGAATAACAGGATAGTGAAAACAATAAGGGCTGTGGCGGATAGACCGATGCATGCTGTCGTGGGAGGGCTGGGAGGTTGTGAACTGGAAGTCGACATGATGATTTAGTAAAAGACTCTGTAAATGTAGGAACGGCTCAGTATTCAATTCTCAACTCGGTGTAAAGCGAGAACCAACCCAAATATTTATTATCTCCCAGAGCCCTACACATCGACAGTAGAATCTCCATACCCAGCCCCCTATCACAGCAAAAAAGGGCTGGAGTCAAAACCGAGTCAGTTTCTGTGCCAACAAACAGTACCAGCCTCGCCTCACAAGCGTTTCCTAATTTTAAACGCTTCAACGTCAGCAAGCGTTTCACCGTTGACCTATCATAGCCACTGACACGCTCTGGATACGACATGTAAAGAAACACAATGCGTAATCGTGAGGCGCGGCGTCAACAAGGGTAAGCGGAAGATAAGTGCAGATCAGTGTTTCGTTTGCGCGGGTGACTAAGCGGCAGTGCCGTGTACTGCCGTACTTCCGGCCGGCGTCGGCACATCTCACGGCAGAGCGTCCTCGCTTATAATAGATCTTGTCTCGTATGGTAGATCCTCCCCTGGTTACAGCTGCAGAATAGACTTTTGACGGGGGAATATCGGTACTTGTGCCGTTTCTTGTCTTTTTTCTGGGTTTAATATAGCATCTCATGCCCAACCTTGCTTGTTTGTGCTGTGATCTGCAATCCAACCACTTCCGTTGGGACGCAACACTTCACAGCCAGCTTGATACAACGATCTTGAAAAGACACTTTGGGCAGTGTACGAGTGAGGCGCGAGATGTAAGATAAGCTCAGGTCTATCAGCTTAAATTTAGGCAGTGTACACTCCACACAATCCCTGTATCAACACTACTCCATTACTGTAAGATGTTTCTCACAGGTTTCATCTAGAGTTCTGCCTTAGATACTTTCTCTAGCTTCCCTATCAGCTGAAGACTCGACAGGAAATAAAGTTCGCTCCCAGACGGATCATGCATTAGCTCTGCAGATCCAAAACAGCCCTTCCCGCAAGCCTCCCACTTTCCATCTCCCTAAACACCTCCGTCAACTCCCCCAGCTTCCTCGTCTGATAATGCACAGTAATAACTCCTCTAGCCGCCAAGTTCAGCACATCAATCGCGTCCTGGCGATTCCCCAATATCGACCCAGCAATCTTCAGTTGCTTTTGAACAATGGGCCCAGGCATTGCACTTGCAATTGCGACGGGTTTACCCCCGGGCATTCCAACTCCAACCAACGTTCCACCAGGTCTCAGTAGCTCAAGGCCTTGAGAGTACGCTGCGTTGCTGGACGCACATACGACTACCGCGTTGGCGCCTAGGTTGTCGGCAAGCTTCTTGACCTTGGAGACCAATTCCTCACTGGGTGTCGCTGCATCAATGAATATCTCTGCTCCACTCTCCTTCACCACGTCTTCCTTGCTTGCCTGGTCGATGCCGATAACGCGATATCCAAAGGCTCTTGCTGCGATCTGCGTCACAAGATGTCCCAAGCCTCCTCCAGCGCCTGACACAGCAACCCAATCGCCTGGACTGGCCGTCACTTTGCGCAGCGCTGCGTACGAGGTTAGTCCGGCGCATAACATCGGTGCCGCTACTTCAGAGCTCACACCATCAGGAATAGGTGTCAGGTATCGAGCTGGTACTGTGAGATATTGCTGGAATGTTCCCGGGTTGAACATGCCAGACACAGACTGCTTGGCACAGAGGCCATCCTCTCCAGCGATGCAGTAGACTTAAGAACATGTCAGTTAACCCATTTAATGGAAGAGAAAGTCACATACCACAACTACCACAGATATCTCTCAGCCATTTAACTCCGACTCGATCTCCAATCGCGAAGCCGTGTAGATCTGCACCGTCTCCAATCTGAACAACGGTTCCAACACCTTCATGGCCGCCAATTTGAGCTACATCAACCGAATCAGAGAAGGCCACCTGCCAGCCTTGTGATAAGACCTACTATCAGGAAGCGAGAATGGCATTCCCCAAGAGTTCGTCATGATGGAAAGGTCTGAGTGGCAGACGCCAGAATGAGAACTGCCCTTGTCAGCTCGTGTCTATGATCAGACCTTGAGACTTACAGTTTCACCAACACCTCTCCTGCAGATGGGCTGGGGGTCTCAATGTCTACCACCTTGGTGCTGAGTTCGCCAGGCCTGTCGTAGACAGCAGCCTGGTGGGATAACGGGGCATTGGTGATGATGGCCATGATCAAGCTGTATTGAGTGTGAACAATCTCAGGATGAAGAGGGACCCAGTCAGATTGGTAGTTGACTATAACATTCATGTAGCATAGTATCTATAGATATATGATATTGCCTTCCTAAATACCAAAGGGTTACCATTTAGCTTCCCTTCGGCTCCATCCGACAAATCCGGGTAAGTCTCGCCGAGTCGGAAGTATTGAAGCGATGGCTTCAGACAACCCCAAGATCCCCGCTTCTCAGTACTCCAACGGAAGTTTGAACAGCTTTATAGCGTTAGTCCTTCCAACTTGCTCTTTCGCGTCAGCATTCAAATCCACAGTCCTCCACCACGCCTGCGCTTCCTCAATGTCGTCATATGGTGTATCTGTCAGGATATTAGCTTCGCTCTATCACAGCTTTCATTTTAGGGTCTTTACCTATAGAGTACATGCATCTCTCGAGGCCGATTGTCTCAATGCAGAGCTTCAATCCAGGAGTGAAGAAGTTTCCTGAAGTCGTGATGTAGACATTGTGCTTGAAGTAGTAACTATAGTCTTCCTTTGACGGGCGCGTAGCCTTTTTGCTAGGTTTGTTATACCAGTGGCTGGCTCTCCAGAGATTGAGAGGTATACTGTTCTCAATGTCAGTGAGGTTTCTTGTATCAGGGATTGTGAGCCATACTTCTCCCCCAAATGCCCAGCGACGATCTTGGCACCGGGAAATCTGTCAAAAACTCCTATGATGGGGTCAGTCTCAAAATCTGTGTGATTACATTGTGAAAACTCACCAGATGAGCAAAGCGCGTAGATATGGTACGAAAGATCCAAATGGAACTGCACAGCTGCACCTTGGAGGTGAGGCCGGTCTCCATACAGCGACCCAGGTTGAAGGTCTTTGATCGATACATATCTCGGATGCAAATAAATCGGAACATCCAATTCCTCAACCTTCTTCCAAAACGGATCATACTTGGCAGTGTCAAAACATTCTCGTCCCGATCCTCCCTCGAGGCTCTGATAGTCATTGACAAGTCCACCAAAGAAGCCCAGTTGTTTGACAGCTCGTTCAAGCTCCTGCGCTGCTTCTTCGGGGTTGTGCATCGAGAGAGCTGCAAGTCCACCGAACCTCTCTGGTCTTTTCGCGACCTCGCATGCCAGCCAGTCATTGGCTTCTTTGGCTGTTTGCTCTGCGAGTTGAGGGTTCGTTATGCCCTGGCATCCTGGTGCAGTCAGTGACAAGAGCATGTACTCAACACCTTCGGCATCCATGGTGGCGAGGCGCTTGTCATGGATGTCAAGCAGCTTCGCGGCATGTGCTTCAAGAGCCTTATTGCTGCTGTCGCCAGGGTTGAGAATCGAGAAGGTTTCTTCGAGGAGCCATTTTGTCGAAGGTGTGATAATTGCTTCTTCCACAGCAATGGTACCCCGTTTTGACATGATAGAAAGTGAAGTTGGTTGTTGACTGATTGTGTGCCGTGTGGAATGTACTATTATAGTAAGGTAAATTTGTGACTAGTAGCTTGCATCAACGCAGAGAACCTGGAGTAGATTGCGCTCGGAATGTTTGTAACAAATTAGCAATTTCCTTATCTCATAAATAGAAGGCCACTATCAAGGTAACAGACTCTCCGTAAACTCTCTAATTGGACCGTTGCTCGTCTCCTCCAGTGCGTCTGCATAATTCATCACATGTAACTACCCTGTACCGAGCCGAAGACGCTGCCGGAAATAGACGAAATGGACGATGGAGGGGCTGTCGTGAGGGGCCATCGGAGAGATGCTTCCGATAAATGTCTCCACTTCAGAGGCTACGAAATGGAGGCCCAGAAGTGAAGACGGCACATCATGATCCAATGGTTTGCTGCACAAATCAAGGGCCATCCAAAGAGGTCAAGACAAATAACTAGAAGATTTGGCCTATGCCAGAGCTCGTGTCGTGGATTGTTGTCAAAACGTCTGTCTTACTTACTGTTATCTGTTATCTGTTATCTTATATCTGTTATCTTATATCTGTTATCTTATCTCAAGACAAAATGGCCCACATCTTCGACGTTGCACCTCTTATCGATACCGGATATATCGACGGAAAAAAGGTCGGCAACCAAGTCAAGTACCCAAACACTGGAACCTTCAGCGGCTTCAACAAACCATTTCGCTTAGAGGGTGATATTTTCGATCTCGAAATATCAGGAACTATCCCACCTGAGATAAATGGCACTTTTTACCGAGTCCAGCCTGATCATCGCTTCCCTCCCGTTTTTGAAGATGACATCCATTTCAACGGAGATGGCAACATCACTGCCATTCGCATCCAAAACGGCCATGCTGATTATAAGCAGCGATATGTCAGAACAGACAGATTCTTGGCAGAGACAAAAGAGAGAAGGAGTCTGTTCGGAAGATATCGCAATCCCTTCACGGATTCAGAGTTGGTGAAATCAGTCATCAGAACTTCCGCCAACACCAACATCACCTTCTGGCGAGGAATGCTTCTGGCCTCTAAGGAAGACGGTCCGCCATATGCCATGGATCCAGTCACTCTGGAGACCATCGGACGGTATGACTTTGAAGGGCAGATCCAATCTCCAACAATGACTGCTCATCCCAAGTTTGATCCTGAAACGGGTGAGATGATCTGCTTTGCCTACGAAGCCGGCGGGAATGGCAATGATGGATCGCGCCAGATCGCTGTCTGGACAATTGATGCCAACGGCATCAAGACCGAGGAAGCTTGGTACGAAGCTCCGTTCTGCGGTATGATTCACGATTGTGGCATAAGCAAGAACTACATCGTTCTTCCCATGACGCCCCTAAAATGCAACCCAGATCGTCTCCAAAAGGGGGGAAATCACTGGGCTTGGGATCCCAAAGAGGATCAGTGGTACGGCGTAGTCCCGCGGCGAAACGGAAAGCCCGAGGACATTATCTGGTTCCGGTCTGATAACGGTGAGTTGACTCGGCAATATGATAAGGTGCTTACTGACATGCAGTCAGCATTCCATGGGCATGTTGCAGGGTGCTACGAAAAAGAAGATGGCAACATCGTGTTTGACCTTACGGTAGCAGACGGTAACGTCTTCTTCTTCTTCCCGCCAGAGGATACACCAGCTGGTACCGTTACGAAGCGGAACCGCTTAAACAGCCCTACCAAGCGATGGGTGTTCAATCCAAAGAGTCCTTCGGGGACACGCGTACAGGCCAGTGAAGAGTGGGATACCAGCGGTGAATTCTCCCGTATCGATGATCGCTATGTCACAAAGAAGTACAATCACTTTTGGCAAGCCAAGATTGACGGGTCACGAGAGTACAACGCTGCGAAATGCGGCTCACCAGCTGGAGGACTCTTCAACTGCTTGGCTCACTATACATGGGATGAGAGAACGGAAGATATCTTCTGGGCCGGTCCCTGCGCTACGTTCCAAGAACCATCGTTCATGCCTAAGAAGAATGGCGGAGAAGGTGAAGGCTGGTTGATTGCGCTATTAAACCATCTTGACGTTCTGCGCAATGATGTGGTTATCTTTGATGCACAGAATCTTGCTGCAGGGCCCGTGGCTACAATTCATCTACCGATGAAGCTTAGACTTGGACTTCACGGTAACTTTGTGGATCAGGTGGATATAGAGGAGTGGCAGGTCAGGAGGCAGCCAGGCGGGGATGTTGGCCCTGTGAGGCCGGCGGAGAAGCCTTTGCCCTGGCAGTCGGAAGCTGACAGCATATGAGTGTCGACTGATCATTTGTGAGAAGGATTGGATTGCTCGGTTAGGGTGCGATTGCATTACATGTTGTATTGATCACTGGACTTCTTCTTACAAATAATAATTAACGTAGTTAAGTTTCCTCATAATGAATACCTGATGAACGTTGAAACTATGACCCCACATACGCAAGTAATGCCATTAATGGGTATGTCGATTTAGACCGCAACACTGGGCCACGTAAACGTCTGGAGGCGATATCATCGCTCCATATTGATACAAAAAGGGAATAGTATTCCAAATAGACATATCTCAGTCACAGAGATATCACACATTGGTGTCATGCATCCAAGGACTTAGATCGTCCGCTCGTGCCTTAAACCCGACTTGACCCCAGTCACGATATCAGCGGAGACCTCGGATGAATCTGCAGGCTACGACCAAAAGGCTCCGAGTATGCAGTGACAATGCCACTCCCCTTGAATGTGCGATACCCCTCAGGTCCTCGGATGGTTAGATTTGGGCTCGGAAGGAACGACAACTGCGGGGATGTCATCGGACTCATCCTTCCGATGGACCGTGGATTATTCAGACGCCTCCAAGTGGGACACTTGACCTGTTATTGAAGTGGGGCGTCTTAATGCCGTTACTGAGTTTATAAGTGTGTACGCCATTGTATGCAGCTTCGGACGTCCACCTGAGAGGGAGAAGGAACACAATTTCACATCTCCAGATCAGCATAGACTCCAAACATGCCTGCCGCCAAAACGCCACGTGATATTGAGACTCGTCTCTTCATCAACGGAGAGGTACGTGTGGGACCTAATCAATGAGGTGGAAGGTGACATTGACCTGTGTGTAGTTCGTCGAGTCATCTGATAAGAAGACGTTTGAGCTAAAGTCTCCATCAACTCACCAAGTCGTAGCTGAAGGCATGTCCATCACTCTCTTTAATCATATGTCACTAGACCACAATCTGACAGATTCATAGTCCACGAAGCAAGTGAAAGCGACACCAACGCCGCCGTCGCCGCAGCAAAAGCCGCATTCCCAGCATGGTCCGAACTCTCTCCCAAAGACCGAGGCCAGTACTTCAAAAAGCTTGCCTCACTCATCCTTGAGTCACACCATGAACTAGCATACCTCGAAGCCATTTCTATGGGGAGACCTGTAAAGGGGTACTTTGATGCCTTTGCCGCTGCTGACACGTTCAATTACTATGCCGAGGCTGGAGCGGTGGTGCTTGGTACGAGTAGTCTCAACATGCCTGGACATTTGAACTTTACTCTTCGACAGCCTTATGGAGTCGCTGCGGCGATTATTCCGTGGAATGTGCCGATTCTATTCCTTGCTCTCAAGTCAGCTCCTGCGCTGATGGCAGGAAACACAGTGGTCTTGAAGAGTAGCGAAAAGGCACCGTTGACTGTGAGTAGGTCATCTTCTGTTATGGATCATTTATGCTAATAACTTTCAGTCTGCCAAAGTCGCACAATTGGTCCAAAAGGCTGGTTTCCCACCAGGCGTCTTCAACATCATCTCAGGCCACGGCAAAACATCCGGTGCCATTCTTTCCAGCCATATGGACGTTCGAGTCCTCAGCTTCACTGGGTCAGGTCCAACAGGTCGACTCATCCAAGCTGCTGCTGCCAAGTCCAACCTAAAGAACGTGATCCTAGAGCTTGGCGGAAAGTCTCCGGCCATAATCTTTGATGACGCTGATCTCGAAAAAGCAGCTGCTGAGACGGCATACTCTATCCAGTGGAACAGCGGGCAAGTGTGTATGGCGAACTCAAGGATCTACGTTCATGAGAGCATTGCAGAGACTTTTATTGAGTCGTTCAAGACAAAGTTTCAGGTCATTGCAGCGGGAGACCCGACTGATGAAAAGGTCAACCATGGGCCTCAAGCAGACGAAATTCAATACAACAATGTGCGATCGTACATCGAATTGGGCAAATCATCTGGAAAGCGTATCCTAGGTATGGATCACGAAGCCACTCCCGACGGCTATCTAATCCACCCAACAATCTTCGTCGAGACCCAAGAAGATGCTCGGATCATGAAGGAGGAGATCTTTGGTCCAGTCGTGAATATCAACACTTTCAAGACTGAAGCTGAAGCAATAAGCAAAGCCAATGATACCGAGTTTGGCTTGTATGCGGCGGTGTATAGCAAGAATATCGACAGGGCAATGCGTGTTGCGAAGAGGTTGGAGGCTGGAACTGTTGGTGTCAACTGTACTAGTCCCACGCAGGCGAAGGACATGCCATTTGGTGGGTACAAGACGAGTGGTGTTGGCAGGGAGGGAACTACAGTTAGTCTGAATAACTTCTTGGAGACGAAGACTGTGTTGGTCAAGTTGGAGGAGTTTTAGTATCATAGAGAGGTCTCATAATTCTTGATGATTATAAAAGCACTGCCCTCGGCTCCATCAAGCACTCCCACTGGTGACATTCTTTCAAGTGATTTGATACATGTTTGCATAGTAAACATGTGACATACTACAGCCCATCCTAAATAGTCTTTGCATAAGAATTTACCCACATCTTTGTTGATCTGGGTTTAGCAAGTGCTCCTCGCTCAATCAAGTCCATGTCATAGTCCGTCATCCCCTCCGCCAATTCAAACCTGTCGAACTCTTGCAAAGTCCTCGCTATGCACTTCATTATATGCATCCATGCTAGGCCTCTACCAATGCATCTGTAGGACAAGTATGTTAGCCATAACCCTGCTCTTCCTTTGAGTCGCAGTGGTGCACCACGTGGGAACTTACCCTCTTTGACCAGCCGAGAATGGAACAAAAGCCCGGTACATCCTATCCTTCTTTTCAGATGGCACGTTAAGCCAGCGCTCAGACCTGAATTCAGCTCAATCTTCGAACACTCCCTCATAACGATGTATGGTGTACGGCTGAGCTGAGATGACGTTCTGCCGTTGGCATGTTAGTTGGAACAGGACTTTATCAAGGATAGAATGCACCGAGATCTATCAAGCAGTATCAGGGAGTTTCACTTAGGTCTGGAGGATAGGAAACACCTTCGAATTCAAAGCCCGACTTCGGCACGACTCGGGGCATTGGTGCTGGAGCAGGAGGATAAATACGAAGAGTCTCGCGGATTACAGCATCTAGATAAGGGAGGTTGGCTAAATCGCTATTTGAGTAACTCTTGCCGAGGTTGTTCAGCTCTAGACGTAGACGTTGATCAACATCTGGATGTTTAATCAACATCCAGATGAGATATGTCAGAGTGATAGAAGTTGCTTCGGAGCCAGCAACTCCGATAACGTGGCAGTCAATATCGGCACCAGTTCGATTGAGTTCATTGACTCACATGAATCCGTGGCCAGCAAGTGCGATAGACCAAGCTGAATAGCCATCTTTCGGCTCCCCAGTCGTCGGGTCCAGGTAGCCTGACATCAACGATCCCTGCTTCTTTGACATATCCTGCTTGAGATAATCCTCGACTCGCTCCTTGGAGTAAGAAAAAACACGTTGAAGTCCGTAATAGGCGTCTTTCAGTTTATTGAACGGAAGATATGGTATCAAGGGTATAATCGGTGCAAAAGTGTTTTGCTGAAAGGGTTAGGAACTTAAGCAGAGGGGATGTGTAGTCTGGACTACTCACAAGTCCTATAAGCATAAAGGCGTTGTTGAAGTCAACCACGTATTGATGCTCTTGGCCTGATGTTACTTGGCTAAAGCTTTTGTTAAGGGCTAGATCTCCGATGACGTCTAACATAAAGAACTTACTTTGTGGCGAGTCAGGACAGTCCAAGTTCAGGAACGAAGAGATAAAAACTTACAAAAGTCCAAATAGATCAACCTTCCCTCTTTGTTTGATAACCCCCATCAAGATATCAAGTTGCTCGTCAAACCTTGCCTCATAGTGCTTTAGGTTACCTGGCGAAAACAGGGGCTGTAGATCGCGCCGCTCCGCCATAGCTTGCTTATGATTGATGTAGTTAAATAGACCGGCAAACTTTGGCCCTATACCCGGCTGTATAGTCGCATAGAAATCCGTCTTCAAGAAGCTGCTACACTTTGTGACGAATACGTGGTGGAAAGCTTCAGGTGAAGCTACAGATACCTGGTTTGGGCCGATGCGCACAACGTTGCCGTGCTTCTCGTGTAATTCATGGATAGCCAGAAATCGGTCATCTAGATGCAGATGTTAGAGAAGCTTTGACGTCGGCGAGTTACTCACTTCTTATTGAATGGTAAATTTCCCATGTGCTGCTGATGGCGGCGAGTCGAGGGCCAGGGAACTTGCGCAGGGGACTGAGATATAGACGATAAGTAACTCGGCAGAGGAAATCGATCAATTTGAAGAGTACGATAGCCAGGGTCAAAGATGCAAAGACTCTAAGCCACTTGTGCAGGTGATGGATGTAGACGTGCCAGTCAAGGCTTGAAATGGTAGAATAATCCATTGCTGATGATATTCTCATAACTTTACGGAGCCATGGATATTGCCGATTTGTATTGCCTGGGAGGTCAACTCTTAAATGAGATTGGCATTAGTTATTAGTGCTCTATCCAGTTGGACATAATCATTTTGATCATTGATTCGCTCCCCACTGTGCTCCGAGACTGTTAGCGGGCACTACTCCGCAGGAATCGGTGCATCCCCTCACTTCCGGACCGGCACGGAAGTGAGGGGAGGTGAAGGCTCCCCCACAAGGATCGGACAGGTGGGGGGTCTGTGGGTAGCCGGACACAACGGACCTGTCTATGTTGTATTATAATGCTCGCATTGCTCAATTGGATATCTAGGCGATGGCAGAATTCCCTGTAATAGAAGCTCACATTTGCACCAAGACCTAATTCCCAGTACAGACATACACAACAGGGCCTCAGTCACCGTACTTGTAAGTCAGACCATGAGCCAACGAATCGAGAACGAGAAGTCTGCTCCGCTCAAGATTATTATCTGCGGAGGAGGAATCGCTGGCTTCGCAGCAGCACTGCTCTTGCGTGAAGAACACGACGTTCTGGTCCTCGAATCTTCATCATCCAACGAGGAGCTGGGTGCCGCCATCACGCTCTCCATCAAGGCCACCAGACTTTTGAGAAGAAGCTTCACGCGCGCAGGTTTCGATAAGGATCTCGCCCATTATGTCGAAGCCGAAAAGGTTGGATCAAAATTTGTCACCCTCGCTGAGTATACCGTGCAATATACTGACGCCTCAAAGTTCCAGGAACTGCATTGGAAGGACCTCTCAGTCCTCCTGGAATGGCCAATCAGTGCAGTCACCCAGAAGTATGGTGAACCATGGTGGTATTTCTCCCGCAAGGACGTCCACGCCGAACTTAAACGCGCTGCTCTCTCCAAAGATGGCTTAGGAACGACACCTCGCTTGCAGACAGGCGACCACGTCGAAAGAGTCGACTCGAAAACTGGTTCAGTATTCCTCAAGTCCGGAGAGTCCTACAAGGCTGACTTGATCATCGGCGCGGACGGGATTCGATCTGCGAGTGGTAACTCGGTGTTTGGCAAGCTTGAGACAACACCTGAGGGCCTGTCCGCATATCGCTGCATGATCCGCACAGAGGAGCTGAGGAAGAACCCGCAGACACAGGTTCTGACTGAAAGTGCAAAAGTGCTCATGGTGATTGGTCCCGATAGGAGAATCGTTGTGTATCCTTGCTCGAGCTGGGAGTGGATGAACTTTGTGTGCATTTACCCAGATACTAGCGACCGACGGCTTCAGTGGAGTAGTGAAGTCGAGGTACAAGACATGATGGACAAGTTCAAGGACTTTCATCCTTCTATAGTTACTGCATTGTCGATGGCTTCTAATGCTGGAGTCTGGCAGCTGCGACAGCGCGTGCCTCTACCGACATTGGTCAAGGATTGTTACGCCCTGGTAGGAGATGCAGCACATGCAATGGGTCCACGTACGTCTGCCCTGTCCCCTGAAGTCATATAACCTGTACGAGCACCTAATAACGTTTCATAGATCAAGGCCAAGGCGCCTGCCAAGCCATTGAAGACGCGGAAGCTCTTAGAATAGTCTTGAGTGGTGCCTCGACAGAGGATGTTGAATCCCGACTCAAGATATACGACGAGTTGCGCCTCCAGCGCGTTACTAGGGTAATGGAGAATACGAAGAAAATGGCTCCGCAAGCCACTGACTCGAAGGAGTTTGAGTTCAAGAGTTCACAGACGTATAGTGACTACCACTGGGGCTATAAAGTGGCTGAGGAAGCGGTGGATCTGATGCGTGCGCATGGACTGGCCTTGAAGATCCTGAACGACGAGACTGGGGAGGTTGGATTTGAATGATGTATATCGTAACAGGATAACTAAACTTCTAACATGGACTTCTGTTTTGCTTCTAATTCTCTAATACTCGCGAGAATGGATAATTACTTGCATATGTGATAAAGGTTGAGCCAGTAAGGATTTCTATCAATAAAGATAAAGCTAATCTTCAAGAGCATCGTATATTAATAAACGTTTTAAGTGAAAGTAGCATGTAAAGCCTAAACTAAACCTATCGTGGCCCATCTAAAGCCTTGCCGTGATTATTCTCCTTGGTTTGGCATTGTTGCTTGGCCATCGTACCTAAGCCCGAGAGAAATCAACTTGATACTATACGTGTACAAATGACCTGTTGGTAGATGACAAAGCGCTGCGACCTTCCGTGTGGGCAGATGGACAGCCGGCCAAGGTGGAGGTCAGTATCGGCTCCACTGGTGGACTATCCCGTCGATCCGGGGATGTCAGCGGGTGGACTCCCAGCAGCGCTGAAGCTAGCCAAAGAAGCGCCCAGATCCTCCATCAGGCCGATGAGGTTGCATACTAACAGCGGTGGAGCCTGGTCTGTAGAGAGTAGGTTGCTACGTAGAGTATCGGCCGATAGCCGCATAGCTAATGCCGGGTCCTCGAGTGTACACAATGTCCCTGTTACTCCTGGGTGACTGAGGCCTGGTGTTCCATGCCCTAGTGTGCAGAATGCACGGGCATCGTCATTTTCCTCTCCGTCTAGCATGACTAGAGGCTCGGAAGAGTTCTCATTTGAACCACCGTCAACAGACATCACGGTCTCACCCAGTTTTGAGCTTCGGTTGCCAAGTATGCTATAAGCCCAAAGCACAAGAGCAGCATGGTACGTCGCCACAGCGTAGAAATTCTGCAACGTCGTAGGTGGAAACTCGCGAGCCCTTCTCAGAACTTGACCCGCGTGCCATATTGCAAGTCGAGCAGCTGGTGATTGCCTCCACTCACTTACGATGGGCGCTACCCTCCTCGCCTCGTCTTCCCCTTCTTTACCCGCAAAGCGTTGTATATGGGCCATAGGAGCATGAAGAGACATCATGACGTATTCCAGCAAGAGGCGAATCTCCTGATGTGCGACGTGTCTCTCACAGTACATACGGATAGCGATCAGATCTTGGTACAGGTCGCGTTGGCGACTCATACACCATGATTCCATTCGGCGTCTTTTAGCCTCGGGGGCTGAAAAGAGGAGTGTGAATTGTTGTTGAAGGTCCCATACTTGATTGGCAAGCGCGTGGATAACGGCAAAACAACACAGTTGTAGGTCAGTCTGTCCAGGGCATGTGTCTAGGACTGTGACATCAGCCAGAACCTCGGTGAGTAGCAGGCGTCGCGATCCGCTAGTACAGCACAATAACTCTTGTCTCCATTCTTTCGAATTCTCTGCAAACCATACGCTGGGCGGGTATGGAACCGCCATGTTCAATTCAGCATAGCTAATCGTCGGTGCCTGGAAATACGCCATCGATACCTGAGAGTCATGGATGAAAGCGCGGATTGTGAGGCGCTTTAGTGACTCCCTCATGGACCAGGCCTTCCACACGGCATCAAGCTCTTCAGAGTCGATTTCGGGACGTCCCGCAAACTCTTGATCGGGTGGTGAGGAGAAAGCCCCGGCCTGGAACAGCATAGTATATCCCGGCTGCATAAAGCTGCACGCAATCTCAGTTTTCCGCTTCAGGCCGCTCCAGGCTCCGACTTCCAAGGCCCTCAAGTACGCCTGAAGGGCCTGAAGATCTCTCGTGGTGCTGTTATCACTCTCGTATAGCTGTGCCATTGCTCTGCGAAGGATCTCATGCATCGTGAAGCTTGCTACCGATAATTCGTCCAGTCGAGGCTTTCATCAAAAGAGTAGATCTTTCTCTGTTACTTCCTGCGCCCAAGTTGATGACGTCCTGGCCATGAAAGGAGTGCTGAAACCTAGAGGGATGCCATGAAGTCCAGGCACAACGTTGGTAAGCTTCTGGCCGACCGCTAAATGACGGACCAAGAGAATGATTGTTGGTGAACGTTAAATCTTCATTCTCGACTGTTTTATCATGAGCAGCTACTGCAGCGTCAAAGCTGGTCATGTCGCCGAGTGCGCCCACAGTTAGATCCAAAAGTCCGGAATCGAACCATGAAAAGTCCACGTCCTCAAAAATGGATGGCAGTAGACAGATATCTCCAACATCAGCGCACTGCGACTCGATAGTTGCACCATTCGCAGACCGATCTTGGTTTTCAGTCCCAGTCATTGCTTCTTCTTGATCCAAAGTTCCCGATTCTTGACTGACTTCCGATGACCTGGCCTGTCTCTCTTGAGACCTTGTATTGAAGCAGGGCGAGCCAAAACTGGGATCCGAACATTCTATGCCCTTCGCTTGACACCGTTTACAAGGCTTCAAGTCACTGCACTTGGCTTTTGCACGTACACAAGCCTTGCAGGCCTGAGAAGCACGATCTATTCGTCTTGGGCCATGAGGTTTATCCCGGGCTCGAGCGTGAGCTGACTCATGCCGTTGGAGTAAATCAGCGCGATTGAAACCCTTCGGACAGAGGCGACAGCGAAATTGGCGGTGGTTTTGGTGAGCTTGGACATGTCGTCGAAGGTGGTCAGGTCTTTCATAAGATTCTCTGCATACGAGGCAGACGTGTTTATCGCTCTGGTGGGACATTTAAGCTGCTGGTAGTGGATAGAGAACCTGACCAAGGACAAAATCGGGATCTGGAGGAGAGAATCTCTTTGAGTTTCGTAGCCCCCCCACTAATTAGGCTACGGGAAATAGTGAGTGTGGGGATGTGGGCTCCCGAAGTGCGGGGGAGAATACGGAGTAAGGAGTACCAAGAACTATAAAAATATCTTGTGATCAAAGATTGAGAGAGGCAACAGCTCCAGCGCACAAAGTTAAAGAATGTCAATAAATACAGATTGGAAATTTGAAAATTCATCTTTGGCGATCTATACTTCTACTGGTTCCTTGTTAACGGACCAAGAGATAGATTTCGGACAGCGGACATATCGTCAAGTAACCACAAGCATAGTTGAATACAGTGCAAAAGACAAACACGGATTAAGTTCTACTCTATCGCAATACCAAGAGCTTCAGCAGCTAGGATATCCTTAATCGGCTTTGTCCCTGACAATGATCAGATACCCCCGTATGTAGGGAGCTTTGTTCCTCCTCCCCCCTGTAATGGAATCAACTCTTTCAACACTCTCCTAAGTGTTACTCTGCTGTGCGCGCCACAAAGAGAGATTAGCACCATTCTTGAGGATGCCCGTTTGATAAGGTACCGCGAAGTTAGGATCAAACTCATCATAAACAATGCCGGTGCCATGTTTGAAGTGAGCTTGAATCCGGCCCTCGGTAGCAACAAAAGGAGGGGGGCCATCGCCATAAATGTATTCCTCAACCTCCTTGTCAAGGCATACGTAACGGCCTTTGAGGCGTTGATTGCGCATCATGGAAATGCTGACCTTGATCCTTTCACTGGCGGGTCGATGCCTCCAGCCTAATTTGTCCCGAATATCGGCCAACATGGTAGCATGGTTTCCATGGTCCCTGACCAAAGAGAGAAAGCTGAGGTCCACAGATTTTAGTGTTGATGGGAGCTGGCCGAGAAACGAAATAATGTCATCCTGTTTGACTCGCAACCCGGAAAGCCCAAAGTGTCTTACTTTTGCATTTGATAAGCTGCCAACGGGAAAGATATCAAAGAGTGATAGATAATCTTCCATATCGCAGAACCAAGAACCTAAATCATCGTTCATCTGCAAGACTACTTCCTCCAGGTCGGTCGCTTGGGCTAGAAGACTGGATATTCTGCCATTCCTGTAAATATCCAAATCTTCAGCCTCAAAATTCGCACGGTACCCAGTTGTTAGAGACAAAACAAGGCGCCTGAAGCCCGGCCGTGCCACAATCTTGCAGAGATTTTCATACTCTGTATTTGGCTTGTCAAAAAGAGTGTAGTCGATCCCAGTGGGTAGTTTGTGACTATCCACAACAAGTTCGGAGATTGAAAGCTTGTCTGCGTAATCGGCCAGAGTTTTTGTAACGATACAGAATCCTCGCCACTGTCTTCTCTCGTCGTCATTTTCCCACCCTTCTGGGCAATCTTCAGGGGTATGCCCAAGCCCGAGAATGTCATCACATGGCCAGGCGCGAGGAACTGGATATACAAACCCAGATGGAAATGCTCGAATCATTGGTGTTTCGTAAAGTGGCATAAAGAGAAACCCGTGCGCCGCTGGTGTAAGGGTGACTCTTCTGAGCTGCGGGAACCGTTGTATGGCATACCGAAAAGCTTCTTCATCTGCGTTTGATGACAGCACATCCCTTTGTTGATCCAAGAGGCCTGTATAATACGCCAAAGAGTCTCGAGAGGGCAGTAGGTTATCAATTTGCTTCCGCACTTCGAGGTCGCACTGGTATCCATCATTAAGCAGCAATCTGCCCTTGGAGAGACCGATGCTATCTTTGCAAAGACGAACAAAATCCCTCGAGATCTGTTCCTTGTCCTCGTTGGCAGCACAGTCATCAGAATCATTCTCATCCCCGCTATAGCCGCAGGGGCCGTAGCCGTCTGTAATGGGAATTTTCCTCAACACGGCGTCGTCCCATATAATCTCTTTCACCCTATGACGGAAAACGTCATGGTTGGCGACTGCGAGGAACACCTCAATGTTGCGTGGGTTAGCAGAGATAAAAACGCGGTTGAGTCTCAAAGGCGACTTTTCTCCCAAGGTTCGACAAGTCAGACGTAAGTTTTTGATGTCGCGATTGCAAAGCAGACTGCACAGAGAACCAAGCAGCTCGTTTGGTAGTGCTTGTAGTGCAGGCGAGGGACTGTCGGACGAGCCCATGGTTGCAGTTGACAGTCTTCGTAGTTGTAAATAACAAGTTCCTGGAGAGTGATAAGCGGGGAAAAGAGAAGAATTTATAGAGGTCGATATTTGTCTGTTCAGTGAAATGATGTTATCGTGTCACAGACTTTGAGTGGTACAAAGATTCAACAGAACCTACTTGGGGGGGACTTCATGTTTTGTACAAGGCGCTGACTAATTAAGTGGATATTAGGGGTCAAGGTTAGTGGGTAATGGGGTAAATCCAGTTTCCAAGTTCTGAGTTCTGTGTGGTGATACAAGCTCTCCGCCACAAGCCGCAACAACGAATCAGCAATGGGACGATCTCTCTATCTGGGCATGTGTATGGATGCCGGGCTTCGCCGAAATACATTTTGATGACTGTGGCAAGCCAGCAGACGAATTTGGCAGAGCCATGAACCATACATTCTTATGCACTCTTCATGTCTAATCCCGCAATCCTTCATTGGCTAACTGTGATAAGAGTGTTATTTTGAGTTAATAGAAACCGCCACTGCTGATGCTTACATCACGCGCTTCACACGATAAGGTTCGAAGTTTAAAGGTGGTTTGAGCTCTAATACACAAAGGCAAAGAACACCTCCGGGCAATATGGTCATTGCCCACGATTGATAGTAAAAGCTTATGAAGCCCCAGCGAAAGTATCAAGCCCGTGCACTAGAGCGTCTCAATTAACTGCAGCTCTTGGAAAGCAATATACCCGTAGACTCAACTAGATTGAGGTTTCAAGAGGCTTCAGTTCAAAGACCCAAGGGCAATAGGAAAGATTGGGTTGCTCTCCGCTTAAGGAGGCTCCCCCGGAGGGTAGTCATGAAAATTTCTCTATGAACATTGAAGAAAACCTCCTCTATCAGAAGAAAATTGCCTCTTTTGGCACTGAAGATAGCTTCAAGAAGAGGCGTGTGAGGCGCGTGATGTAAGCGTCAGCATTGGCGGTTTCTATTAACTCAAAATAAGACTCTTATCAAATATACTCCATTGATAATTGCAGCTCATGTCGACTCCAAAAGACAGATCCAACCAACACACTGAAGGGTCCCTACTAACCTCAACTTTTGGAACGCAATATGCGCATGGCTTGACAAGGCTGGGACTTCAGGAGGCTGCAGCTCCAATACGAAAGTAAAAGAACAAATGCTAACTCAAATGGGCAAGACACTCATTGTCCTCTGTATTAGTGGTCAATTAGAAAAGGACTTATCAAGATATATTCATTGCGCTCATTAATTCCTCAAGTCTAGCTTTTGTCTGAAAAACCTCAATATTCCAAGACCCGCATCCAATAGGTATAAAAAGATAGAACTAGCACGGAGAAGACTTGTAAATCTTTGGTTATGTCACAGCAACAAGCGATCCAAACTTCACTGATTTCTGACCAAATCCTGAACTTTTCTCCTTATATCATCTTTGTCTCTTTGACGACATCTACTCTACCCCTCTGGTAACCTCTCACCATGGGTTACCACAAGAAGACAGTTGTGTCACTCTTTAGGTGTGCACTACTCATTCCCTCTCTTCTGACACCCTGGGTCACTGCATCCTCCCCCGCTCACCATGCACCCCTCAACCAAGCGGATCGAGGGGTTGGCAATGAAGACCTGCATGTGAAGTCCATCGGGTACATGTCAGAAGAGACTCAGGCCTCAGCAGCACTTAGTCTTCCTGTAACGTCCACCGCTTCTACCCACGGCGGCACAACCAAGAAAGACATAGACTACACCGATTTTGACGTCGATGTCAAGAGTCTCTTCCCCGAGGGACACATTCTCTCAAATTCTTCTAATCTACAGTATGGCCTCACTGCCTTGGGAGGCTCCAAGTCTGGCGCGATAGACACTGCCAGCTCGAGGTCCGGCTATCTACTCGCTGTTGGGGAGTCACATGGACTAACCCAGCTCCGGAAGAGAGATGGCCAACCAGATCCTTTCGTTTTCCTTGACTGCCCGGCCAACGTACTGGACCAACCCGCCAACCAAACCCAGAAGGCTAGAGTCGTGTGTACAAGTGAGGATGTCGATGGCTGCTTTAGGGTGATGGAGCGTGGAGTTGAAGGCACTTTGGTAGAGATGCCAGAAGAGTGCGCACCAAATTCGTTCGCTCGAGCAGTCTCAATAGAGCTTGCTGAAGGTATTTCATTTTTTGTTTGTTCGCCCTTTACACGAAATTTATTAATTAACACCTTCAAAGACCAGACTATGCCAAATCACCTGACAAAGCAAAATACCACCACGTCCCCAATCTACGAGTTCTCCTTTGACTTCAACAAACACGAGCTGCGAGACGACGCGAAAGTCGCCATACGAATCGATATGACAAACATCAAAGGACACTGGGACGGGTTTCTCGATTCTCCTGGTATTGAGAAGCGGGATGTTGAGGGCAAATATCTTTTGTCTCTTCAAACAGATTGGAAGAATACTTTACAGCATGGAAACCAGTTCCAAAGCATCAACAATGAAGGGCCATACAGGGTCGTAAAGGACTTAAGTACGCAGGTCTTTTGGCAAGCTTCCGACAGCTGTCCCGTAGGGGACGAGAACTATCATGAGGGTATCGGAGCTTTTATCCAGGGCAACGTCGATGCCAACATATTCTATGCTATCACAGTCATAGTAAGTATTCCGCCTTTTCTATCTATTCCTACTTCGATTTTGCTAATACGGTGCTGTAGGCATCTTCAACCAAAGGCTCTTCAACTGTCGACGTCGAAGATGCCCATGGCTTTATCCACGTCACTGGCCACACGGATTTGACCTTTGGAGTTGGCGGCGTGGGTCGTCTCGATATAGGCCTGGCGGGACAGGGCAACCCTGCCAAGAGCGGGCAATTCTATGAAGGCTTCCAAAGCCAAACGATTAGTGCAGGGGCTTTGTGGGGAACCATGAAGCTCACACCCTATATCCGTCGACAAACGTATTTGGCCACGTCTCCCATGGATGGGTTCCCGTCTACCGGACTTAATCATGAGGTGGCCTTAAACGGACGCCTGATTACACAAGTCAAGACTGAATTGGGCGACTTTCCAGCCTCGTTTCCTCGTGTTATGTTTGAAGATGAGTTGGATAGACTGAGAAAGCACCACAAGAAAACCGAGATGGAGACTCTTAGCAGTAACGAGCTTTATGGAGACGGAGGCGAGAGAGGCAGCACCATACAAATCGGACATAATCTCACTTTCGGGCTCGACCTGTTCTTCAACATATTACCTGATATCCAGGGACAACAACCAGTTCAACAGTCCAGTCCTGCATCTGTGAGTTTCCAAGAATCATTTCCCCTCTAGACCTACTAAGTTGGAACTACTACAGTTACGTGTTGCCAGCGAGACAGAAGCCAGGTGGGATATCCCGCCAGCTAAGGACGGCACAGTTTGTCCTCATTCATCATCCTCGTAAGCAAATTTTACTACCGATCATGTACATAATAGCGTGAACTAACAAAGTTTAGGAGTCTACTTAGACAAGGGATTGTCAACAAGTAAGCACAGTCCGATACTGAAAGTGACTATCTAGAAAACACACTAACGGATAAACAAGATACTTTCTTGGCTGGAAAAAGTACAATGATTCGGCTATTCTCTTCGCTGACAACGTAAGTCACTATCGGCATGCATGAGCATCTTATTCTAACTAATATATTTAGTCAGCTCCTCATCACGAACTCTGCTACTCGACCAAACGCAAGCGATCAATCGAGGATTTCCCTTCACCAGGAAACCAGTCTGCTCCCATATCCACTAAAGCATTCAATAAGAGAGGAATATGGGGACCTAAGCACTACCTCGGACCTGTGAATATATTTGGCTATGTCATCGGCGCCCTCTTCTTTGGACGAAAAAAGCCCGGTGATATCAACTGTAAGAACGGGCGATGCGCAACTTGCCTTGATTTCAAAGACCCTGATGGCTGCTGCGGCTGTGTTTGTATGCAATGCATTTGGGGTCCTCGTGGCGATATACCACCATGTGAAAAGTGCACGAGTGAGGAGGACAAGAATGAAGCGCCATGGCCAGGTACCCATGTGAAAAGGGACCGAATCAGTGGTAACAACGTTCCCGCGCCAAAAGGTGAGGGATGGGCTCATTTTCTCAAGAACCCTTTTTCCGTTCGTGCCCGAACCGTCACTCCTGGCTGGAAGGATGTCAAAGTCAACGGCGTCTCGTACGCTCCTCCTAAGAAAGGAAATTCGGCACCATTCAAATACCCGATGTTTCCCCAGGACGTGAAAAAGGTATGGGAAGGGGCCGATGGTGGTATCTACGACTCTATTTCCTACTACTGGGGAAATACCACAGCCGACTGTACCGACTGGAGTCTCGGGCTCAATAAAACACGCGACATGACCCATGACCCCGTGCGCGACTGGATTCCGTCAGCATATGAAAGTAAGTCTACTGCTGAAACCTACTCCATAAACATGACTACTAACACTTGGTCTCTCTCTCAAGCCGAGCACGTTTACGAGGGCCAGAATATGGGCCAATTCTTTACTCAGTGGCTCACTAAGGGCCAGATTGAAAGGCAAACGCCCCATCCAGGACTCACAAATGGAAAGGTTGATGCGGCCTGGGTCGAGGACTGGATCATGAGCTCCGGCGAAGACCTTCCATGGACCAATCCTGTGGATCCAGGCGAGGAATACTCCTTGTTCGGCCTAATCCATTCGGAGCTCGGCAACAATTATCACAAGGACCGTCTCGCAATTTTGCAGGCGAGATTGAATCGCAAGAAAGAGAATGTGGGCGCCTCTTTGTCTAGAGACTCTAAGGAACAGCACTAACAATACTAGGTCTTCGACTTGTCCAACTTTTACTCCGATGACAAATACCGATTGAAGATGAGTCATGACCAGCAGTGGAGCACAGTCAAAGAAATAGGTGAGCATATTCCCGCTTTGACATGCGCACTTGAGACTTATGAAGTTTTTCCTCGCAGGCCTTACCTTCAATTACTTGAACAACGATACCATCTGGGACATGTGGTGTGATACTTACTCCGGTGTGTACGACTGGCTGGAAAAGTTTGACCAATTTTACACGGTTGTCAAAGGCCCCGGTGATCCAGATGTGTCCCTAGCTGAGGAATGGGGTAAGTATAACCGAGTAGTCCTCGACTCTGCTGTCAAGATCAATGGCGATGGTTGGGACTGGGCCTTCGAAAATCGACAGTGAGTTTATCTACCCCTTACAAGAAGATGTGCGCTAATCTAGGCCCTATTATCAGCACCAACAATCCGGCTATGCGGTTTTCGCGTGAAGAGGCAATTTGGCAAGCCATACGCGCCAGGAACCCCAAAGCGGACGTCTTTCATCTGAAAAAGTCTTGCCGCAACCTTCCCCCCACAACTATCGTTTAGCAAATGGTAACGTGGAGAGCTTGGGCGGTGCGATGCTGTAACTGTGGCCTATTGTGCCAAGCTACTTAGTTTAAAATCTCGATTTACCGTGTCGGATAAATAAAATCACCCCACTCTATATATTACCTGTTCTCCAGTGGCTGCCCTTCTTCCATCGACAGTCCATTAGATCTCGGGCCACATTAACTTCGGCACCATCCTTGTTCAAGTTCGATGGGTCTATTAGTCTATCAACCCTGGTAACAACTATTTCAAGCCGATTGTAGCCCTGTGTGTGGAGCTGGATCGCTTCGATGTTTGTCAAGAATTTCCAGTAAGTGGAGATGTCTACAATATTTATATCATACCTGCAAGCACCTCCAAAAGATCTGTCAATTGATACGACTCGCTGCCGGTCATTCGCCTCTCTATATATAATATCAAGAAATCCAAGATAATTAAAAACAATCAGAATGTCAAGGATGCTCTTCAGGATTATAGTTTCTATCTACTTTGAAAGTCTTGCAGCGTTTGCTAAGCAAGCCACGTAGGACAACCCGCGTTAGTCCCTAAGTTCAAGTATCTTGCTAAAGATGTTAGACACGGCTTAACAACCTAACAAAGGAAATTCCGAAAGAATGATCCAAGATAAAATTCAGACCCTTGTTGAAAGTATCGACAACAGCATCTGCGAACAGCGCTCAGATGATAGCACGAACCATACCATCGACACTGAAGAAGTCATAGCGCTCAGACGATGGCACGAACCATACCATCGATACTGAAGAAGTCATAGACTAAACCATCGATACTGAAGAAGCCATAGACCAAACCATCGGCACCGAAGAAGTTATATTATTGAAGTTTCCATATAATTGGGATTACTTAGGTTACACATAAAGTATACAGCTCATAACACCTTAGGTAAACTTAGTATAGTTTAGTATACCTAAACTTAGAGGACCTTAGACTAAGTATATATTTCTAGCACCCCTGCTTGGTTGAATGTCAATTAACCTCTGTATTTTCTCCGGTGAGGATAGCAGGTGCATTTGGGATATTGGTGACTTCTTCAGCATCGATGATTTGGGTCATGCCCTCGTCTAAATGCCACTAGCTCGAGCTATTGTTAATAGCCAAGCCATCGCGAAGACCGAGCCTGAATCAAGGGAGTGAGGCCTTTGACGCCGCGCGCGACGGCCATGTCCCTTATTGGATGAGCATGCTGCTAGGAGCAGTTGTTTTAGAAGTTTGGGAGTAAGAAGGAGCGTCAAAGGCAACAGGAGACGAAGTGCCATATTTCGCTGAAGTACCTAGTGTTTATAAAAGTATGGGTTCTTTTGGGGGCTTTTAATCGATCGTCGCTGCTAGGAGCGGTTGTTTTAGAACTTCCGAGCGAGAAGCAGTGTGGGTAGTAGAGGGGCAAGCCAAGGGGGCGGAGGGGCTTATCGTCGACCAGTGGGGACTCATATCAGCAAACGGGACAAGACGGAGTCAATCCGTTAACTAAAAGCCCATCGTGTTAAAAAATATTATGTATTAATCTTATAAACTTAATTAGCTTGTATTCTCTTAACTTTTAAAGCTTCCAGTTACTAGCCTAGATATAACTTACCTTAGTAAAAGTATTAATACTTTAACTTTTCTAGCTAGCCTAAATAACTTAGTTAATAGAACCTTTAACAGTTTAACCTTTTTACTATAGTTATATATAATCCTTCTTAAAGTTATTTAATAACTTTAATTATTAGCTTTCTAATTACTAAATATATTTTTATGCCTTTAGTGCTTTTTATAATACTATAATTTCCTCTAGCTAGTTATAATTATCTTTTAATAACTTTATATTCTTTTTATTACTATTATTAAGCTTATTATCCTTCTTTATATTAAGCCTTTATAGCTTTTATACCTTTTTATAACTAAAGTATAAAAAGTAATAAGTATTTAAATTAGGGGTAACTATATAGAATACCTTATAGCTAAATAGGGTAATCTTAATATAGTATTTTTTATTAATATTATTATTTTCTTTAAACTTTTTAATAGCTTAATAAAGCTATAAATTACTTTTTTTAAAACTAATATATAATTTAGTAATACTTTTAAAAGTACTAATA